CCTCATTGCCGGGTTCCGAGTCCGCATTGGCAGCCAGACGATGCGGGAGACCACCACTCCCCATCGCTGGAGGTCCTTCATTAATTCGGCATTCTTCAAGTAGGGCGGCGCGCCGGAGATGGTGACCTTCACCGCCGGCGTGGATAGGGGGGTGCACTCTACGAACAGCCCCCCCTCCCCCCCGACGTTGAGCTCTGTCTCCACGATGCGCGCCGCTCCGTCCACCTCAGCTACGTACACCACATAGCCGCGGTTTTCGCGCCGGATGACCCGAATGGCCGCCAGGCCAACGTGCTCGGCCACCGCGGCGGCGATGTCGTCGGGCGGTGTCTCCGGCGGAGGAAAACAGATGAAACCGTGTTCATCCGTCAGGGATTCAAGATGCTCGTACTGTGCCATTATGTCCGTGTGGCAACAGCACTATGGCACGAGAAAAAAAATAAAGTGCTAAGAAAAAATAAAAGCAGCGAGGTGGAGGGAGATGAAGCCCCCTCCCCCTCTCAAGGGGGGGCAGGAGGGGGGACAAAACACACAAGAAGACAGCAGCGAAGGAGAAAGAGAGAGGGAGAGATACAGAGGGAGGAGAGACAGAGACACAGAGAGAGACACAGAGACAGACACAGAGAGAGGAGGAGAGAGGCAGCTGCAGCAGCCCCAAGGCTGCTCTACCAGCACACCTGGGGGCGTGGTGCCGTCGGGACGGAGGGAAACACAAAACAATTCGAAAAAGCCAGCACCACGTGAAGGAAAAAAGTACTCACAATGAAGGGGAGAAAAAGTTGTTGAAACCAAAAGACTCGATGACGAAAAAAGATAACGGGGTACAAGGTTAATGAACGTGTTCACGCTCTCAGGCTCAGGCCTGGGTGGTGAAAACCCAGGCCTCTATGCACTCCAGGTGGGGAAGCAGCCTCCTCCTCCCAGAATGCACAGAGAGACACACACATGGGGGAGAGACACATAGAGAGACACACACAGAGAGAGACACACACACAAAGACACACAGAGAAACAACGCCTCTGTGACGAGGCATTATATAGAGAGAGAAGAGGAGGGGGGCAGAGAAATGAGCATGTCAATGAGAGCGGCAGGGGGAGAGAAACTGGAAGTTGCTGCATCAGCAGCAGGCCATGCTTTCCCACCTGATGACGGACGCTTGTGTTGCGCCCGAAACGTCGTGATTTATTTGATTTTATTTTTTATACCAACGTGACTTTACCGAAAGAACCAAAGAGTAAAGAGACTCTATCTCTCCTTCCTGGCTCCTCCCCCCTCTCTTACCTATATAGCCTCTTGTTACAGCAGCCCTTTTGCCCACTTCACCAATTGTTTATTGCTATGGTCGCCCCTCCTGATGACGGACGCTTCTGTTGCGCCCGAAACGTCGTGATTCAATTTATTTTATTTTATACCTACATGACTTTACCGAAATAACCAAAGAGTATTGGCGTAGTCACTCTTCCGCCCCCTGTTGACCCAATAGTGATGCTGCCCGCTGACAATATGAGGAGTGCGGAATAACACATTCCTGCGGAGGGAGCTGGTAGGAACGTTGGGTTGCTCGGTCAATGGCCAGGGTCAACGGCGGCGTGGTGTATTCCACAAATATGCCCGGCGTGAGTAGGTTAAACGTTGAGTTTTATAAGGGCACCACGGGGTGACTAGCCCTTCCCCACCCAGCCCCACCCCTCCCACCCCCCACCCAGCCCCACCCTCCGCACCCAGCCCCTCCCCACCCTCCCCACCCAGCCCCTCCCCTCCCCACCCTCCCCTCCCCACCCAGCCCCTCCCTCCCCACCCAGCCCTTCCCTGCACGACGGACACAATAATCCCATGTGGGCTGGTGGAACCAGTGGGTTCCTACTAGTATAACGCCTCTCCAAGAGGAACCACTGCTCTAGACGGTATCTGGTCTGCGCTTCCACGTTGACCAGATTAGTTTGAAGAGGCGGGCGGACCCACACTTTAGCCCACCGCTTTAGCAATCCCTGCCAATGACCATATCGCACTGAAGCCACCCAGTTTCATCGGATTTCAGAAGACGGTGCTTGGGTGGCTGCTGCGATAGGGCAGTTCGGCACAACATCATTGTTGAACACTACTTAGTGGCCGTCCGTAAATGACGTCACGCACCTAGAGGGGGGGGGGAGGTCACACATTTGTGACGATGTGTGACGAGGGGGGGGGGGGGTGAGAAATGTGACGTCACACCAAAATGCGCAACTTTAAATAAATATAGACAACACGTTCTACTTAATTAAATAGACTTTTTAATAAATGTTTTCTGCTACAACATCAGAGTGCAGCGGCACATCAAATACGCACTACAATGATAATAGTTTACAGCAATTTGAAGCATGTTTTATTTTGGGGGGGGGGGCAGAGCTTTGTGACGTATTTTTTGAGGGGGGGGTCTGACTTTTTGTGACGCCGTTTGACGAGGTGGCAAGGTCAAAAATCGTCCAAAATCGCGTGACGTCATTTATGGACGGTCCCTTATGCTCCCAACTTGGTTTGCCACCTATCCATGTTTGCCCCCCCCCCCACCTCCACCCCCGAACATGTTGGCAGCCCTGGTTGGAGGTGCATAGACGAGTCTGGGAATCGGTATCTGTGGGTCCGGTGGCAGGCACTGATGTGAAGCATCGAGGTCTAGGGAGCCGTCCATAAATGACGTCACGCGATTTTGGACGATTTTTGACCCCCCCCTCCCCCTTCGTCACACGGCGTCACAAAAAGTCAGAACCCCCCCCTCAAATATGACGTCACAAAGCTCTGCCCCCCCCCCCAAATAAAATATAAAACATGCTTCAAATAGCTTAAAACTATTGTCATTGTAGTGCGTATATAATGTGGCGCTGCACTCTGATGTTTTAGGAGAAAACATTTATGAAAAAGTCTATTTAATTAATTAAAACGTGCTGTCTATATTTATTTAAAGTTGCGCATTTTGATGTGACGTCACATTTCTCAAACACCCCCCCCCCCCTTGTCACACATCGTCACAAATGTCTGACCCCCTCCCCCCCCCTAGGTGCGTGACGTCATTTATGGACGGCCCCTAGTACTGCTGCTGCTGCACGTCATTGCAGTGCCTTGCACTGCAGTTGTTGACAACAGACCTGGGCTTGAATGGAAAACTCATCCGGGTTTGCTCTGTGGAAAAATGTGGGGGGGGCGATTGCAATCTGTAGCCCCGATGTCCACTTAAAACCCGCACTGATCAGCGCGGATACGAACACAGAATACAGCTGAAGGCTGGGAAGGGCAGGAAGGAAGGGATTGGCTGGTAAACTGATGGCGGATACGAGATTAGTGAATGTTGAGGATGGTGCGTGATGGTGGTCCAGCACGTGGCAGATGAGTTCAAACGAGGCGAATGAGTGATCGCGCTGTCCGTACTCGCTCCAGAATGTTCGGCTGCGTTTCCAGCGAGGCCACGGTGTCTGCTGATAAATGAGGTGGCTCATGAGGTAGGGGGTGCAATTGCAGTAGCTCGGATCTGCTGGGAGGATGTGGGGGCATGAGGGCTATAAGATAGGGGAACCACGGTGGTGATGCGTTACCTACCTGGTATGCAGGAGGTCATGGGTTTCGTTCCCGACCCTGACGCCTGTATATTTGAAGTTTGCGTGTTCTCCCGGTGGTCGCGTGGATTTTTATCTGCCTTCTCCGGTTTTCTCCTCCACATTTAGAAACGTGCGTTTAGAGTATTTGGCTGCTTGTACGTCTCCACGTGCCAAGCCACTTCGTTGAGTTTTGATTTGCGGCAAGGTCGCTTCTGCAAAAGAGCTACATAGCTTAGTGGGCCTTACCTGGTAAAATAAAACATTGGGGTTTTTGTTCATGATGGGGTAGATCGAGAAAGGCATGGTGAAGCTGGGGCCATTGTAGGGAGGGAAACGGTGGTGGCCGTGACCTGGCCCAGCAGGAGCGCACTCGCCGCTTGTTGTAGACGTTCACCGTTCGAATCGGTCAGGCCTCCCTGGTTAATACTGCGGGTGTATTAACCGTAGAATGCTACGCGCTGTCCAAGTGACAGTGGGCGTTAAAGGTCCCGTCACGTCATTTGAAACGAGTTGGCCATTTGTGTGCCGGTGTCATGGTGCAAATTAGAAAGCATACCTGTAGGCTAGGCGTAGTCACAAACCGAACCTCTCCATAATAAAGGCTCAGTCTTTTGTTATGCAGTCTATTCATAGTCTCAAACCGCACCTTACCATAATAATAAAAAATGGGCCATTCCTGCCCCTTCCCCCCCCTCAACCATTATATATACGGAGTGGTATCTCCTGTAATCTCTCATTTACTTGATACAGCTGTCGTGGCTGTGACGGTTCCACCTGAAGACGGAGGCTTGTGTTGCCTCCGAAACGTCGTGATTTGTATTTTATTTTACTTTTATTAATTTTAATGTTTTACCTACGTGACTTTACCGAAAAAACCTAAGAATATGAATCCTTGCAGTCACGAAAGCTTCAAATCTAGAATCCATAACGGAGGTTTTTGAGTGAGATCGCGTAAATATAAATGCGTCGTTCCACCCGCCAAAACACCCGACACGGCCAATTAGTAAGATTTGCCACGTAAACAAAACATGACAATTAGTTACTAGTTCAGCACACCGATGTGTTGGAGAGTAAGCACACAACATTTACAAATCGAGTGCAAATGACTGAATAGGGATTTCACACAGCAGCAAACTCACTCCCTGTGGCCGAGTATAAAACCGCTCGCTGTGTGTGTGGAGGGGGCAGGGTGGGTCTGAGAAATGGACATGAACAGAAAATAAGCAGCGGGACAAGAGAGAGAGCGAGTTGTAAGTTTGCGTTCACCAACCCAGCAGCCGCCACCATACCGGGTCCCGCCCGCGTATTGAACACAGGGCGTGCATCGCTCTGCAGTTCTAAACTTCGCTTTACAAATGTCTTTTCCGTGGGTGTTTTTCAACTATTTTAAGTATTTCCTGTGGAAGTGGTGGTGCTGGTGTGTGTGTGTGCTAATGCAACTCGAGTGCTAAGCCAGATGTTCACGTTCATTAACTCTGGGCCGTATGCCGCAGACGTAAACACAGTCCTGTCACACACAAGCAGCGTGCATGCATCGCATGAACACCCACCCACAAAATGGTACACATAGCTATACAATAAACACACAAACAAAAAACAAAGACACAAACAAACAGTAAATACACGAGGAGCGTTATGCCCACACATGTCCACACACACACACTCATAAACCCCACAAACTCACTGAGTTTGAAGATTCCACTGTGGAATGCTGCCACGCACACAGCAGCCCAGACACACACACAGACTACACACACACACAACAAGTCCAGACACACACACAGAGACTATATAGACACACACGCAGCAGCGCAGGAATCACCACCAACAGCAGCAGCAGCCATCCTTGCAGCCACGCACTGACCCTACTTGTAAACCACGGTGAGTAACATCTGAGCGTCGTTGTTCGAATCACGGAATGGCACACTTTGTCACCGCTCGTGTTGATACCGACCCAGCCAGGGGGCCCACGCTGTGACACTGACGGCTCTGGCGCCACGAGTCTCCTGTTGCAGCACAGGACTGCGTTCTTCTCACTCTGTTCGTCGTATCGATTGCTGTCTGCAGCAGCTGCAGAAGCAGCAGCGGCAGCAGCGGCGGCGTTGCGTGACGCCACCGCGGACCTCTGAGAGTCGGGTTCGAGTCCGGGTCCCTCGCCGAAGCTCCCCGCACCCGGCGCTCTGCGTACCTGCAAGGTGGTGAGTGGTGGTGCTGAGTGGAGCTCGCGGCGTCTCTCTCTCTCTCTCTGTGTGTGTCTGTGTGTGTCTCTGTGTGTGTGTGTGTCTCTCTCTGTGTGTGTTTCTGTGTGTGTGTGTCTCTGTGTGTGTGTGTCTCTCTGTGTGTCTCTCTCTGTGTGTGTCTCTGTGTGTGTGTCTCTCTGTGTGTCTCTCTGTGTGTCTCTCAACCCACGGTCTCTACTCCACGCAACAACATCAACAGCTGAGACAGCACGCCGACTCCGCGTAGCTGTTCCTCCACGGAGAATAGACAAAGTATATCTTTTTTTGTACACTTCAATTTTCAGTTTCATGTATTTGGTATAGCCCTGTGAGCCATTCGGCTCTTGAATCCATGAAAAAACAGCAAAGTCTTCCAGAAAAACACCGTATATCAATGCTGTGTGCAAACATCCCATTGGGATGCAAGTCAAACAACAACAACCATAAGACAATTTAGATTAAAGTTATCAGTCTACACAGCCCATCAGCCCCACGACCTTCTGTGAGTGCACAATTTCAGCAGTTTCGACTTTCAGTATCTCATCTGCAGAGCCGGGCTTACTTGAAGCACTGCTGGTGAATCCGCGCAGAATGTGTCTAGGCAAGGACGCCTCTCTCTGTCACGAGACGGGTCCTCGTGAAACGTCGGCTTCTCTTTGATTATTATTCCAGCTTTGTCAGGTCTGGGTAAACCTTCGCCGTCAAGGGGGCTTGTTGTCTGGTGTGAGGTCCATATCCTCTTCTAATTTCTGGTACTGTAAAAGCTCGTTCGATGCAACAACAACAACCACAACAAACTCTAAAATACACAACACAAAATAATCATTCGCATTCTTGCGGAGAATATAAGTTACAAAATACGTGACGGGGAAAAAATACTTTTGTATTTTGCTTGGAGGGGCATACATGCGAAGGGGAGCGTCTTGTATTTGCGTTCCAACCGCTCTGCCACCAACACAGCGGCTGTCCGAGTTGTCTATGGCACCACCATTCCGTGTGGTGGAGGTGGTGGTATTAGTGGTGGTGGTATTAGTGGTGGTGGTATTAGTGGTGGTATTAGTGGTGGTATTAGTGGTGGTGGCGGTGGCGGTGGTATTAGTGGTGGTGATATTAGTGGTGGTGGTGGTATTAGTGGTGGTGGCGGTGGCGGTGGTATTAGTGGTGGTGGTATTAGTGGTGGTATTAGTGGAGGTGGTGGTGTTAGTGGTGGTGGTGGCGGTGTTGTTGTGTGCGCGATCCTAAAAGGGCGTTCTTCAAACTTGCCCCGTGTGTGCCTGACTCTCCTCCCTCGCAGCCTCTCTCTCTCTCTGTGCGCTGTGATTAAGGGTCATTGACCGAAACGTCGCCTATTACATATTGTTAAGGCAGTGTCATTGATTAATATTGTTGAGGTTGTTGTGTGGGTGTTGTTGTTGTTTTCGACTGGATATAAACACGAGAGGAAAACTCGACCCTAACCCCCGCCCACGGGACCGCAGCAGCAGCGACCGCCTCCTCCTCGCATTCCTGCACGGAGCTCCTCCTCGAGCCGCCAACTCCCGCGGTCCCACGCTCCCCCCATCCTCCTCCTTTCGTGTTGTTTGCGAACTTCTCCTTAAGGGAGCCACCGAACGCAGCGAAAGCGAGGCCCACATGAGCAGACACAGGCGGTGAAGCTGCCGCCAATTGCTGGCGACGAGCAGAGCGCAACGGCGGCGGTGGTGGTTTACGCAGATTCCGTGCACGCGGGCGAGCAAATCATTAAAGACGAGTGATGGCAACGTCCAATGACCGGACTGCCGATGCATAACAACAATGACGATGATAGCCTTTGGGCTCAGTGAGTGCAACGAGTGAAACGTCGTGCTTTATTTGCACAGAGCCACCTTTTGACGAAGGGCTGTTTGGGAGAGATCGTAGCGCAATGGGTGGAAGGTCAAGCGGATGACCCCCGGGTGCGTGAGAGTCGCTGAACGTCGCAGGTGGTGCAGACGGTGAGTGGTTCGCTGACGGACATTGAACAACCGAATGGCAGATGTGTGTTGGTGGCCTTAGAGCAGTGGTTCTTCTTTTTCTTCTTGTTAGCCTGGGCTATATACGCACCAACTGGGGGTGCGAGATGCCCTTTCTGGGGGTGCGAGACGGGGCCAGATTTTGTCAGAAGGTAAATCGTCGAAACACACAAACGAAACGCAGGCACGTCAGTACAACTACTTTGTTGAATCAAACCCTCTATGTATTTATTAGCATTATAAAACTAAGTAACGATTGAGAACCAAAGGGGTGTAAGACTGCAGTTAAGACTTTACCAGTGGCAAAATATAATAATAGGTTTTTACCCCTTCAACTGGTACAAAACTGACACCTTTATACAAGGGATCATGTTTGCAATAACCACAACACAAGCAGTCAAAATGCAAACAAAAAGAAACAACTCTGATAATGGTAATGATATGCACTGTCCTTGAAGTTGATTGGTCCACACCCGAGACAGCTTTTTTTAGAGCCTCGTCTCCATTGTATAAAGGTGTCAGTTTTGTACCAGTTGAAAGGCTAAAAACCTATTACTGCAGTTAAGGTTAAGAACCACTGCTTTAGAGAGTTGCATGGAGCCTGTTGGTGGGACTTGCTTGGCACGTAAGCCTCTCGCTGCGAGCCGCATTCCATGAGCCCTGGAGGCAGCCACTGCACTGATCACAAATCTCTCCATCTCTCTCCGTCTCTTAAGGAGCCCATAGTCATCAGTTTCATTTATAATGAACTAGCTTTACTACCCGGCTTCGCCCGGGACTTGGATTCACCACGCCCGGCCGCCTTTGTCTCCCCAGTGGCGATATTCACACACCACACCAGTTACTCGTTTGAGGCTGAGTCGACCTAGGGGAGGCCCAGGACCGGTTCAAATAATCGTCACCGGTGGTGGCCGTGAGCGGGAATTGAACTCGGCTCGCCGGGTTCGTAGCGCAGCGTAACGCTACCCGCTACACTACAATGCGTTACGCTTCCACATGCGCGGGTCACGTGACAGATGTGACGTCACAGCTCACTTGCCGTGCAAAAAATAAATGCATTATTGAGCTCCCCCCCCCAAAAAAAAAACACAAAAGTGTATTTTAATAATTTTTGCATGGTGTACAGTCTGGAAAGTACCCACATGGCAAATGTTAAGTTTGTTGCATGTCGGGAAGTACGCTAAACATTTTGAACAGACACACATAATCACAACTTTGCCTTTTATATATATGGAGATAACCCTGTGAGCCATGCGGCTCTTGACTCGGGTGCAGCCGCAACAAAAAAAAAACATGAACAAGAAACATCTTAAAGTGACTACACGCAAAAGAAAAATCCTGGAAAAAACAGCAAAAGTCTTCCAGAAAAAGCACCGCATTTCAACGCTGTGTGCAAAAATCCCAGTAGGATGCAAGTCAAACAATAACAACCATAAGACAATGTAGATTAAAGTTATCAGGCCAACTCTGCACTACAACAAACAAACATGGCCAGACCAAACCGTCCTCAAAATCACCAAAATAAAGCCACAAAAACAATGTAACAGTGATCATAGGAACTGTGATTCAAATCCAACAACAAACGATATACATAACATGTACGACCAAACCCCGCAGCCATAGCTGGCTGCATGAGTCACTCTATAATAGCAGGAGCATCAGTAGCAGAATAAACATTTCTCAATCCACCTTTAAAGATCAGCACACCACAATCAAAACTCAAGATCATACTTTGCAGCGGTCATCCGGAATGATACATTTGATTTCAGGCCATTCTGAATAGCAGTGGCAGCAAGGGGTGTACAACTCCTCTAGAGCAGTTTTGAGTGAAGATCTCACAGGTAGTGATCCAAGTTGCAGTTTATTGGCGATAGCATTAGTCGCGATGCGTGCTGTGAGTGGCGCTCTTCAGACGTCAATTATCGACTCAAATCGCGTTTCCCTCTGGGGTAATCGATCTCTCTCTCTCTGGGGGATTGCCGCAGGCAGCTTGCGAGGTAAGTGTTGGATTCATATCGGCTCCCAACAACAACGAGTTTTCTCCACGGCTTCTTTAACTTTCACGTAATTTGTAGCATACGCAATGGGGTGTTACGTTATAATCGCTGTATTGTTTTGAATGCTTCAGTTATTTGATCAAAACTCAAGTAAATGCCCATTCGTATGCGGGTGGATTGTGAAGTTCTAAATGTCCCCTAGTAGTATATCTCACAGTGAGTCCGTATAGTGAAGCATTGTAGTTTGCGCCCGTTCAATCGAGAAACAGAAAAAAAACTGAAGTCATCTCTAGATTTGAAGCTTTCGTGACTGCAATGATTCATATTCTTAAGTTGTTTCGGTAAAGTCACGTAGGTAAAAAATTTAAATTAATAAAATAAAAATAAAAATCACGATTTTTATTTTACTTTTATAAATTAAAATGTTTTACCTACGTGACTTTACCGAAACAACCTAAGAATATGAAATTAATAAAATAAAAATCACGATTTTTATTTTACTTTTATAAATTTACATTTTTACCTACGTGACTTTACCGAAAAAACCTAAGAATATGAAGTCATCTCGTGGCCAGCAGAATTCGACATTGGCGTTTAGCCCCTAAGTGTACACTATTGCTGCCATTGTGAACTGCACGTTTACTCGTGAATGAGGTCACGGTAGCCATGTCGCCAGGTTCACCCTTCATGCCGAGCTGACCTTTGCTTCACATGTTTGTGAACGTTGTAGTATCCCGTAGCGTAAAAATCCTGAACATGATCGTGAGCCATGATCCACTGTTGGATGAAGGCCTCTCCAAGCACATCACCATCTGTCAAGGTCCCGCAATGCAACACTCCATAGGGCCGCTACCCACCAGCCGACCTCGTCACTTCGCCTCTGCCAGTGGACATCCTCTTGAGCGAGTTTCCTCTTCTAGTTTTATCGGAGAGTCTGATTCGTGCGTTGTATTTTGCGTTTGTTTTGCGATAGGAATCGACATAAAATTCCACCACTGGATTTAACAGTCGATCTCTATCATCAATTAAGGTTCCATCGTTCTCCATATGAGTTGCCAATGATCAACTCTTTTTGCTGCTTTCACGCTGACACATCTTGCTATGAACACGATCATTAGTGCAGCCTAAGCAGGCGTCCTCTCTAGGCACTCCTCCCACCCTCATTGTACGTGGAATCTCTCAGTATTCTGACTTTAGTGAGCAACCTTTGTGACTTGAAACTTTCGTGACTGCAGGAATTCATATTCTATGGTTCTTTCGGTAAAGTCACGTAGATAGAAAAAATAATAATACAAATAAAGTGATAAAAAATATCACAAGGTTCCTGATGACGACCGCGATCGAAACGTCGTAATATTTGTAATCACTTTATTTTTCATTATGATTTTTTCTATCTACGTGACTACTGAAAGAACTATAGAATACAACCTTTGTGATTTCCGTTACTTTCTTGATACCTGTACATGTACCAGGCCGCTCAGGTTAGGAGGCACGTGTCGACAATGCGTGTTCGTACACATCTTTACATCCGTGCTCACGACGCCACGGCAGAATCCTTGACCCAACCCACAGATCAACTTCAAGCTGTGCTGATGAAAGAAGCAGGATGTGTTTGTTATGGCATGGGAAAACTTGCAAAACTGGAAACAGCTCCCGTTGTGTCTCCTTGGGAAGAAAGACACACGAGACATTGCAATATGGCACAGCAACAGTTGGGAAAACTCGAAACCTTTTTCAGTTCGAGCCCATCCATATTCGAGGACCCCTTGCAAGCGATGCAGGGTGTTTAAAAATGATGGACCCGATTTGAAATCGCCATATCTCTGCAACCACGAACCGCCCATGAATGCAACTCTTACCACTTGAGAGGGTGGGGCATAGAGTTTGAAATGATTACCGCGAGATGCCTCTTCCAGCGCACAAACAGCCCCTAGCCTCAGTCATTCGCAAGATGGTGACCCCGCAACTCAAGGGGCGTTGTGCGTTCTGCAGTTCAGCAAGACTGAATCTGTAATTGCGGTGCAGCGTGCGTTTCAACGGCGTTTTGGCATTGATCCGCCAATTTCAAAGAGCATTCGTCATTGGTACCGACAATTTGAGGAAACAGGCCTACGTGACTTTACCGAAGAAACCTAAGAGTATGAATCCTTGCAGTCACGAAAGCTTCAAATCTAGTAGGAAACAGGCTGTTTATGTAAGGGGAAGAGCACAGGGCGACCATGCACCTCAGAGGAAAACGTGAGAAGAGAGGCGTTTGGGACGAATTCAACTATCGTCTCGATGTTGTCCGTACAGCAGGTGGAGGGCACATAGACCATTTATTAAATGGTTAGTAAAACTTGATAACTCATTAAACCGATTGTAACTTTTTGTGTAATTGTAACATGTTGCCATCGTGAAATATACTGCTTTGAAATTGAGTACATGTCTTTCAAACACCGTATAATGCCAGGCGTATTGACCAGACACAGCTGGCTGATGCACCTCCTGCCTAAAGCGCCCATCAAACTGACTGAATAGAAAGCTTGTTCAGTTGACATGGCCATCTCCCATTGTCATACCCTGCAACGGAATAATACACGTTGAACGATGTTATAAAAATGTACCCATGTCATTCATTTAAAGGTTTATTATCGAAAACACTTTCTCACCAAACACTAAAACACCGATGGAATTTCAAAATGAATGCAGGACTCTCCTGAAAATGAGTCTTGAGACTCGGTGAGGCACTCCTCAATAAGTTGCATTGTCATTATTATGCCATGAATGGTAGAGGCCTGTTCTTTACAAACTGCCTATGGCCCAAAACCTGTTGCTAAGCTAGTGATTTTAGCAGGGGAAAGCTACTATTTTAAGAATTATAATTTGTATTACTTATAATAAAGAAGTGGATTAAAAACACATTTTCCCTTGTACAATTAAGGTGGATAATGACATACTCCGCTTACAAACACAGCAGTAACTTGTGTTTTCTTAAACATCCCATCGGCCACATGGCCTTCTGGATGTGTTTTTTTTCAAGCAAGCAAAATCCACGGTGCTGATGTTCGTATGACAATGTCAACTCGCAGACGACAGTGTGCCCGATGCGACTTAGAGGGACAGGAACGAGATAGAGGAGAATTGTCTGCTCATTCATCTTGCTCTTCACGTTCCCATTTTTTCTGGCAACAAAACAGGTGTTAAGATGTTAAAACACCAAACTGAAACCTTTTGCAAGGAATCATGTCTGCATTAACCACAATGTTTGGGGTCAAAATGCAAACAAAAGCTGTCTCTGGTCTCTCTGGTGTGGACCAATCAGTTTCAAGGACAATGTATATATTATCAGAGGATGTTTTTTGTTTGCATTCTGACCACAAGCATTGTGGTTAATGCAGACATTATTCCTTGTAAAAGGTTTCAGTTTGGTGCTTTAACATCTTAACACCTGTTTTTTAGCCAGAAAAAAGGGGAAAAACCTATTGTCATATTTTGGTACTGGCAAAGGAGATCCCATGATGTAGTTGTACATTGTACTTAAGATGATGACCTTCTTTCGCGCCGTACGTAGCCAACCGAGCTAATCGGAGTCGTGTGTCTTATAAAAGGCTGATTAATTTAACCATTGCCTTGGTGGTCGTGTTTTGTCTGTGCTGGCTGCTATAGACCCAGGCTGCAGCTCAATAGCGACTGCTGAACTGCGGGACGAGGACCATGGAGGTGCCGCACGATTTTTATGATGACACGCACGAGAACGTGACGGACGATCCCATCACCATCCTGGAATACGACAAGGCCATCATTGTGGCAACCTGCATCATACAGGCGATCATCTTCGTTGTGGGGTTTGTAGGAAACTCCTTGGTGATTATCATCACTGGATTTAAAATTAAGAAATCTATACCGACTATTTTGATAATGAATTTGGCCATCGCTGACTTTATTCTAATTTTGACCCTGCCACTTTGGATCGTGCATTATGCACTCGACTACCACTGGCCGTACGGACATCTCATGTGCAAGATCATGCCATTCATCAGTTACGTCAATGTCACCGCCAGCATTTACTTTGTTACGACTCTAAGTCTGGACCGCTTCCTGCTTGCACTTCAACATTCTTGGGTCCCAAAGATCAGAACTATGAACAACACAATTTTAGTCTGCTTTGGGGTGTGGCTGTTTGCTTCTTTGCTGAGTATCCCCACTTTTGTTTTCAGCAAAGCCCTGGAACATAACGGGCAGGTGTATTGCTATCAGGACAATGACCTCGTGGATCACGCAGCTATTATCTTGGCCAACTTCGTTATTAACTTTCTCATTCCCATTACCATTATGAGCTTTTGCTATTTGTACATTGTGCTCAAGATGAGTCGCGTCTCTTACTCTGCCAACAGAAGGGCCATTAACTTAATAATTGCCATCGTGGTCGTGTTTTGCCTGTGCTGGCTGCCATACTTCCTCGTTGACATCGTGGAAGGTTCGTTAATCCTCCACGATGTCAACAAATATTGGCACGTGTCACATGAGACAAACAAGGCAAAGAGAATTCTGATAAGCCTCGCGTTCTCTCACAGCTGCCTGAATCCCATCCTCTATGCCTTCCTGGCGAAGGGCTTCAGGACGCAGTTCAAGAGTGCATTTATCCTCCAGTATTTTGAGCACATTTTTTACGAAAAAATACCAAATGTGCCCGAGGAGACGCAGCTGACCGACTGCAGCATGCCACAGGCAGAACGGCGCTGATCTTTGCACAGCCGTTCAAATCACAGAGACACGGTCCACTGCAAAGTATTAAGCTTTCAGCGAGCTGCGGACAAATGTATGTGTATATTAATGGCTTTGGTTGATTAAGCGCAATCTAAAATCTGAAAGCGCTGTATGCCGAGCTACATTTCGAAGGCGTTTGTGAATATACACAATGTGTGCTCGTACTGCGCCTGCTGTCTGTCGCTGTTGTCACCAGCCGTACCCACCACCATCGTGTCCGCTTGCTGTCTGTGCCACTGATGTTGTCTCAGAACCGTGCCGGTCTTCATAGGTTACTCGCTAACAGCACTTGCCCCAATTAGTCTGCTAAGGCTATACGGGGGGTCTTTGTCTCAGAACGTCCCATCAGCCCCGAGCTCTTTATCCTCCTGGTCTTATTACACGGGTTGTCTTAACCTTATCACAATTAAAACATATATAACATTGTATTATTCAAATGTAATGCAGTCTCTACCAAGAGTTATACATTGTGTAATCAGAAAAGTATTATATTCATAAGTCAATGTTTCACATGACGTATTTAATTTATACCTTCACTTTGATTGTACCATGTGCGTCTCCTTGTAGCATGAAGAGTTACAATTCCTTTTTGGAGGATGTCTCGGCCTATAATCTCAGAGATAATTAAAGTAAGTACCATGCTGAGATGGCTGGACAGCTAAGGACTTAGAGTACGATTGCAGCACACCCATACTTTATTAAACCGGCTTCTCAAGAGCATCGAGTTTACGGTCTCAAAATGGTCACCAATCTATGCGTAAGAAACAAAAACTCAAATTGGCTAAATGCCATTTCTGAGAAGTAAAATATTGGTTTGACTCATGGCATAAACGTCTCTGTGTGCAGCAGAGCACATGGAAAACTGCTGCCCCCTAGTGTGGACAAGAGGTCAGGTCAGATTTTAGAAGCAGTTCCGTTATATCTCCTTCCACGGGGCCTTTTTCTAACGTTGGGGTGATGCCCCACTACAGTTCTCAATGGATCCTTCATTTTAATAGGAATACATTGTGGAACAATTAAAAAGACAAGTGCATACAATCGCGCAGTCACCAGTGGGCGTAGGATTGACTCGCACTTGGCATAGAAATGTGGAATGTCCACCACTTCGTAAAACATCTGCCAATTTTATTTGAGCACCAGCCCACACCCGTGAAGCAGGGATAGACTTCGGTGTTATCCTTCCGGCTAAATACTATCGCAGCTTACAATTATAAATCGGTGCTTCATAACTAAAAATATATGATAGAACTCTACTACAATGTTGCACGTGACAATTCTAAATGACCAACGCCAAGTCGTTGATGCCACGTGTTGGAATGTGGCGAGGCTTGTGCTCGGCGAGAGGAAATTGTATAAAAATAAAAACAAACGATGCAGCTGTCTCGTCTAGCATCCGTTTCTCGCCAGCGTCTCTCCCTCTACCCCCCAGCTGAACCCTCCCCCCAACAAGCAGCCCGCACGGCTCACGATGATGCACCCTGGGAGGTGCTGCCCGGTCAAGTTCAAGTTGCGAAACTTAGCCAAACTCCCCTCCCCCTACCTAGCCCCTCTCACCCCTCCCCCCTAGCCCAGCTCACCCCTCCCCCCCTTCACCCCTCCCCCCTAGCCCTTCTCACCCCTCCCCCCTAGCCCAGCCCACCCCTCCCCCCTAGCCCAGCTCACCCCTCCCCCCCTTCACCCCTCCCCCCTAGCCCTTATCACCCCTCCCCCCTAGCCCAGCCCACCCCTCCCCCCTAGCCCTTCTCACCCCTCCCCCCTAGCCCAGCCCACCCCTCCCCCCTAGCCCTTCTCACCCCTCCCCCCTAGCCCAGCCCACCCCTCCCCCCTAGCCCCCTCACCCCTCCCCCCTAGCCCTGCTCACCCCTCCCCCCTAGCCCCTCTCACCCCCCCCCTCCCCCCCTAGCCCCTCTCACCCCTCCCCCCTCCCCCCTAGCCCTCCTCACCCCTCCCCCCTCCCCCCCTAGCCCTCCTCACCCCCCCCCCTAGCCCCACTCCCCTCCGTCTCACGCCCGAAAGTTCGGGCGTGAGCCACCGTGACGTCACGCCGCAGCGGTCTGACACTCGGCGGTGACGTGACGTCACGCAGCCCACCGCGCTGTGTGACGCCTTCCCCGTGACGAACCCCGCGCAAGTTGGTCGCGAGGCTCCACTCCCTTCCCCGTGACGTCACCCCCAAGTCTATCTTAACGTTTTTGACGTCATCGCCACGCCTTTGCCGCGGCGATGACGTCAAATCCCCCCGCGCGGGAATTCTCGGAAGTGACGTGGGCCGGGCGGCGGATTGCGTCATGAGGTTCGGGCCTGGGCACGGAGAGAGCGGGCGGTGATAGAAGAAGAGAGCGAGCGGAGAGAGAGAGCGACAAGAGCGAGGGGAGGACGCGGGGGGAGAGTGTCGGAGAGTGGGGAGAGAGCCGGCGACGCCATGGGGGTGCCCAAGTTCTACCGCTGGGTGAGCGAGCGGTACCCGTGCCTGAGCGAGGTTGTGAAGGAGCACCAGGTGAGGGCCCGCATCGCACTTCGGTTCACTCCTCACTCCGACTCGGCTCACTCGCTCACCGTCGCTCACCACTCACTCACCACTCACTCCCCATCGCTCACCACCACTCACCACCACTCCCCACTCACTCCCCACTCACTCTCCACTCACTCACCACTCACTCCCCACTCACTCCCCACTCACTCTCCACTCACTCACCACTCACTCCCCACTCACTCCCCACTCACTCACCACCACTCACCCCACTCCCACTCACTCACCACTCACTCCCCACCACTCACCACTCACTCACCACTCACTCCCCACTCACTCTCCACTCACTCACCACTCACTCCCCACTCCCCCACTCACTCTCCACTCACTCACCACTCACTCCCCACCACTCACCACTCACTCCCCACCACTCACCACTCACTCCCCACTCACTCTCCACTCACTCACCACTCACTCCCCACTCACTCCCCACCACTCACCACTCACTCACCACTCACTCCCCACTCACTCTCCACTCACTCACCACTCACTCCCCACCACTCTCCACTCACTCCCCACCACTCACCACTCACTCCCCACCACTCTCCACTCACTCCCCACTCACTCCCCACCACTCTCCACTCCCCGCCACACACTCCCCCCCACTCCCCACCGCTCACCACTCACTCTCCACTCACTCCCCACCACTCTCCACTCCCCACCACTCCCCACTCACTCCCCACCTCTCCCCACCACTCTCCACTCACTCCCCACCACTCTCCACTCACTCTCCACTCACTCCCCACCACTCTCCACTCACTCTCCACTCACTCCCCACCACTCTCCACTCACTCTCCACTCACTCCCCACCACTCCCCACTCACTCTCCACTCACTCCCCACCACTCCCCACTCACTCTCCACTCACTCCCCACCACTCTCCACTCACTCTCCACTCACTCCCCACCACTCCCCACTCACTCCCCACTCACTCTCCACTCACTCCCCACTCACTCCCCACTCACTCTCCACTCACTCCCACACACTCTCCACTCACTCTCCCACCCACTCTCCACTCACTCTCCACTCACTCTCCACACACTCTCCACCCCTCCCCACCACTATCCACTCACTCCCCACTCACTCTCCACTCTCCACTCACTCCCCACTCACTCCCCACCACTCTCCACTCCCACTCACTCCCCACCTCTCCCCACCACTCACCACCACTCTCCACTCACTCCCCACTCACTCCCACCACTCCCACTCACTCCCCACCACTCTCCACTCACTCTCCACTCACTTCCCACCACTCCCCACTCACTCCCCACCACTCTCCACTCACTCCCCACTCACTCCCCACCACTCCCCACTCACTCTCCACACACTCTCCACTCACTCCCCACTCACTCCCCACTCACTCTCCACTCACTCCCCACCCACTCTCCACACACTCTCCACCCACTCCCCACACACTCTCCACTCACTCCCCACCACTCTCCACTCCCCTCCACTCTCCACTCACTCCCCACTCACTCCCCACCACTCTCCACTCCCCACTCACTCCCCACCTCTCCCCACTCACTCCCCACCTCTCCCCACTCACTCCCCACCTCTCCCCACCACTCACCACCACTCTCCACTCACTCCCCACTCACTCCCCACCACTCCCCACTCACTCTCCACACACAGTGCGCACACAGCACGGTACACACACTGACATCACCCGGAGAGTGAAACTCACTTTAATGACATCTTAATTCAGAAAGTGCTGTCCTGTATAAATACGCGGGGACAATGCCTCTCCTACACACCCATCTTGCCACGTCCAATATAAACGCATTTCTCACACACATCAGCCGCACAATCCTCTGGGGGCGCGTAATTCTCACCGTCTCGGACATCGCTTAACCAGTAGCCGCGTTGTTTTATGTTATTCTCCGTCGAACTGGATGGGACGACCCCATATCGTAATTGCAGGGTACTCCACCGATAACATCTGGCAGTTCACCAGCATTGGTTCAAGCAAAGCCTGACACTGATGATGAGATACTTAAATGTCGAAACCGATCAAGTGTTTGCTTTGACTTGAATCGATGCGGCTGAAATGACGGCACTCCCCAATAGGCCGTGCGTGCGGCTGATGGGACGTTTACGACATTCTGTGGAGAGTCGGACATGTGAAGTAGACATTGCATATTTTGTTGTTATTTATATCTCTCACAGCGACACTCATGATTATTTTGAGCAATGTGTAATGTAAATGTGGTGTGTTGAAGTCAAACATCGTGTTACATTGTGATACCGGTTTTTCACCGATTCAATTCGTTTTCTCACAGATCCCAGAATTCGATAACCTGTACCTGGACATGAACGGGATCATCCACACGTGCTCCCACCCAGACGACACGGACGTGCACCTGCGAATCCCCGAGGAGAAGATTTTCTCCGACATTTTCCACTACATTGAGGTGCGTACCGTGGCCACAGCGGTGCAGGGTTGGGTGCTCAAATGCCTACATGCAGCGAGTTATTTTTGTTTGCTGGGATGTTTGAACGTTCTCGTGTAGATTCTAACGCACACAGGTGTGTCTTGGCAGAAGAATGAGCGGCTTGCAATCGGAAGGTTGCCAGTTCAAATCATGGTTGGTGGTTAACTCGGCCCATCATAACTGCTGGGGTTGATAAAACAAGTACCACTCTGTGGGGAATTCAATAGTGGTTGTACCACACTGTAGAATACTTTCTGCAAAGTGTAGGTTAGTGTTCAGATTGCTCTTTCTGCTCTGAAGAAGAACCCCCGTGTAAGATTGCGTCATTTATGTTTGTGAACATTTTGTAAGTTCACGCAACAACATTGGTGGACATGGTATTTTGGTTAAAAAGCAGTTTGATGATTATTCTTAAATTTGTATGTATGTTTAACACGTAGGCTTTTGCGACCAATATTATTCATAATCAACGTTTTTGGGTTTAGATCGCGTTATTTATAAATGTGTCGTAACTCTCCACCACCCGACACGGCCAATCAGTAAAAAAGTGTCACTTTGACAAAAGACAAAAAGTTCACTGCTTTAGCCCACCGGTGTGTTAAAGCGTGAAACCACAACATTTACAATTTTTGAGTACGACGTTTCGCTGGTAATTGCATCCAGCATCATCGGGCAATTCGCCAGAATGGTGAGGCTCTGCTCTGGCTCCCGGTCTTATATAGAGCAGCAGCAGGGTGATTGTATGTGCCTGTACACTACTAAAACACAGTTGATACGTTAATTTAATTTTAATGGACAAGCAATACCAGTGGTAGTCGACAAGGCCATGGGAAGTGTTTCTTTGGACCTTTTGCAGATACCATTTTTTCTTTTAAAAAAACATCAGATTTATTGCTGCGTGGTGGTCCGCAAAGAATTAGTGTTGACAGTGGTGCGCAGGTCCATAAAGGTCGGGAACCGCTGATTTAGCATTTGTTCAAAATACACTTGTGAACTTTCTCGGTATGTTTACAACACTAAATATGCCTTGCAAGCATTAAACAGCTGATAATAGCATTGCAGCTCATGCTAGCCATGCTTACTACATTGCCCATACATTTGTTGTTGTTGTTTTTGTGCAGGTGTTGTTCAGAATAATCAAACCCAGAAAAGTGTTTTTCATGGCTGTGGACGGAGTTGCTCCCAGGGCTAAGATGAACCAGCAGCGTGGTCGGCGATTCAGGTGTGTGCACTGATGCTTATTGCATGGCAGGGAGTGGATCAGAAACTTTATACTCCATTCAGAAAAACACATTCCTGCGGAGGGAGCTGGTAGGAACGTTGGGTTGCTCGGTCAATGGCCAGGGTCAACGGCGGCGTGGTGTATTCCGCAAATATGCCTAACTGTGAGGGTGGGCACGAGCCGGCGTGAGTAGGTTAAACGTTGAGTTTTATAAGGGCACCACGGGGTGACCAGCCCCTCCCCACCCAGCCCCACCCCTCCCACCCCCAACCCAACCAGCCCCTCCCCACCCTCCGCTCCCCACCCAGCCCCTCCCCACCCTCCCCTCCCCACCCAGCCCCTTCCCACCCTTCGCTCCCCACCGAGCCCCTCCCTGCACGATGGACACAATAATCCCCTGTGAGCTGGTGTAACCAGGAGGTTCCTACCAGTAAAATGTAGACATGTGGTCCTTTACGTTTGGGTTGTGTCGCTCTTAGCCTCGCTTGATCCTTGTATTTTGCTTAATGCTGCTTATTATTTAGCCTACTATGCCGGAGGGTCTAATCAAACCAAGTGCTTGGTTCTGCTTACCCTTGAATCATCTCGAATTCAGGATTTTTCATTCAGAGTGATTTGGTGGTGCTTGTTCAAGTGAAAAACCACAACTGGCTGTATGAGCAGATATGTACGTTTTTGGTTTGAATGTGAGGTTTGTGTATTTACCATGAATGATTGATGACCTCTTCCTTGCATTTTGCTTTGCAGAAGTGCTAAGGAAGCTGAGGATAAAATAAAAAAGGCAATTGAAAAAGGTGAAGTCCTCCCCACTGAGGAAAGATTTGATTCCAACTGCATTACACCAGGTGAGAGGAATGGAATGGTTTCATAGATTCAACTGTACTTTTAATTTTACTACTAAGTAATTACTACTGAGCAAGGCCTTGGAATGATGGTGACTTTCAGTTTTACAATTTCTCATGTTGATTTGTATTGCTTGGCCAATTTAAATTAAGAGCTATATAGTTAATTTTGATTTAAAGCTTTCGTGACTGCAGGGATACATATTATTGGTTCTCTCGGTAAAGTCACGTAGAAGGGAAATAATAAAATAATACAAATATAAAACAATAACAATTCTCACGACGTTTCGACTGCAACACAAGCAATCATCATCAGGTGTGAATCTGTGGAATCTGTGGATTTCACACCTGATGATGATTGCTTGTGTTGCAGTCGAAACGTCGTGAGAATTGTTATTGTTTTATATTTGTATTATTTTATTTTTTCCCTTCTACGTGACTTTACCGAAAGAACCAACAATATAGCTATATAGTTTTCATTGTTATATACCGCACCTATTGAAGCTCAATGAGCCTCCAGTAGGCCATATGGCTCCCACAACAGACGAGTGAGAAGCTGCCTAATCATCGCACCAGTTCAAGCAGATGAACTTCGAGTCGATTAATGACATGAACACAATAGCAATGGAACCCGAGGTAATCATATTGTATTGGATATGACAATATGTTCCGGAGCTAAATGATAACATCAGGGTCTGCTAGCCATGGCATTACTGTTGGGAGAGTGATGTCTGTGTCAGAGAGCTGGACATTAACAAAGCAACTTAAAAAAGGAGCATATGGGTTTTCAGCATATGTGCACGTGTGAGAAAATAAGCACTTAAATGAAACATTGGGCAGTGCCATGGCCTTGCGGTCGCATTTAGATACGACATTTCACTTGAAACTGCGCCAAGCACCTTCAGCCCAGAATCCAGGAAATCAGAATAACCATGTCACTTGACCTGGCTTCCTAATATATGTATTCAAGATTGGTGTCCCCAGATCATTACGTGGCCTAATCCCAAAAAAATAAATCTATGACACGTAATATTGACTGCGAAAACCTGTGTCAGATTAATAAGAGCAGTTCCCACATGTTTTTTGTGAGCTTGTGGTTCTGTTTGTTGTTTACGTCTTCTTTGCTCAGGCACATTTTTCATGGCGCGGCTGCAAGAGCGCCTCAAGAGCTTCGTGTCGGACAAGCTGGACACCGACCGCCTGTGGCATGGTGTGACCGTGTTCTTATCTGGCCACGAGGTATGCCGTGTCATTACTAGAGTTGTTACGCGATAACCGGTAAACTGGTGAGCGTATTCAAAATCAGTTCCTAAAGTCAAGAATCTGTAACTGTTTCCTGGGGAATTCTTTTTTCCCACCCCATTGATTTAACTGCCTTGCCGAGAGGTGAGATCAAACCGGCGACCACTAGATCTTTCACTTAGAGGTGCATAGGTACTTGCTGTTAGCGAGTACCTATGAAGGCTGGAATAGCACACGAGGAGGTGAGTGGTCGTAACCACAAGTTGTTGTTTCCCAAGTTGTGATGTTTACACACCACACCAGATAGTCATTTGAGGCTCAGTCAACCTAGGGGAGGCCCAGGACTGGTTCAACTGATGTTGGCCGTGAGTGGGAATCGAACTCAGGTCTTTGGGTTGTTGCGCAGCACGCTAACCGCTTCACTCCCGCTCCCCCACACCATTCACACACTCAGTACTCCCTCATTTACTCACATTCTCACTCACTTGTTAGTTCACTCACTCATCAACTCATACACTCACCAACTCAATGCTCATGCATATACTCGCTCATTCACCCACTTCACCCTCACACTCGCTCGCATGCCTTCTCACTTAGATGTGCACTAGCTGTCTCACTTGTATTCAGATTCAATATGGCAGGAATGTAATTGTGCAGCAGTTCATCCAGTTAATATTGATTCTTAAATCTAACGTTACAGGCGATGAGTGGCGTGTATAATGTATATTTGTCTCTGCTCTTGTGCTAAGGCCTCTACATTTTTTAACAAAGTGGCCAGACATTGAAATCTCAGTTTAACAAGTTAGTCTTCGCAGCCAATATTAAGTTTATTACATTTTGTTCGACCATATAGTTATTTAGACAAATATATTTCATAAAACCCTCCACCATCCTGACATAGCCAAACAAATTAAATTGTCATGGGTAAAAAGAATTAACACACCACTTATTGTTTCAGCTAAGTTTTTCTTACTTCCTGCAGTTCTGTCCCTGAAGGTGCTTGATGCAGTTTCAAACGAAAGGTCATACATATCTAATAGCTCGGTTGTCAGAATTGTCCTTGTGTTGAAAAATCGGCAAGGATTTTGTACCGATATACTTTATTTATGTTTATTTATATTTCGTGACTTGCTTATATTATCTCTATTTTGCACACCTATCGTCTTTTTTGTATTGTTTGTTGCAACTCGCCAACCCGCCAACCCGCCCATCCTGGACATCTGTGAAAAAGAGCTTCATAGCTCCTTGCCTTCCACCTCCAGCCTAAATAAAGATTCGTATTCTGTGGCGACACTCTCCATGAATCCCTTTACAGACCCCCGGCGAAGGAGAACACAAAATCATGGAGTTCATCAGAGCTCAGAAAATCCGGGCCGATCACGACCCCAACACTCGGCACTGCCTCTACGGCCTTGACGCCGACCTGGTGAGTCCTCGGTTTTGGGTCACGTTTAGCTTGGCTGGGTGGTGCTGTGGTCATACTTGTGCATCACAACAAGAAGGTCCTGGGTTCGAGTCCCAACCAAAGCCCCTCTCTGGAGTTTGTATGTTCTCTCCCCCCCCCCCCCCCCTCATCCTGCATTGGTTTCATCCAGGTTCTGCAATTTCCTACCATCGCTAAAAACACATTCAATGTAACTGATATTGGCTAAATATCCCAGTGCTGAAAATAACATGCAAATTACTCAATTTGAATTACACATAGCAAGTATATATTTACGACTTACCTGTGACGTGAGACAATACTATTAGGGCGTTAAACACTTTTAGACCTGACAGCCTAATTAGCTTGGCTATGTCGGGTGGTGGAGGGTCTCGCAACACGGATTTTGCCATATCGTCACGTGACCTAACCAAGAATCCGAGCAGGAATTGTCATATTTGCCTGTTAAATCCTGCTTGTGAAGAAGAACATTTTGTCTCCAAACGTGTTTGGTAGATCATGCTGGGCCTCACCTCGCATGAGCCTCACTTCTCCCTGCTGCGTGAAGAAGTGCGGTTTGGGGGGAAAAAGTCGCAGAAACGGTTGGTGTTGTTTATTTTATTCCTCTTTCTGCTCATCATAACCGGTGTGGACCCTTCAAAACTTCATTAAATGTTGTCATTAACATCGGATTCGTATTTTAGGTCCCAACGAATAGTAAACAAAAATCCTATAAAATTTTGATTTGAAGCTTTCGTGACTGCAGGGATTCATATTCTTGGTTCTTTCGGTAAAGTCACGTAGAAGGGAAATAATAAAATAATATTTATATAGAAGGGAAATAATAAAATAATGTTTTTATAGAAGGGAAATAAAAAAAATTTCTTTATTTTATTATTTCCCTTCTACGTGACTTTACCGAAAGAACCAAGAATATAAAAATCCTATAGCGTCTGGCATTGTGTCTACTGGTGCATGCATAGTCGCCAATTCTTAGCCACAACCGTCGAAGACCGCAACTGGCACGTGAAGGACATCACAACCCAAGAACGAATTGCTCTTGTCGGGTGAATGCATGCCTAGATGATGCGCTATCAGCTTCAGAATCTGAGCCCTTCTGTTAAACCCCTCAAATTCGGGTCTTGGCCATGTGATGTCACGCGTAACGGACGAGTCGGGACGCACGTAGCTGACTGCAGTAGGTGATGCGGTGACGAAGAGGCGCTAATGAGTGGAGCGACCGGGGGGCCAGGGGACCCAGTGGTCTTGATTGGGAGGCCCTCAATTCAAAAGCCTGAGAGCCACTGCAGTAGAGCATGTGAAGCCAGAGGAACACATTGTCCACTTCTCAAGTCCCCACACCTGTTCACAGTTACGTTTGAAAATGGTGACTTATGATCAGCTACTGATGCAAAATGTAGCATTTGGCAGCTACTTGATACAGCTACTCTAATTGGTTGGAAAGCTAAAGAATGTGAAGGTAATAATTGGCGTATGTTATTTTGTTTCTTTATAAATGTTGTGATTGTGGATACTTTTCATCACGTTGTTTATCAGGAGCGTGGCGCCAGAAGAAACGACCTTTCACCTGCTGCACCTCTCGCTCATGCGGGAGTATCTCCAGTACGAGTTCGAAGAGCTGAAGGTAAAAAAAATTTAATTTTTCAGAAAGTTAAACGATACTTAGACAGTGAGTTCTCTTGTGAAGGTCTGTTTTTACGTGAATATGTGCGTTCTTATTGAGAAGATAACAGTGATGTTTGGATTAGGCCACGTTATTGCTTGGCCGAATATTTGTCGTTAACCCTTCACCATCCAATGCAGCCCGCCAAACAAATTGAATTGTCACGTGTACAAGTGTTTAGCGTGCCGTTTATTATTGTTTCAACTCTCTGGTGAGTTGAATCCTTTTTACAACTAAATTTAGCTACATTTTGATAAATTAGTTTTTGACTTTACTGACGAGCCAAAACAATAGTTACCACATTAAACTCTTGTACACGTGGCAATTTAATTTGCTTGGCTATGTTGGGTGGTGAAGGGTCTTATGTATGTATGTATGTTTAACTTATTTCACACCGTACGTAGCCAACCGTGCTAATCCGAGGTGCAGACAAAAGTTATGACCAGATCATTTCAAAGTCTAACCCAAAAATCAATATCAATCATAATATCGGCTGCGATAACCTCCAGGTTAAGATGACGTTGTTGCCGCGCTATGTAACGGTCCAGAATATTTTAAGCACAGAGAGCGCCATTCTGTTGGCCCACTCATGTGTTTTTTTGTGCGACAGGCATTGCTGCCCTTCCCGTTCAGCGTGGAGCACGTGATCGATGACTGGGTGCTCATGGGCTTCCTCGTTGGGAACGACTTCATCCCCAACCTGCCCAACCTTCACATTGCCCAGGATGCACTTCCACTGCTCTATCGCACGTACATCAAAGTGCTTCCCACTCTTGATGGTGATTGACTAAGCCTGGCCTCGCTCAGGTTGCGTTGAAGTTTATTTTGTTTAACCAGTTGAGAAATCAAGGTCGTCACATTTGCAAGAGTTACCTGGGCCACCAACATGACAAATGCGGTAACGTAAATACGAGTACAAGAAAGAAGCACGTAGAAATTACTCTTTGGTTCTTTCGGTAAAGTCACGTAGGTGAAAATAAAATACAAAGTGAAAACTACTAAATTAAATCACGACGTTTCGGGCGCAACACAAGCATCCTTCATCAGGTGAGGACCACCACAGCGAAAACAGTTGCTGAGGTATGCCAAAGAGATGGCTTTGACGTCGTGATTTAATTTAGTTGTTTTCACTTTTTTATTTTATTATTATTTTCACCTACGTGACTTTACCGAAAGAACCAAAAAGTATGGATCCTTGCAGTCATGAAAACTTCAAATCTAGAATCACGTAGAAATTGGTGCAAAAACAATGAAATAGAACTATAAGGAAAATAGTAAATTGTGCACGTAAGAATAAGGATGTACAATTGTTTGCAGGTATTTGAAAAAGGTCACTTTATATCAACGGTGTGAATGTGCCAGGACAAACAAGACAACATGCAAGATAGATTATACAAATGGGACGCTCTAATGTTTGTTCTGATTTGCTTCTCTGTTTTGGATTCAACAATGCTGATCGGTCGCTCTCTAAAGGCAACAGCATTTGTTTAGCGGGCTATACTCTGTAAATGAGAATAAGTTAATTACAAAGTGTGTGCTGCTTGAGTTATACCACCACTGCCTATGTTGGGTGGTGGGGGAGGCTCTTATGACATTAATTTAGCCAGATCATTACTTGAACTGAACTAAATAGCAGTTATGAATCATATTCTTGGTTCTTTCGCTAAAGTCACGTAGAAGGGAAACAATAAAATAATAAAAATATTGTTTTATATTTTTATTATTAATAAAAATATTGTTTTATATTTTTATTATTTTATTGTTTCCCTTCTACGTGACTTTACCGAAAGAACCAAAAATATGAATCCCTGCAGTCACGAAAGCTTTAAATCAAAAATTAAGTTATGAAGCATCGTAATTTTAATATTTGGGAAGTCGACAGCGACTGTTGTTTCAAGGTACACATGATACTCATGTTTTTTCTGTCTTTGTTCTTCAGGCTACATCAACGAATCGGGGATTTTGAACCTGCCCCGGTTTGAACAGTACCTCGATGCGCTCTCCAAGGTAAGTTATCCACGGAGAGATGCTAGGAGGCTGCCAGAGCACCCCTTAGAGATATAAACATAAATAACAATTGTAGTGGTATTTACAATGTGTTGCTTAAAGGCCTTGGCAACTCAAAACGCCTTGCATCACATCTCAAACATTTAAAGAGCGAAGCCTCCCCTTGTGTTGGATGATGTTTGGGATCCACTGGGTGCAGGTTTGATGACATCGCCCATTATAGGACGAGATCAAAGAGTGCGATTGCTTGAAAAAAAATTCGTACATTTATGAGCGAGTTTCTTGTTTGCATCCCTAGCGTTCGTAACTCCCTGAGTGAGGTTTATTGACCAGTGGTGCATCATTCGTGTGTGTGTATATATGCGCGATAGTGTAGCGGTTAGCGCGCTGCGCTACAAACCTGGCGACCCGGGTTCGATTCCCGCTCACGGCCAACATCAGTGACGATTATCTGAACCGGTCCTGGGCCTCCCCTAGGTCGACTCAGCCTCAAATGAGTACCTGGTGCGGTGTGTAAACATCGCCACTGGGGAGACAAAGGCGGCCGTGCGTGGTGTTGGCCACCCACCCCCTCGTGTGCCATGCCGGCCTTCATAGGTGCTCGCTAACAGCACTTGCCCCTACAGTCTGTTAAGGCTATATGGGGGATCTTTGATATGCGTGCGCAGTAGGGGGTACAGCTAGTACATCTGTCAGTCATCTCGGTCAGTCCGCCCATGGCACCTGGGTCTGTCCCATGACTTCCTATCAGCGAGTCTTCGATACTTCACGTGGCCTCTAAGTGACCTGGCCAAGCACAGGCACCATGGTGACGTCACCATCACTTAGTGGCGAACGGCGGGTATTAGTATATTTGCGTGCACCGTGCATCGCATGCTGTGGATGGGGGCTCCTGTGAGTATAGCAAGAGTTAAAAAGGTGCCATGCAGGTTATGGTGAGAAACGTGGAAGTTTGGGATAAAACGCAGAAAGAAAGCATTGTGTTCATAACCAGCAAGAGGGGCTCTGAGGGGGGTGCCAGGTGTGGGGGTCGTGAGACCGCTACTAGAATGGCACCGAAGGGAAAGACCAAAAGTCACAAGGTGGAATACTGTTACAGCAGACTTTGGAGATTGGTTTCAAATATGCAACGTCTGAGGAAATTGGCCATTACGTCTTATATACCGTTATATAAAATGTTGTTCAACATCATTTCACGAATGGCCCATCTTAATCGAGCAAAGTAATCAAATAAGGAATGGTTTGGCGTTGTGTTTGCAGATGTGCATTTTACCGTTGTGCTTCAAAGCGAAGACATTGCGCGTCTTGTTTCTTCTAGTTTGACCGAGAGCACTTCAATGAAGTCTACGTTGATCTGAAATGGTTTGAAGGAAAAACTGGAAACAGAGAGAAGGTAAAGATGTTGGTCATTTTTTGTTCACTTGTAAATAACGCATTTGTCTTTTCCCCTGTTATAGGCTTGGTAAACTTTCCCTGGTCAAACTATGTATTCTGTTAAAACACACACACATCCTATTCATGCAAGCCCGAAAAAAATCTAAAAGTTTAAAATGTTAGTTCTGCTTTTATCTTGGCCACCATTTAATGTGTAAGTTAGCAGCTGTAACAACAGTTGTAATGCTCTATACTCACGTTCAGTGGGGGAAATGTAAATGTGGAAGTGCCGGGATGAAACCCATTTACTGGCGCTCCTGTGAAAAAGTACGGGAAACGTGCCTGGTGTTTTGACAATTGCCTGTATGGCGCTCTGTCGAATACCATTCCAACTGGACCACTGCACTCCCATAACATCCTCCCCTTTCTTACAGCATCCGCACGTCTAATAGTCACAAGGTATTTTCATTTGGTCACATGCGTTGTGTCTTCACAGGAGAAGGATGATGTGTCTCGGCTTCCTCTGGAGGTTCATATGGGGATGGGAAATCCTCCGGCGAGGGACGGAGTCAGTGCCTCACAGATTCCAGGTACGATGAGCGCGTTGTGGGCACGCGTGTAACAAAAACCCGACCCAGTCCCACATCATGTTGTGTACGCTAAGGGTATTTGAGGCAGGCCAAAATCAAATACAGTACATGACATAACGAGGACGAGAGCAGGTGGGAATGCTTCTGGAAATATGAACTAAACTAATTAAAATATCGTTTTGAATCCTTGTGTACTACCTGCTATTTTCATATGGATCAAAAACATGGCCATTAACAAGACAAAACTAAAAGTGCTCAAAGAAGCGTGGAGCGATGCTTGCCGTGCCGGTTGAGAACCGCTGCCCTAGACACTGCGTCTCGTCGTGTGCGTTGTACTTGTTGGATTCTAAAGATGCGTAGGCGTTGCGCTCGTAGTTTACGCTGTAAGTTGGCAACGTCGGTGAATGTGGTTTCACTCGCACACTGTGTCCCGCGATGCATTGCAGAGGACAGGGAAAGGGATGAGCTGTTTGAGCTGGAATTTGCGCATTACAAGCGGAATTACTACATGACCAAGATGGAGGTGGAAGCTGTCACTGAGTGAGTGTCCCCACTGGCACGCAGCACATTGCACTGGCACCGGTTGGTTTTTATTTTGTGTTGTCGACGTTTTGTTCACCCAGGAAAGTGTCAAGACTTTCTCAGGTGGGGTCCTGCCTTCCAAGTTTTTCGCAGTAGAGGGCGATGTTGCTATTTGTGATCCAAATTGAGTAATTTTCAGGTATTTTTTCGGCACTAGGATATCCAATACCAGTTACATTGTATGTTTTTAGTTATGGGAGGGAAACTGTAGAACCCAGGGAAAACTCCATGAAGAACAGGGGGAAAACATACTCTTGGGTTTTTTCGGTAAAGTCACGTAGGTAAAAAATTAAAATGTAAAATAATAGAATTAATAATAGAAATAAAATAATAAATCACGGCGTCTCGGAGGCAACACAAGTCTCCGTCATCAGGTGGGACCGTCACAGCTAAATTTTCTGTATCAAGTGAGGAAAAATCCAAGAGACAAGCTCTTAAATACAAGTTAAGGGGGAGGGGGGGAGGGGGGGGAAACATCGACACTCCACACTGAAGGGCACCCGAGTTGGGAATCGTACCTCTTCCTGATATGAGGCACAAGCATTACTACCGCACCATACAATTGTTAGTTTAATGTTCTCAGCTTCGTGTTATTGTCATTTGCCAAATGTGCAAATGCCTTAATTATATATATTTAAATATAGCCATAGATATATTTTGATATTCAATGTGGAGTATATTTCGTAAGAAACTTGGAATAAACTTTAATAAAACTGGAGCATGGCAAAAGACTGGTTCCCAACCTGTGATACTCAATGCCATGGCAAGGAGTCCACAGAACTGTGGCAATACCAATTTGTTCACAAAGCACCAGATGTATTACTGCATGGTGGTCCGCGGACATGTCTTGCGGGTTGACAGTGGTGCGTACGGCTCGGGATGGTTGGGAACCGGTGGTGTAATATAAGATGAACAGCAGTCGTCAATCGGTAGATTCTCTCTCGACTTGGCCGACAGGAAGTGATGGTACACCATTGTGTTTAGATTAATTTGAGCAGAGGGGGAGAGGAGGCGTTTCCCTGTATTCATCTTCAACTTCATTCTTACAGCACCAGAGTGAACCTGCACAGCTGTTTAAACATCTGTGAAAAAGAGCTTCATAGCTTATCGGATTCCTCTAGTCTAAATAAAGATTTCGCAGTAGAGGGCAAATTGCCCGATGGTGCTGGATGTAATTACCAGCGAAACGTCGTACTCTAAATTTTAAATTATGTTGATTCACTCTTCAACACACCGGCGGGCTGAACTATTTGTCTTTGTAAAACGTGACACGTTTTTACTGTTTGGCCATGTCGGGTGGTGGAGGGTTATGACACATTTATAAAAATAACGCCATCTAACCCAAAAAATCTTTATCATGAAAAATATTCTTATTCTCATTACCAATGGGGAAATTTTCTTAAAATTTATCAAATTTCCCTGGCCTCTGTCCATCCGGCAGTATAAATGGGTAGAACCACAGCTATTCAATTTGCAGGTGATGTGTGGTGGTCTAAAGTGTGGGTATGCCCACCTCTTTCAACCTATCAAGTCAATGTGGAAATAGTCGACCAAAGTCTACTCCAGATTTCATTCGAGTGGAGGGCCTTCCCAACCAGCGGTGGCGTGTCCAACCCATGGCAAGGCCGCAGCTCTTAGGTTTAGTTGGCAACGAGGTGGAGCGATGAACTGAAGCTGCGTTTAGGAGCTGGGTGCGTTGTTGCATCACAATACTGAGGGATACCGATAGCTTGGGAAAGCCTTAATCCAGCAGACGATGACATGAGTGGTCTTTGAATTTTTTGGTACAGTGCTTTGATACCCCTTTGAGTAGGGGTGATGTTTCATTTCAAGTAAAACCTTTAGCCGGCAGCTGCGCATTGACACATTCGCAATCTTGCACGAGTAAACTTGTTGAACGTTTCTATTTTATTTTGAACGTATTTTCACAGCGATTTTTTGGCGAAACAAGCTCTGTGTTACGTGGAAGCCATTCAGTGGATCCTGCATTATTACTACAACGGTGTGGCATCATGGGGATGGTGAGTGAGTGTGTTTATTTGTTTTGTCTTCAGGAAGATAATGGGTTGTATGAAAAACAAGAATAGGTTTTACCCTTTCTGGCAATAAAACAGTTGTTAAGATGTTCAAACACCAAATGTATACATTTTGCAACAACAGAAAACAGATAGAAGGCTGTCTCTGGTGTTGGCCAATCAGTTTTAAAGACAATGCATATGTAGTGACTTGACTCGGAGACGCTAAGACTTGGAGGCACTTTTATTTAACCGAGCACCCTTTGCACAATACACACCCTACGCTGGTACACACTCTTCTGTCGCTCGTTTATACACAACTCTACGCGGGTCGCTAGCCTATACACACGCTAGCCGTCTAACACTGACGGCGCTGAACCGAGACGGCCAACTACCGTCTAGCAGCGCAACATCGAGTGAAGACGACAGCGACGATGGCGACGAGACGATGGCGACGATCTTCAACAGCACGGCGGGGATCCCACTCCAAACGACAGCCCCGAGCTCTCGCTCAGGGCCCCCTTTTATGCTCCCAGCGTGGCCTCGCTCCGCCCCGGCTACGCCCTCTCTCTAGAACCTACTAGCGGGCTCCCAGGCTTCCCCCATGTGCCCCTTCTGTAATCTTTCCCCCAGATATCCCATCTGGTGTATCACGTGGCCTGCTGACATCAGGGCTGCTGTAAACCACAGATCCCCTTCCCCACCTGCAGCCAGCGCTATGCTGCTACATAGCTCATTCTATGTCACTACACATATATTAGCAGAGCATGTTTGTTTGCATGTTCAACATAAGTACGTGTGGTTAATGCAGACTTGATTCCTTGCCAAAGGTTTCTATTTGGTGTTTGAACATCTTAACACCTGTTTTATTGCCAGAAAGAATTGAACCTATTGTTAATTTTCATACTGTGATACTGGCAAAAAGGTCCCATGATATAATGGGTGGTGGTATTAAGCTCTTCCACATGTCTATTGGGGGGGGGGGGGGTGGGCACGTGTCCACAGAACAAACACAGCTGGCTTCCCCTCAAAGTGGCAATCATTTTAGGGACCCCCGAGGGATTGTGGGCTGAGTCAGTGCCCAACCAGGATTTTAACTCACAACCTTACGATGATTACGCCACTTGCCCTATTGCTGAGCCTTGGTATTTCATAATTAAAGTACATAATACCTTTCAAAGTATTGCATTTTAATTGTGTGAGTTTAGTGCTGGGATCACTGTCAGTGGAAAGGTAAGGCTGTTCACATGTGCTGACAACAGTCATATTCATAAATGTATTTATTCGATATGGACATTGTTTTGCAAGTATATTACATCCATTTCAGTCTATAGTTGTGATTGTTACCAGCCAGCGATGGTCATTTGCTTTTGCTGTGTTTTTTGGTTGTGATTACACATTCAGGTTCTATCCCTACCACTACGCCCCATTTGTGTCCGACGTGCGTGGAATTTCAAAGCTGGAACTTAAGTTAAATCTGGGCCAGCCCTTCCTGCCCTATCAACAACTCCTAGCTGTGCTGCCTTCTCTGAGCAAACAACTGTTGCCACAAGCCTACCAGGTGTGTATTGGGGTGCTATCGTGCCTCTGTGCTGGCCTGCGTGTTCACGAGTGTCTGCCTGTGTTCACGAGTGTCTCTGCCTGCCACGGTGGAGCGGAAAAAGAACACCCGAGCACACAGTCAACTGATGCCCATCAAGGCCATGGAACGGCGGCACTGATGCATTTCACCAGCTCGCAGCCAGCGCCGTCAAACGGTTACAGAAGCTAGACTTCGCTTTAGAACTGTTGCTGCTGTTCCAAACGCAGTTGGTTATCTCTGCAGCACGCCATAACGGAAGGATAATAAAATAAAAAGAAGACGCACGCAGAGCCTGCTTTCGTATTGTGTTGCGTAAGCCACTTTTTATGATTTTGAGGCATTTTAAATCCAAGGCTAGGTGAGTGAATTACCATTGTCTTATGAGGCTGGGGCACGGAATACCTTGGTAATGAAGAGCCCATTGTCTCCTGATATCTCTTGGTATCCACTGCAGCGTGGATGAAAGGGGGCTTCCTACAGAGGGCACGACACCAGCCCGCAGTCATCTTTGTGTCACTGCTGCCTGTTTTTTGGGATGGCCACATTTTCTCAACATTCAGATCTGTTGAGCTTGTGGGCTGGATAATGCAATGCTACACACCTCTGTGTTGTTAAACCAAAAGAAGCTTCTCAGCATTGATGCTTGACACACACAGTTTCTCCGTTGAACCTAAGTCTGATCGTTTTGAATGTTCCTCCTCAGAGCCTTGTGTCGGATGAGACATCTCCGCTGCACGATTTCTACCCTAAAGATTTCAACACCGATCTCAATGGTAAGCAGCACGAGTGGGAGGCCGTGGTGCTGGTGCCCTTCATCTGCGAGGTGAGACCGTGTACACCGTACATCGCCGTGCATTCTGCGAGGCACGCAAAGACGCATGCTGCGTGCACGTATATAAACCGTGCAGGACACAGCCAACACGTGCACTGTAGGGGTTTATACACTTGTACAGTTGCATCAACGTTATCCACATGCTCACATCATGTTGTGTCGCACCAATGTCAACCTCCGCTCCGGATCTTTTTCAATCATCCAAGTTTCTTTCCCTGTTCTGCCATGAAATGTCGAAAAACCTCTGTGTACTCAAAGGCCACAGACTTCCTTTCTTGTTGCTTTGTTGACGTCCAGTAACATTACATGTGGTACTCTCTGGTTCTTTCGGTAAAGTCACGTAGGTATAAAATAAAATGTTTATTTTTTTATTTTATAACTACGTGACTTTACCGAAAGAACCATAGAGTATGGATTCCTGCAGTCACGAAAGCTTCAAATCAAGATTACATGTGGTTTTAGCGCGGTAAGTTGGCCGCCTCTTCCCAAGTGGTTTATTCATGTAGCACATCACAACGATGTTGCTGTCCCCCAGAAACGTCTCCTGGAAGCGATGAAGTCGTGCGAGCACCTCCTGACGGAGGAGGAACGCCAGAGGAACGTTCACTCGGCGTGTCTGGAGTACCTGTCCAGCAGAACGCCCAGGTGAGATAGCCGTGTGCACGGGGGTAGTGTAAACAAAATAAAGAATATATTCACACATCTTTTTACGAGCACAGTTTTTTTGTTAACACTCTCCTAAGCTCTGTGACCCTATACTGGAATAACAGAATACTTGGTCTTGCATCGGAGATACTGCAGACAGCACTCTGCGCCAGGGTAGAGCAGTTACACGATGGAACTGGGAAGACCCAAGCGCCGGCACAGATGTGAATATAATCGTTTTATACACCTCGCCATAGAGGTTTCAAGGCTTTCCTTTCTGGTATTTACGATTCTGATCTTTAAAAAATCACCGCTGCAACATGTAACCATCTTCCGCCCACACTTAACATGTGCCAATAGTCTCAACTCATTTAAATCCTTAATGTGAGTTAATACAGGAAATTAAATTGCAGCCACAAATGGCTGTATGAGTGTAACCCTCACGGATACCGGCCAGCTGGCTTGGCGGGTGAGCGAGCACCACACATCCAGAAGGTTGCAAATGAAAAGCCTGGTGGGGGTTGACGCAGCCCATCAACCCTTCCTGAGGGGTTGTAAACTAATAGTTCCACTTTGCGGCAAAGTCTGCAGTGGTTGTCTTAGGGATAGACATACCCTCGCTATAGGAATGGGCACTTTCCACCGCTGGCTCAGGGCTGTAAACAGAAGATGAGCACCACCTCAATGCCTATTTGAGCAGGGGAAATCACGTGGACTTTTCTCTGCATTCACACTAATTGATTGCGGTCCTGTCGTAACTTGTGGACGAGTTGTTGGTATTTTTCGTTGACGGCTTAACACCTGGTGTGATGGGGTCATTCCTTGGTACCAGGTGCGTTGAGGTGCCCATGGACGCCTGGCACGTGAAGACCAGGAAACCGCAGACGGAATACTCCACCCCCACCCTCTTCTACCCGGGCTTTCCCACCCTCAAGCAAATCCCACACAAGGTAGTAATAGTGATGAACAATTGAGTGCAATTGGTATTCACGCCATTCTTACAGTGCGGGGCTGTCGCATAGACGCGGAGTTTCAGTAGGATGTCCAGCAGGGAACAATGTAGCTCTGTGTAATCCAAATTGAGTGTAAGTGGAGCTGAGCTTTTGTTAACACCTGATCATGCCGGATGTAATGTCCAGTGAAACGTCAAGTGTAAGATTGTGAATGTTACTTTCTTTAAAAAAATCCGGTTTTGCTGAAAAAACAAACCAATTGGCATGTTTACCCATGTGACCACTTTACTTTATTTGCTGTGTCACAAGATTATTTAAATATCTGACACAAAATTACGTGCAGAATAACAATACGTACCCTTCGAAATGGTTGCATGTTATGCCTTATGGCTCAGTACCCGGTAATAAATCCATCCAAAAGGAAATTGGCAGTTGCCTGCACTGAGCTGTAAAGGCAATCACTGCTTCTCCTCTTGGCTTTGTCGGCAGTTCTACTTCAAGAAGGCCGGCGTCACGGTGTTCCAGCACAAAAGCAGAGGAGAGAGCATCATCCTCGAAGTATTGCCCAAGAACAACGAAATGGTAAAATACCGAATACATTTAAAATGGTACTTTTATGAAAGTTTATTCATGATTGTTTCGAATGTAAATTTACTTTATATTTAACAGAGCAAAAGTAGGGTGGTGCACGTGCTTTTGGGCAGCGGAATTTGATCGTGAGAACCACTTGGTAACGCATGTGTCCTTGCATGCGCAAAATTTATTTGTTGACCAATTGCGTCCGCTATCAGAGATCGATATGCAAGGGGCAGTCCTCAGCAACGTGGGCAGCTCTTGAGTAGCTCCGCAGTCACATGGTGGACATGGACAGTGCATCAGGGGGCTTAAACGTCCGTTGAGCCTGGCCCCAGACAGTCTCGATAGCTGGTGCCCATGTGCACGTGAGATTTGATGGTTAGTGGAGGCGAATGGCAGTCTGAGTGTTGTAAGACTCTCCACCACCTGACACAGCCAAACAAATGCAATTGTCATGTGCACAAGTGTTTAATGCGCCATTGGTAATTTTTTCGGCTCATTAGTAATTTGCGCATTGGTATTGGAGGCGTTGCGGTGGTGGAGTGGGTGACGGTTGTGTACGCTGTGTCGCAGGCGACGGAGGAGCTGGCTGCCACCTTGCTTGGTCGCCCCGTGTTTGTGAACTGGCCTCATCTGGAGGAGGCGCTGGTCATTGCGGTGGCAGACTTCAAAATCAAGTAAGAAAGAGAAGGCATGCTGCATTCCCCATCACCATCATCAGCCACGATCTATCCACTGCGGGACGACGGATTCCCCAAGCCGCTGCAACCTCTCACGTCTCTGACGCAACAACCTGCCCAGCACCTTCACATGGACTGCTGTAATCACTCCATCTCCTCAGTGGACGTACTCCCGGACGGATTCCGTTCCTTCCCTGCCCCACTCGATTATTACCCATGTCCATCATCCCTTCTCGTGACATGTCACCATGTCAGAGTATAAAAAAAGAAGTTTTTATTCGGTGAGTTTTACCTGATATGTAGATCAAAACAGACACTCACTTATGTTTTCGAGTCAAACTTTTATGCTTTGTATCCATTGGTTGCTACATGTCTCATTAGAAAACCTGAAATATTTAACATAGTCTCCATTTACGTTTATATTCCTTTATTTCTCCAATGCAGTTTTGGAAATTATCCTATTGAGAACTGCTTTTACATTGTCTTTCCCTGCACATACGATTAGCATAGTTGGCTACTTAGGGTTCGAAAGAAGTTCAACATACATGTGTAGTGGCATGGTTGACCATCATCGCCACTACTCATAGCCGGCAGTACTAGGGGCTGTTGGCCCTAGGCAATCCCTGGTGGGGGAGCATCGTGACCAACGGTCGGGACCCCAGACCCCAGGCAGGGGGCTGGGGGATGAGGTCATTCTCCAGGCCCTTGGAGAAGGTTCTGGAAGGGAGGCGTGGCCAGGGGCAGAGTGACCCGGGACCCTGTATAAAAGCCAGCTCCCCGAGGGGTCCAGCTCGGTCTTCGTACGGCCGTAGACAGAAGAGCCTCACCTGGAGCCCTGAAGAGAAGAGCCCAATGGGCAGAGCCGAACCCCTGGCTCGGGCGGCTCGAGCTCGTACCAGTGAGAGCTCCAGATTATAACCAGTGAAGAGAGGACTCAAGCCCAAGCAGTGTAGGTGTAGTGATAGCCAGTAAGAGGCGAGCTAGTCCAGGGGACTCCCTACATAGAGTATCGGGTGGAAGGGGCCATTACCCCTTTGTGTTGTAGTCTGTTGGTGTTGTAATAAGCTTCCTCCAGTTTATTACCCACTACACATGCAAAAGTTAGTCATTCTGCTGTTGTGGTTGTCGTGCCATTAATGTCATTCTCTCCACTGTGTGTGTACAGGCTGAGTGTGCAAGGGGAGGGTGCAGTGGATATCAAGAGGGTGCAGCTTTCTAAAGAAGAGGAGAAAAATGTGCGGAAAGATATGCTCGCCATTACTGAACAGTACGTTTCCATGCTCGCCATCACTGAACAGCACATTTCAACACTTGCCATTACCTTGTATTGTATTGTAGACATTGAGCAAGCACGCGATTGTGCTTGCAGAGACATGCCTCTGTGCCATGTGTGCTCTCTGCAGGTGACCTGATCTCAATACGCGTTGGCTTTGTTGGTAACATGGGCGGTGACATGGCCCAGCGGTTGCGCGTTTGCCACTTATTGCAGAGACCTGTGGTTTGAGTTTGGCAGGCCGGCCCTGGTTAATACTGCAGGTGTATTTACCAGTAAATATGCACCGTCTACTTCACGGTGGACGTTAAAGATCCCGTGGTGTCATTGGAAAATTGTAGGGCACAAACTGTCTGAAACTTAAGCGCCTTCCTCTTTGGTTCTTTCGGTAAAGTCACGTAGCAGGTATAAAATAAAATAAATTAAATCATGACGTTTCGGGCGCAACACAAGCGTCCATCATCAGGTGGGACAACCACAGCAAGAAACAATTGCTGAAGTGGGCAAAGGGCTGTTGCAACAAGAGGCTATATAGGCAAGAGAAGGGGGGAGGAGCCAGGGAGGAGAGACAGGGAGGGTGGGGGTGTGGGGTAGGGGGAGTGGAGGCGACAAGTTAAGACACAAGCACGGCCTTCCTTTGTGATAGCCATACCCTTTAAGAATGACAGCATGCGTATGAAATGTACTAAACCTGACACTTTGCATTTACGATTGTTTGTTGCATAGATACATGAACAGGAAGGGCGTGGTGGTGCCCACCTCGGGGTGCGTGCTGTACGCGCACCCACTCGTCTCTCGTCGCTACGTGTTCACGCAGCGTGGCTGCGCCACTCTGCAGCGCCAGTGGGCCGCCAACGCCTCCCCCTTCATGCTGCACACCTCACTCAAGGTCCGTCACCTATTCTCGGTGACATTTTTACGCTCGGTTCATATCCAGTTTTGGGGGATTGGGCCACGTCATCCTGCCTGTTTTGTGTCGTTGGAGCCCTCCACCACCCGATGTAGCCGAGATTATTTATGATGCGTACAAGCGTTTACCGTGTCAAGTGTTACTGTTCCAGCTCACCGGTACATCACAGCCAAATGTAGCAATTAGATACGATGTTTGTAGATCGTTACATGGCCGAACCCAAACATGTGATCTATATTACAATATTGGATGCATCTTCTTGGTTCTTTTGGTAAAGTCACGTAGAAGGGAAATAATAAAGTAATAATAATAAAACATAATAAAATAATTCTCACGACGTTTCGGCCACAAGAATTATTTTATTATGTTTTATTTTTATTATTTTATTATTTCCCTTCTTCTTCTTCTTGGTTCTTTCGGTAAAGTCACGTAGAAGGGAAGTAATAAAATAATAAAAATAAAACATAATAAAACAATTCTCACGACGTTTCGGCCACAACGCAAGCAGCCGTCCTCAGGTGAAAACCAGGTCCGTCGAGGCGACAGAGTCTGAATGAAGCAGCACACGAGCTTGGAGCATATATATAAGCTGGGCGCATTGACAAAGGAATTTGCATATCAAAAGGAATTTAGCATATTTATGGGAAATGCAGGGATGTGATTAGTACTGCATATGCATGTGCATTATACAGGATTAACAGCATCAAAGGGAGCTGCAGTTACTGCTGCTGCAGCAGTTGCTGCTGCTGCTGCAGTTTCTGCTGCTGCTGCTGCAGTTGCTGCTGCTGCTGCAGTTGCTGCTGCTGCTGCACTTGCTGCTGATGCTGCACTTGCTGCTGCTGCTGCAGTTGCTGCCTTATCCATTTTAATATAACACTATGTATTATTCTACCCACCCTAATGTGTATCATACTGCTATATGTTTACTGTACAATTACGACACCATACATTACTCTGCACACTGCACCATGCCAGTGAGTGGAACGCGGTCTGAAAGTCACCGTAAACGTGAACACAATCAGTTAAGATCCGAAATGGTTTATTACCTCCTTCCAATGATTGCTAAGCCAGAATCCATCTTCTCGGTTGAAATTGTCTCTGTGTTTGTATATGTGGATCGCCTCATGAACGAATCTCTCATGATAGCCAGATGGCTTGCAGAAATATTTCCAGAAATATTTCCCTTCTACGTGCAGAAATATAGAAATATGACACAGAAATACGTGCAGAAATATATATAAAAAATATTGCAGAAATATTTCCCTTCTACGTGACTTTACCGAAAGAACCAAGAAGATGAATCCCTGCAGTCACAAAAGCTTTAAATCAAATATTGGATGCGTTTATGTTATTTTAATATTATACTTGTTTTGCCCAGGTAAGCCTCAGCTTGTCTGTTGTATTGTTTATGTTTGTACACTGTTTTATATTTCTTCTGTCACGTGATTATTTTTGCTCCGATAATTTCAATTTGGTTGTTTTAATTCTAATTTATTGCTTGCTACTGAGGGAACCGCAAAAACCCTGCCATAGAATTCATGCTGTGCAGCTGACTGGGCATTTTCAAACACTTTTTCTCTTGGGTTAAGCCACATAATTGGGTCCGGTCAGTGTTTTTCCGTGTTATCCTCCAAAGTAAATCTTCACATGTGTAGTAAGTATATATGGAGGCTTGACGACAGGATCGGAGGCACACTTATTTATTACACCAACACAGTTATTACAGGTCACTTGGCTACAGGGATTTCTCGACAGCTAACCCCTCTAGCCTATACCAACTCCTCCACTACGGGACTAAGGAAGGCTATCTGTCCCAGCTTGGTTAAGCTGGGATCCCGGCTCCCTGAGTCACCAGACCAGCTTCGTCTGGGCTCTCGGGGCCACGCCACCGGCTTGCCCTGGTCGGCCCTTAGAAGGACAGCGAGCCAGGGGAGCTCCGGGGCCTATACTAGCAGGTCTTCGTTCTTCTCTGGTTAAAGCTGAGTCCCGACTCCCGAGCCTTTCGGCTCATCACCTTTTATAGGACTTGCCCCCAAGGGGGGGCCCGTGGGGGATACACATGCGGACGTCGGTGCGAGCGCCACCCTTGTGTACGGCCGTAACCCCGCCCCTTGTGTTTGTTGGCCATCCGTGGCCATGCATAATCACGCCTCAACATTCGTAGCCATGTGCAATTACACCTCTACATCACCCCCCCCTGTACAGCTCGCAGCCGTCCCCGGCTGCAAAAAAAAATCAGAATAAAGGTGCATCCCTCACGAAAACCCCGTGTGTGTGCCTCGCGTAATTTTTAACAAGAACAAGAAAACCTCAACAAGAACAACAAGAGGAAGAGAGAGAGAGAGAAAAAAAATAACCCGACGCACCCTCCCCGGATAAATACCCCAAAACCAACATATATATACGCTCCGGACGCCACCTTTCCCATTGTCCGCAAGGCCCCCCAACGGCCGACCTCACAACACCCCTTCCCTTTTTGTCCGCAAGGCCCCCCAACGGCCGACCTCACAAAAGTCTGCGCGTTTTGGCGCGCGTTCTCGCGGCGGGCCCGTCACAAGGGCCCGTCCCGGCACGCTCAGTGACGGTTGTAGACGGTTCGGGTGCAAGAGGGTCAGGCGTCGCTGCCGAGTGACCCCCGACCCCTCCGGGAGGGGTTGGTGGGCGTGGGCCCGTCACTCCTGTTTCACCTGGGGACGGAACAGCTGGCGTCAGGTTAGGCGAGTGCAGCGACGACGGGGAGTCGGCGACACCCTCACACGTTTGGCCATGCGTGTGTGTGTGTGAACCACGGGGCGGCGTGACGAATGGTTTTAACCTTGAGGGGTGCACATACCACCGGCGCCTCCCCCATTTGACGCGAACACATTGCGGCCGCAAAACCTGCACGACCTCCACTGGCCCCCGCCACGGCCGTACCAATTTCGACGAGGTTGCCAGCGGCACCTGAGGACAGTGCAACCACGCCCTGTCCCCTGGTTTCCATTTGACCACCTGCACCCGCCCCAACCGAAGCCTCTCGTTCGCCTTCTGGCGGAGTTCGGAATTTTGCACGGCCGCTTCCCGCGCCTCAGACAATTTAGCGATGTTACATTTAACGTGTTCGGACAAGTTAGACTTCGCCTGGGGCGCCGAGAGCTTCAGCTGGGTCGCCACAGGGGGGTGAACTTCGCGCCCATACATCAAAAAGAAAGGGGAAAATCCGGTGGCCACATGGGGAGCCATTCTGTAGGCCTGCAACACACCGGCTATACGGAGGTCCCAATCCGTCTGGGATATCGACACCTGCTGGGACAGCATGGACGTGATGGTCCGATGCAGCCGTTCCACCATCCCGTCAGTTTGTGGGTGATACGGAGAGGTCCGAACCTTCTCCGTACCCAAGAGGTCGCACACCTCACGTAGGAGTTTACCAGAAAAATTCCTACCCTGGTCAGTAAGCAGCCGTTCCGGAGCACCTTTGTCGAGGACATAGCCCTGGACAAAGGCCTCCGCGATGGCTGCTGCCGACTGGTTCGCCAGGGGCCAGGCCATAGGCCATCTCGTGAAGTATTCAACCCCCGTTAGTAAATACCTATTGCCCCTGGGCGTAGCGGGAAATGGGCCAAGTATGTCCAGAGCGACGAGCTCGTTAACCCGGGAAACTTTTATGGACTGCAGCGGAGGGTTGGACCCCCTCGCAGGCGGCTTCCTCTGCGCGCATTGCGTGCATGACCCCAAGAGATCCCCCACGTCCTTTTCCATGCCTGGCCAGAAGAAATCCAGCTGGAGCGTGGCAAAGGTCTTGTGAACCCCCAAGTGCAGAAGCCGCTCATGAACAGCCCATACCACCTTACCCCTTAAAGCAGCAGGCACCACAAGCCTCTGGCGCCGGGTTTTTCCATCCCAGTGCATCAAAAGACCCTGGAACAACCCCCACGAGTCAACGTTTTCCACCCCCTGACCAGCCCCCCCGACGCGACGGCGCAAAGCGAGGAGGGAGGTGTCCTCCATTTGGAGGCGTCCCCATTCCGCGACCGGCAACCCCAGCAACGAATCCCTCCCTTCTTGCTCGATAGGACCCGAAGCCGAAGGTGCATCGGCAGCGGCCACGAGGACCGAATCGGTGGTGACGTTCGGGGGCCTACAACGCCCCGAACCCAACAGGCACGCGCACTCCGAAGTGGGTGGCAATCGTGACAGGGCGTCAGCGTTCGTGTGGCGGACACCCTTACGATATGTGGTGACAAAGTCATAGTCTTGGAGGATCTCCAACCATCGAGACAACTGGCCCGGTGGTTGTTGAACCCGCAGGGCGTACTGTAGGGCCGCATGATCTGTACGGACGGTGAACCGCCGACCGTACAGATACGGGCGGTACTGCTGAATGAAATAAACAATCGCCAATAATTCCCGACGGGTAACGCAGTACCGCTGTTCGGCTGGAGACAGTACCCGACTACCGTAAGCCACCACATGCTCTACGCCCCCAATGAGCTGGGACAGCACGCCCCCGATGCCCGTGTTACTTGCGTCAGTATCGAGCAAGAAGGGTTGTGAAAAATCGGGGTAATTCAACGGCGGAGCCCCCACCAAAGCATTCCGGAGGGCGCGAAAAGCAGTCTCCTCCTCCGGCCCCCAATGAAACCTGACTCCCTTGGACGTCAAGGCATGCAATGGTTTCGCAATCGTAGCGAAGTCGGCCACAAATCGTCGATAATACGACGCGAACCCAATGAAACTCCTGACCTCTCCCACCGAGGTGGGAGTCGGCCAGGAGCTGACGCATTCCGTTTTGGCGGGATCAGTGGATATCCCCGAGCGCCCAACAATGTGACCCAAATACCGCACCGATTCGCGGAGTAAATGGCACTTCTGCGGTTTAAATTTCAAATTGGCAGCCCGCATTTTGAGAAAAACAGCACGCAACCTCTGGAGGTGTTCTTCGAAGGATTTGCTAAAGACGATGACATCGTCTAAGTAAATCAAACACGAATCCCATTGCAAACCTGCCAAGACCAATTCCATTAACCGCTGAAAAGTTGCCGGCGCAGAATGTAAACCCATCGGCAAGCGGTTAAATTGGAAGAGACCTTGCGGTGTCCGAAAAGCAGTCTTAGGTTTTGATTCGTCATCCAGAGGAAGCTGCCAGAATCCAGATAGCAAATCGAGGGTGGAAAAGAATCGCGCCCCCGCCAAGGCATCGAGCGACTCATCCATTCGAGGAAGCGGGTACGCATCTGCCACAGAGATTTTGTTCAGACGCCGAAAGTCGACACAAAACCGCAGTGAGCCGTCGTGTTTTTTCACCAAAACGATCGGCGCGCCCCACGGGCTGTTGGAAGGGGAAATGATATCGGCGGCTAGCATGTCATCAACAGCCGATTTGACATGATCCTTTTCGGCGGGACTCAACCGAAAGGGATTTTGGCGGATTGGCGCGCTGTCACCCGTGTCAATATGGTGTCGCAGCAATTTAGTACAACCAATATCAAATTTGTGTTGACTAAAAACGTCCGCAAATTCGCTCAGGAGAACTCGCAGCTGCGCGCGCTGCGAGTCGGACAGGTCCACTGAACCCGCGCAAAGCGCATCCAGCCATCCGTCATCACAGTCCGAATGCGGTCGCGACGGAAGATCGGTGGATACCTGACCCACGAGTGGTTCCTCATAGGGTACCGGCGTTGCGTGTGCAAGCACGGTCCCTTGAGGAACCACGGCCGTTCGCGATCCCACATTAAGGACTGCAATGAAGGGGTCCCCATCCCCTCGCACCATAGTCTGAGCCGCGAGCAAATCGGGTCCATTGACCCCGGCCCGAGATGGACCCAACAAGACCCCCCGATCCGCAACCCCTTCATCAAACGGCCGACGCAACCTAAGAGGGACGAGCATCTGGGCCCCCGGAGGCACGCGCACAGTTTTTGTGACGAGCGCCTGCACGGTGGCAAACGCCCGACGCTCCGTGGCGGGGGAAGACAGAAATGTAACGCGTCGGCCCGATGGGAGCTCAATGCACCCTTGGTCAATAAGGATGCGGATGGGCATTTTGGCCAGAAAATCCGTCCCCAACAGGCACGGAACCGCGAGTGAGGAGGAAACCAAAACAGGCCCGGATAATTTAATGTCCCCAATGCAGATAGTGGCGCGGATTTGGCCAATAATGCCCAGAGAGCCCCCGTTAGCGGCATAGCACGGCACGTCAACAGGGAGCAAGGGACGACTTTGAACGGGAAGGATGTTATAAATCAAATCAGATATAATGGTCGCCGATGCCCCTGTGTCAATTAAAATCCGCACCTCTACCCCATCAATGTGACCAACCACGACCGATGATCCCGCCGACGCAGCAACGACACGATGGGCGAGCTCCAACCACTGACCCGGTTGGAGCGCTCGCCGCATTACCGAACAATCGCGCGCGACGGACGGGGAATTTGGAGCCCTGTTTAGTTGAGCGCGTGAGTGTGTGTCGGATGTGTGTGTGGGCCAAACGTGTGAGGTGCCGCGACTCGCCGTATTTCTCTGCTGGAGCTTGAGAGGAGACGGCGTGGCGTCCTGGCGAGGTGTCGCCCCGCGCTGACGGGGAGCCCGGCATCCTGACGCAACGTGGCCTTGCAGGCCACAGTTGTAGCAGCGTGTGAGCGCCCCCGATGTCCTGGGCTGCTCCTGGCGACTCGGTCCATTCCGAGCCTGTGGTGCCGCCGATCTCCATTCCCCTCGCCGCTCCACCCCGCAGACCTTCGATGGGAGGGCGGTGGTCGCCATGGCATGGCCGGCCGCCCCCTTTGCCGCCTTTCGGCGCAGGGACCGCAAGCCCCCGTGGATGTGGCGCGCGACCAGCAGGGACGACATCTCCGCGTCGTCCTGAGCCAGGACGTTGACGTCCAGCTCGTCAGCGAGTAGCAGCAGCTTCTCAGCCACCATGGCATCCACTCCTTCCTCGTCCATCCTTGGGAAAGCAGCCTTCGCCAGAGCCAGGAGAGCCGTCCGGAAGGCCAGGGGTGACTCGTTGGCGGCCCGACTCCGATCGTGGAACAGCTGCCTGCAGTCCGAAGGCGGCCCATAGACGGCTGACAGCAGCTGCAACGCCAGGTGTAGAGTGGCGCGCTTTTCCCTCGGCGCCGAGGTGAGGGTAGCCAGGGCGTCGTTGTCCAGCATCGCTGGCAGCGCGCGTAGAGCCTCGGCGTCCGACCAGTTCGCCATCTCTTGATGAGCGATGAACCGCCTCTTGAAGCCGCCCCAGTCTCCGTCAGCGCCGACAAATTCTTTAAGAGGCGGCAGACGCTGTTGTAAGGCGGCGTCCGTGGCCGCAGAACGCTCTCCGTCGCTCCCCGCCGATGATACAGTGTGGGCGGGCCGTGCACATGGCATCGCCGGTCGCTCCGATGTTGACGCGCCGGCCGGCGTTGATGATGTCACGGCTTGTGTTTGGCGCTCAGCAGACACGTGACGCGGGCCGGCCCCGCCCTCCGCTCGTACTGTAGAGATGGCGGGAAATTTGACCGCGAGCCGCGTCGGGGTGGCGGGAAACGTCGCCCCGCGCCGGCTGCCGTCGTCGACCCGCGCTGCTCCTCCAGCCCCCAGCCGCGTGATCTCCTCCAACGCGGCGGCCGCGGCGTAGAGCAGGTCCGCCAGGCGGGAGTGGGCCAGCCGGAGTCCTTCGGCCGACGCATCCCCCTCCTCCTGTCGTAGCGGCGCGGGCGTACTCGGCCCCGGCTGCTCCGATTCGACCCCGGCCATCTCTGGTGGTGATTCGGCCGCGGCGTCTTCCATCTCCGACTCCCTGGTATGTGTCGTCCCTCGTGTGTCCATCGTTGGACGTTTACTTCTGACCCCAGATGTAGTAAGTATATATGGAGGCTTGACGACAGGATCGGAGGCACACTTATTTATTACACCAACACAGTTATTACAGGTCACTTGGCTACAGGGATTTCTCGACAGCTAACCCCTCTAGCCTATACCAACTCCTCCACTACGGGACTAGGGGAGGCTATCTGTCCCAGCTTGGTTAAGCTGGGATCCCGGCTCCCTGAGTCACCAGACCAGCTTCGTCTGGGCTCTCGGGGCCACGCCACCGGCTTGCCCTGGTCGGCCCTTAGAAGGACAGCGAGCCAGGGGAGCTCCGGGGCCTATACTAGCAGGTCTTCGTTCTTCTCTGGTTAAAGCTGAGTCCCGACTCCCGAGCCTTTCGGCTCATCACCTTTTATAGGACTTGCCCCCAAGGGGGGGCCCGTGGGGGATACACATGCGGACGTCGGTGCGAGCGCCACCCTTGTGTACGGCCGTAACCCCGCCCCTTGTGTTTGTTGGCCATCCGTGGCCATGCATAATCACGCCTCAACATTCGTAGCCATGTGCAATTACACCTCTACACATGTACAAGCGTTTACGACACAAATCACTACACAAATCATTATCATTTCAACTCCATTCTAATTTACGTTTTGTTGTTTTTGCTCTGATTTGTATTTTCTTTGTTCTACTTGTTTTTATGTCATTGCTTTAGTGATATCGGTGACCCAGGTCAGTCATTCTTGCAAATTAAACTATCCTGGTCTCTCGAGGTCTCACCTGGTTCAACAAAATAACTGACACATGAAACATGGCCAATGTGTGTGTGTGTCCCTGTCTCTTCTCCAGGATATTTGCACACCCGAAGTTGCTGCTAGCCACAGCAAGACCTTAGAGGAGATCTTCCCGCTCAACTCCACGGTGTTCATGCTAGGCACCCCTCACTATGGCTGCCAGGGCGAGGTACGTTTCACATTCGCACCGCGTCTCGCTTGCTACTGAGGGAACCGTAAAAACCCTGCCATAGAATTCATGCTGTGCTGCTGACCTGGGCATTTTCAAACACTTTCTCTCTTTGGTTAAGCCACATAATTGGGTCCGGTAATTTTTTTGTCGTGTTATCCTCCAAAGTAAATCTTCACGTGTACAAGCGTTTACGACACAAATCATTATCATTTCAACTCGATGCTAAACGCTCGTACACGTGACGACAACTAAACCGAGATGTTTCTCTGCGGCGTGGAGATGCAGCTGACAACAAGTGAGCGTTGCTCTGCTTCAAAAGCAGAGGGATATTTTGGGGTCCCCCAATGAACCCACTTTATACAGGATACGGTTTGTCCGCCCACATACAACAGGTTTGCACTGTATCTTGCACTGTATCTGAAACCGTGACGCTGCCAAGTCCTGGTGCGTTCTAATGTCATGCCAAATGTCGTATTTTGTTTCCTCGTGTTTGTCTCTCAACCCAGATTTTGGATTCGTCCGACATCATCCCTGAGGGACGAATTCGAGTGATGTTCACCGTCCCGTACGAGCCCAACCTGCAACCGGTCATTCAGAACCAGCACGTGAGTGACCTGGCTCACAACCATTACTGCACTCTACCCTAGCAGTGCTTTTGCAGTGGTTGAGGGCATTTGACTGTTGTTAATTGTGGGGGTGGGGTGTATGTGATGTGATTCATAATAATTTTTTGGTGAGGTCAAGTACAGATTGCATAAAATCCAGCATGACATTACCCATGACAATTTAGTTTTGTTTCGCCATGTCATGTGATGGTGGGTGTTATGACACCGGTTTGACCAGATCATTACGTAGCCTAATCCAATAAAAACGATCGTGAATCATAATTTTGTCTGCAAAAAACCTACGCCTTTAAGTGTAGCTACAGTATTGGTGTGTGCCGTGGTTTTACTGGTGCTGATTGTGTCTGGCCCCGGGGTTGCCCTCGCGTCCCCGTGCAGAGGTTTGCAGTGCGCTATAGCCCAGGCTACGTGCTCGCCAACCGCCTGGCAATATCGGGGCACGTGCTCTCGCGTATCACGGGCACGCTACTCGTCGCCAAAGGCTCCAGGAAATGGTAATTGAGCTTGCACTATCTGCAAAAGATACATTTACTTGTGTGATATAATACATTGGGAAATATCAATGCGTTTGGCTTTGGGCTTTGGCATTTGTGATGCTATTTTAATACAAAGAAATACTTTTCCGTGACTAATTCGAATTTTAACTTGATTTAGTTTCAATACTCTTTGGTTCTTTCGGTAAAGTCACGTAAGTAGAAAAAATAATATATCACGACGTTTCGATCGCAACACAAGCAATCGTCAATGTTTATTTACAAAAACACTTCTAGTCCTACCCCTACTGGTGCTGCAGTAAACCATATGCTACACATATAAACCTTGCACCCAGGAGCCACCATATTTAGACAGGCATAAGTTATTTATAGTGGTCTTTATCACACATCGGTGCTTACATCGATGCCATCGGTCCGAGTTAATTTACCACGTGTGTGTGTGTGTTTTACAGCCCCAAGGGGGATCAGAAATGCAACCTGGGGCTCAATCTCAAATTCAACAGAAAAAACGAGGAGGTGTCCGGTTACACGAAGCGCGTCGAAAATGAGTGGCTCTACTCAGCCGCGACAGAGTTGCTGCTCGGCCAGTACGTCGAGAGGTAAAGTGTGAAGAGAGAGAGAGACAGCCCCCGCCGCCGCTGCTGCTGCTTCTGCTCTCGTGAGCTCAGCGCGCACACAGAGCCCTGTGTGCCCAGCTTCCTCAGCAGGCTCAGAGGGGACGACGCCTGTAAAGTGGAGTCTGGCATGAAGTGAATATTTGTTGTGTTGTGCGCTCTTTACTGTACGCGAAGCACAAAAGACGCATGAAGTCGTTGGGAGTACCCACCGTGACATCACCAAATGCCAAAGCTTTGGCTGTTTCCCTTTGCAATTTGGGCCTGGCTACTTTTAATTTATGAATTACATTTTTTAATGTTTCTGAAAGCAAGTAAAATTTTGAATGGACTTGATCGAATAAATGTCTGGTGTGCTGCGCAATTGTCAGGTGACAGTGCATATGAGTTGTGTTGGTTCCATTGATTTCTCATCGAGTGTAGTTTGTAGTGTAGTTAAAACGATTGGCTTCTTTGGAGATAAGACTGGAGTTTAAGTAGCCCAGATGAGCAGTCATTTCTCTTGTTGCTGTCGTGTGGATGCAATCGACGTGAATATAATTTTTTTTAAACGACTCGACAGCAACTGCCAACACGGAGCGTGAAGAGTCTCCTTAAATTTCGATTTAAAGCTTTCGTGACTGCAGGGATTCATATTCTTGGTTCTTTCGGTAAAGTCACGTAGAAGGGAAAAAATACAATAATAAAAATAAAACATAAAATTCTCACGACGTTTCCGCCACAACGCAAGCAGCCATCCTCAGGCGAAGAACAGAGCTGTCGGAAAGACAGCATCCTAATGAACACTGCTAAGCTTGGCAGCGTATTTTAAGCTGGGTGGGGTTATATATTATTTTCATTATTTCCCTTCTACGTGACTTTACCGAAAGAACCAAGAATGGGAGTCTCCTTGTTGTTTGGGGATTCTACACCGTACCCTTGTATCCAAGCGAACTGCAGCTGGGACATTTAGCATTGCGACGAATATTAACTTTGAAGCATTTCTTTTGGTTAACAAGGGTAGAGTGAACAGACGATTGTTAGGTTTGTGTGGAAATGTGCTTTCTCAATGAAACTTCTTTCTTCCCCATTACAGATTTCCAGAGCTTTTCAAATATTTGGCAAGCAACTCGCAGAGTGACATGTTTTACGAGGATGAAATCTGGTCGTCTGAAGAAGAGAACAGGTAATCTGAACCCATCGCTGCTTTCACCATCGTGTGACAAACGTCGCATCGTTTGCCCACACCGACAGCAGTGCTATTGCAACGCTTCCTTTGGTGAGATGCATGCCTTACCATCGCGCTAGTTTGCCCAGGAAACCTCAAATCAAATTTGGAAAGTGATATTTCGACCGTAACACCTGTCCACTCTTTTTGAATGGCGTCACGGGATCTTTAACAACCACTGTGAAAAAGCAGAGACCGCTTATTGCACGGTTAATACACCCCGTAATATTAACCAGGGCGGGCTGCTAGATTTGAACCATCAACTTCAGCACTAAGCGACGAACGGGCCTCCGCTGGGCCACGTCACCGCCCCGTACGAAGGGCCTTGCAAGAGGCGCAGTGTTGAAGCACACACCAAAATAACCTTCCACACTCCTTATTCAGCGGAACCCAGCATAGAGAGAGGTGGTTGTCCCGCGCGTGTGCCGCCCCGTGTCTGTGCGTGCAGCTCGGAGCGCGTGCACGAGGTGCTCGATTGGCTGAAGTCGCTGCCCGCGTCCAGCGCATCGCGCTCGTCCTGCGACACGCAGGTCCTCGACGCCGGCGTGGTCGAGCGCCTCGAGCAGGAGATAGATGCCCACAAGGTCCGTGTGCCACTCCCGCCACTGTGCAAAGTATTTTCTTAATCTTTATCACGGAATTAATGGTGGTCTGCACGATATCTTGTTTTGAATCACTTCACCATGAAAGGACGCTTCTGTCAGCCTCAGACACTAAATCGTTTTATTTTTAGTGGAATTGTTTTGTCTTGAATATCCCATGAGAAGGAATATCTCATTTGCAAGGGTATGCGGTGTGTGCAGCAAACACGTGTATACAAACATTTGGAATCTATAATGCAGCCTTGACTATCATCCAGCCTGCTGAGCCGCGACTGAGAATAAGGCACTCAAGCTCCCCACATCATGACGGAGGGGGGATTTTATACTCTTCCTGAGTCAAACGGAGAGTGATTAGGTAAAGAAAAAGTGTTGTGAGTGCAGAAAACAATTATCCAACAATGTTCAACACGATGATTGAGTGTTTACGTCTTGTGATGTGTGAAATAGTGTGCTGTAATATGTTGTTGTCAGGCTATGAAAAACAAGAAAAAAGTAAAAATCAGTGTGAAGCCGCATCTGCTGTTCCGGGTGAGTGGCATCGCACCTCGCATGTCCCGTGGTTCACGTGTGTGCACTGTATCCACATCATTACTAAATGCATTTTTTTAAATTCTGTAGATTATTAATTGTGGTGGTAGGGGGGACGAGAGGTAATAACTTCGTGTCTCACTGCAAGAAGGTCCAAGGTTTAATTCCCGACTTGGGCGCCTTTCTGCGTGGAGCGTGTGTGTTGTCCTCCCCCTGTTCTGCATGGATCTCCTTTCTCCCACAAATTAAAAAAACGCTTATACGGTGTGACTGGTATTGTCCAAAACATCAAAATGCTGAAAAATGTCCTGCAAATTACCCCGTTGGGAGTACACACCCAGCAACATCGCCCTCCTACCATGAAAGCCTTGAGGCTCTGAGGCTTTTTTTAGTGAACAAGCGCAATAGAAATGTATTCAACAAGGCACTTTCAACGACACATTCTGTCTCTTCTTCAAGCAGTGCAATTCGCTCTCGTTGCCTCTCCTTGTCCCCACACGGGAGGTGCATGGCCAGTTTATACATTGCACGGTCATAGAGTAGGAACGTCACACGTTGCGATGAAGTGGCCACTTGTGAATCGCTCCAGCCTGTTGCTTGAGATCACTTTGAGACCTAAACAAGTCCGAACGATGTTTGCATGAGCTGTTGTGTTCATCGAATTCTGTGTGTAGCGTGGCTGCTGAGTGCGTGCGTGCGTGTATGCGTTCTGTCGGCGCGCAACTTGGCATGAAAACCGCGGCGTCTGTTGTGGCGGCGGTCGTGCATTGCAGCCCGAGGAGTCGCTGGGCTACGTGATCCCAGACCCGCAGGCCAAGTTCCAGCTGTTCGACCGAGTGGTGAACGTCCGCGAGAGCTTCTCGGTGCCGCTCGGCTTGAGGGGAACCTTGATCGGCATTCACGGTGGTGAGACTTCCAGTCGTGATCCACGTGTCGTTTAATAATCCATGAAACTCCCACTCGCTTCTAAATACTCGTCGAATGAGGTTTTTGGGTGTGGAGATAATGCTCACATGTCCACACAGATGCACTCGTGTACCCACTTGCTGCACTGCCATCTCCTGCCGACCTCGTAGAAATAGGACTGCAGTAATTCAGATATGTCACTGAAGAGAAAACCCATCGTGGTAAAAATAACAAGGTTGTCAGGATGGACCACGTAGAACACTGGTGAGACTAGACCATAAAGAAGGCTGTCTCTGGTGTAGGCCAATCAGTTTCAAGGACAATGCATATATTATCAGAGGATGATTTTGCATGTTTTGTCACAAGTACGTGTGGTTCATGCAGACTTGATGCCTTGCAAAAGGTGTCTATTTGGTGTTTGAACATCTTATCACCTCCTGTTTTATCGCCAGAAAGGGTCAAAGGTATTCTTATTTTTCATAATTTTTGATGCTGGCAAAAAAGGTCCCATAGATAACACGAGGAATATTAATTAACTTTACTGTAATTGAACCGCATTGCGCAGCATACGCAGCGTTGTAGATTTTCGTGCAGCATTATGCATGGATCTTTCACTGCCGTGTTAAGGAAGCCGTGAACATTCGTTCTCGATTCCTTTGCATCATCAGGTAAACACCTTTATGTGAGCTTCACTGGCCCGGGTGGCTCAGAGTTACAATGAGCAACTCATAATCAGAAGGTTGTCAAGTTCAAATCCTGTTTTTTGGGTTCACTCATCCCATCATCGCTCTGCAGCTGATAAAACAGATACTACTTTCCGAGCAGAGACTCTGCCCCCGGCATAGGAATGTGGAATTTCCGCCACTGGCTCAGGGCTGTGAACAGGAGATGAGCACCGCTCATTTGAGGAGTAAGTCGACAATTGACGCGCGTTGCTGACCGGCTCTGTTTCGGTGGCCACTTCACATGAACGCACACTCGGTGTCCACCCGGTGTCCACCCGGTGTCCACCAAGTGTACACTCGATGATGGGCTGAGTACACAGACTGTCAACCCGGTGTCCACCCGGTGTCCATCCTGTGTACACGAGGCATCAGCGTTGACCTCTCCACAAATCCTCGTCTACTGCACACAACGTGGACGCTACAGACTAATTGGTGTTTGTTTTTCCAGCTGAACGTGAAGCAGACATCCTCTACGAAGTCTTGTTTGATGAAGAGTTTGTTGGAGGTCTGACCATAAGGTGAGACGCATTGAATGTGCTCGCGCGTGCGTAGTACTTTGAGTGTTCGTGTGCGTCTCTTATGTGATCACTTGGCATGGCTGTAGTGGAGCACACCGTTCGTAACTCAAGGTATTCGGTATAATTAAACGTAAAGCAGCAGTCGGGGTGATTAATCATCCAGCACTCACCGATATGAATTCTCTCCCCATCATCTCTCCTCCCAAGCTCTCATAATAATCTTTCTCACTTCATAGACGTGTTAACTGTTACCAATTACAACTTTTAATGCGCCGTTCGTTAATGTGCTGTGACACGTTGGGCCTTTCGGGCCTCCGCTGAGCCACTTGTTTTAAACATCCCTCAAGTCACGGATGGTATCGCTGCCGTGTCCCCCGTGCCAGGTGCACGTCGGGCCGCGCGTACCGCCTGCCTCCGTCGGCCCTCGTGAACCTGTCGCACGGCACGCGTGGCTCGTTCGAGCTGCTGGGCCCCAACGTGGGCAAGCTGGCCACGGCCCCGCAGCCGCTGCACGTTGGAAACGACTTCCGAGGCCCCCGCAAAACCCCAACCAATCAGCCGCTGGCGGTGCTCACCTCCGCGGGAAGACTCAACCACTCGCCCACCTCGCCGTTTCTGCCAACAAACGTAACGTTTCCTCGTCTGTTTGTCGACGACGTTAAGTTGTGCTGCGCTAAACGGTTCCCTGTTTAATTGTGATTGGTTTTAACCCCGTAAATGTTAGCATGCGTAAGTGTGCACAGTGGAAGGAAATAGCAAGCCAACCAATGCTGCTCGTGCGCAACAGTATTGGGGTTACTTTCCACAACAAGATGACAATGTTAATATCTAAGTTATCGTTTGCCCTGTAATGCAAATCATTTGATCGTCAGTCGGGTATTTTAGAACTGGGATTAAATGATGTACATGTGTGTTTGCCTTGAGTGCACTGTTGATCCTTGCGTTCGTCATCGCAATCGTTACCACCTCACAACTCGCAATCTGCTGCGTGCTTGGTATTGATGCAGGATGGATTCGTATCCCTTTGGGAAAAGCTGCAAGATAGTAAACCTGGGAACAACACCAATGTAAGAAGCAGATAGACACGTTTATATACACTTGCGACATCCACCAGTCTCGCATACAGAGGAGAGGGAACCAGTAACGGATAAGACAATTAGGATGACTTTATTGTAATGTATACTCAACGTGACGCAGTCATGTTGGTTCATGTTCCAGCGCTCACTTATTCACTCCAGTCACTCGCCGGCAGTCGGTCATCTCCCAATCACTCTTTTGTCTCGACTACCATTGTTACTGTTCCTCTCACCTTCACTTATTGATTCCTCCACCCACACGGGATGCAACCACCACATTGCAGGTCACAACACATCCCTTCCCTCGCACTACATCGCATGTGCTCTCCTACCTCTCTCATCTCACTCTACTCTCCTCCAAACACTCTCCACTTGTAGAAACCCCCAGTCAACCGTTGCTCAGTGGAAGGTTGCTGTTTCTCCTCTGCTACCCCCAGACAACCATGCTGTCGACTCTGCTCCTGGTCAATTCCATGCTCGCGATCTTACCTCCTCTGCCTATCACTGCCCCTTCGCTGCAAAGTATACATGCTAGCCTGCTTTCCCCGTGATGCACGTCCAACTTCGTTGTGCAGTGGCTTCCTCCAGGTCCTGTTTACGTCGAGTGACCCCGTTTGCGTGGCGCCACGGTCGTCACCGCTTCCTTTTGCCTTTAGGAAGCAGAAGTCAGCAAGCCCAACATCTCCATCCTCGCCCGGCCAGTGCAGAGCGCCCCTCAACCTCAACCGCAGCCAGCCCAAGGGGTAAACAGGCGGCTTCTATATTTACACCAACACGGCAACCGCAGTTGCATAATAAGTCTAATCATCACGCGTGCGTTCGCTTAAATGCCTCGGCATCTCAAAGAGCTTCGCATCACAGCTCGTCTCGAACATAATGAAGGGGGACCCCCAGTGGCAGCTCTTCGTGTGTGGCACAAGATATCTCAGTGCCTGGCCTGCAAATGGGAATTCATGTGCCAGTCAGGTGCGACGATTGCTGCTGCTGTGTGTGGAATCCCATCGGAGTAATTTGCGGTCATTTTTAAATGTCAAATTTGGACCGTTATGCTGGCACACAAGGCCTAATCGTTCTGAATGGTGTCACGCGATCTTTAGTGTCCATTGTGAAGTCGATAACGAGTGGTATGTGACGCTCAATAAACCCACAATAACCAGGGCGGCCTGACAGATTCGAACCGCGAATCCCAGTAACAAGCAACGAACGCGCTAATGCAAGGCCACGTCATAAAATAATTTAATGCACTGCTAACGGTTTACAAGCACAAATTTAATTTCAGAGAATGACCGTCTCCATCTATGACGATGCTTTTGCAGCATAGATGTTAATCTGAGTGTTTTGGGCAAAGGCACGAAACATTAGTCTCCTGGATTTTGTCTGCTTAGAGCCATTGCAAATCCCATTTGCTGATGAGGTTTGTTTACCAATGTTGTATACATTTTTATATGTATGAGAATTTGTTTTCACGTGTACAAAGCACAAGTACTTATGTTCATTTCATATTTTACACATTTGAGTATTGATGGTGAGCTGGCATTTGTCTGCTTTTTATATTTTGTCAAAGATCTCCAGTGAATTCCAAAAACTTCTGTCGTCACTGAAAGTCGGTGAAAATGAATCGAGTCATCCGAAACCTCAGCAAGACAGTGGCCCGGGGCCCAGCCCCAATGACCTCGACACCCACTTATTTGTGCAGGTTTGTGAGCTTTCCTACCTCTGGTTTGCAAACTCCCCCGGTGGCGCGCAAACTCCCCCTGCGGCTGTGCGTTGTTCTTCATGCTGTGTTGCACTTTGTGTTTGATTTCACAGAAAGGGACTGAGACGCTCATGCAGCTGCTGAAAATTGACAAGCAACCGGCACGCGGTGAGACCGTCGTTGATGTCGATTCCGTTGGCGTGGTGTTCTTGTTTCCATGAACACAGATGCATTCCACGTTTCTGATATCCACAGTGGTGTGGGTGTGGGCCTCGTAATGGTCTGGCCAAATTTTTTTGTCATTAGACCCTCTACCGCCCAGCACAGCCAAACAAATAAAATTGTCACATGGTGAGCAATCGTTGACCTCGCAAATTATTACCGTCGAGCTCGCCGGTATGCTGAATAAATAATTGGCATATTAAATGCTTGGCCTTCTCTTCCACACTGGCCAGATGTCTTGGAAAACGTGGAAGTACCCACACTTTACACCACCGCATGTGCTTCAAACGCGTATCCTCTGATAACATCAGGTTTAAACCTGCCAGACACCAGGTTATTGAAAACCTGGTGTTTGACAGGTTGACTGAGCCCGATGCTATCTTCACATCGTGCTTGCCTGGCTTCTGTGCCACGTAAGCAGACAAGATTCCTTGGATTCAACAAATAGCAGCCTCGCGTTTCTATTGTGGACATGTTTTTTCACCTCGAGCAGTCCCTCATGTCCACTTTCCACACCGTTGCATGTGGCGTTCAGTTGGATTTTGCTTTAACGTATTGGCTACGGCAGGCGGCACAGGGTGGCAAGGTGGTACCACTTGTGGCTCACAGTAAGAAGGACCTGGGTTAGATTTCTGACTCGGGCGCCTTTCTGTGTGGAGTGTGAATGTTCTCCCCCTATTCTGCATGGGTTTCTTCCAGATTCTCTGGTTGCCTCCCATAGCTAAAAAAAAATCCATACGGTGCAATTGCTACTGTATTGACCAAACATCCTATGTACTAATTCGTGTTCACACGTACCAACATTACCCCGCCGAGTCTTGAGGCTTTGCTGGGCACACCCACCCAATGACGGCCTCCACCTTAGTCTTGAGTCTCCGTGAGGCTTCATGGATAAACAAGCATAACAGCGAGGGATGGTTTTGCTTCACAGTGTCCCGTTTGTGTACCGCCACCCAGATGCAAAAGCCACCACCGGCCCCGGTGACCGAGAGCCGAGAGCCGGGGCTGTGCCGGCCGCCACACACCCTGCGGCGGCCAAGCCGGAGCCGGACGCAGTGAACGTGTCTCACCGGCCCCCCCTGCTGCCAAACGTGCCCCGCATGGGCCCCCCACAACCACTCCAGCAGGTGGAGTTCCATCCCCTTCGCTCACCGTGACGCTCGCCCACTCCCTCCAACTTGTTTCATGACCCGCCAGTCAGTTGGCGGTGACGGGCGGCGTAGGCGGGAGGTCACGAGTGGCTGCTCTCTGTGATCCTTACACGCACAATTCGTCTCAATCCGTAACTTAGACGTGTCGCGGTGATGCATTAAACTTTCCATCTTGTTTGCGCCGATAACGTTTGTGTGTCTGTGATGGCGCTGCTGTGCTGAGCGTGCTGTTTTGTGTTTGCGAGTGTAGATGATTGCCGGACAGTCGTTCCCGTGCAACATGTACCAGCCTATGCGGATGCAGGGCCTGCAGCCGCCAACCACCTCTCTCCAAGGTGCTGGTGAGGGATGCCTCTTTTTTCTGTCAGCAGGGGTCAAGTGGAAGTATCTAAGCAGCGCAGCGCTTAGAGATGTCCCCACATGTAAAATCCGGCCCAGTGGCTCACCTGCAGAGTGAGCGGCTTGCAATTCGGAGTTTGCGAGTTCAAATTCTGTTTGACTCAGCCCATTATCCCTCTGGGGTTTTAAAATTAATACGACTGTGGGGAAGTCCGTTTTTGGCTAACACTAAATTGTTCAATGTGCCCATTTTCTGAAGTGGTGTTCTTAATTGGTTACAAGTAATTTTTATTGGTTCTGATAACCGTTCAGTGTAACATAATACGTGTGACTTGTACGATTGTTGTACGTGTGTTTGTGCTGTTCTGTTTGTCTTGCAGCTTTTACCCTGCCTCACTCGCAGCCGTATTTCCACCCGATGCCCTGGCAACCCATCATCTCTTCCCCCCAACACCGCTACCACCTGCAGGCGATGAATCAGCCTCCGTTTCACATGAGATTCGCTCCTCCGAATCACGCCATACCCCATCAGCAGCCACGAATGATGACCACAGCCAATCAAAAGCTGCCCCATCAGCATACGCAGGCGTATTCAAGCGGTCGTAAAACAATGCCCCAAGTATTTACGCAACCACCACAGCAGTTCTCAACTAATCAAAATGCAGCGGCCGGCTTTGGATTCTCCAATCAGAGCGCTCCGCATCAGACGAAGCGACTGCAGCAAGCCAATGAACCCGCAGCGTCCGCGCATCTGTCCCAATTTGTTCCACTCCAGGTAGGGAAAAATGCATTTACCGGTGTGCTTTAAGATATCCCAGAAATTAGCAAGATTTGTGTCTCTTCTAAACACAGCTGTATATGAAGAGACTGTGTGCTGTGCACAGGCAGCAGTATGATGGAAAATATATTTTTTATTACAATATTTGACCTTGATAATCCCTTGAGATGAAACGTCTCGTGGTGATTGGCACTTGCACAGCGAACACGTAACTACGCGTACACAAACATCAATCTGTAATTGATGATTACACAAATAAGTGGTGCAAACCGTTGGGTCGTAATGAATGTACCGTAAACAGTTGCAAGTGTTGTGTAAGTGAGTGTAAATGAAGGATTTTAATAAGTTAAGACTATCTTCTTAGTTCTTTTGGTAAAGTCACGTAGAAGGGAAATAATATAATAATATATTAAATAATTCTCACGACGTTTCGGCCACAACGCAAGCAGCCGTCCTTTTATTATTTCCCTTCTACGTGACTTTACCGAAAGAACCAAGAAGATGAATCCCTGCAGTCACGAAAGCTTTAAATCGAAAGTTGAGACTAGTGGCACATGTTGTGTTTTGGGAGATTGTTCCATCCATACCAGAGGTTTTTTTGGGTTAGATCACGTAACTATAAATGTGTCGTTAAAACCCGCCACCACCCGACACAGCCAATTAGTAAGGTTTGTTACGTAAACAAAACATGCCAAATAGCTACTAGTTTAGCAAACCGGTGTGTTGGAGAGTAAACCCAAAACATAGAAAATGTGAGTACTACGTTTCACCGGTAAATACAACCAGCCTCATCTGGCGACAACAAGAGTTGATTGTTCCACATTGAAGAAGTGACTTGGCATGGCTGAAAGTTCTCATTTTTTGTGATTGCTATCATCAACCGGATTTCATTGGGAGAACAATTCTGGTCATGTGGAGGAGAGTGTGGACTCATTTGTTGTCTTATCTGTATGGGATTGTATTGCCCCCTCGTACCCGTGGGTTTTCTCTCCGTGCTTCGGTTTCTTCCCATGTGTATAAACATTCACTAATTGGCTGATGATATTCATCATAAATAGAAGACTGCAGAGCTTGGGCAATTATTGGCACCAGCTGGCTGCCATTTGTTTCTATCTGTGGTTCAGCGATTGTGAGATGTAATTCGCATGAACGACGCAGCATGCATAACTAAACAAATATTGTTAAAACATATTGCGGTGAGGAGATGCGCACTTGCGTTTACTCGTACGTCCTTTCGTCTTCGGTGGATGGGTGCAGGTGTACAGGCAGCAGGTGACTCACAGCAACCCTCTCCAAGCAGCTAATCCGGCCGCTCACGCTCACCCACAGCCCCTGAAGGCGTCGCCTCAAGCCGCGGAGCTCCGACCTGAAGTGGTGCCGGCCGTGGTGGTGCACACCGGAACCGCCCTGGCGCAGCCGGACTCTGAGGACGCACCGCCAGCGGGGGCCTCCGAGTCGCGCTCGTCTGCTGCCTCCACCGCCACGCTCGCAAAGGAAGAGCAGGACCAGCCTCCGCAGCTACCGGCGGATTGCATTGCAGCGACATCCAAAAAGAGAAGGGCTCGCAAGCCGGCAAATTTGGCCGTTAATTTCGGAGGCCAAATGCCAAAATAGGTGCGTACACCAGCGCCGCGTGGAACGGTCCGTTCTCGAAAGGCAGGCCGGTGACGCAGGGCTGCGGTGGAGAGTGTGGGGTGGAGACACGGTGGTAGCGAGCGGATTAACGACTGGCAAGAGGCGCATGCTTGATTGAAGACTCTGGAAGAGTTGGCTTGGGCCCAGAATAACCACGACTTAGGCGAGTCTTGGTAGAGACGAGTAAATGAAATGCAGTGTGAAATAAAACTCGATCTTAGTGTTCTCCACACTTGAGTGGTTCATGGGGCCCATTGTATTTGGTGAATGAGGACAGAAAAGTGGTGTTGCAACTTCCAGAAAATAACCCAGAGTTTTCAGAGTGCCTGCCATTTTTAAAGACTCTCGGTAAATCTTAGTGCGTCGTCTTCTTGCATTGCAATGCAGATACATCGTGCTCGACTTGCTGGCTTGTGATGAAAATCAAACCCACAGTGGAATACCTTGAATTGTAGCTCGACGGCTGGGGATGCTGAAAATACTAAAAGCAATGGGCTGGAAATTTTGGACTTAAGTTATGTTAGTGTTGACAACAAGCTGGAACATATTTTGAGCCCCTTTTTAATTCCGAGTTAACCAGCGGTCTCTTCAGCAGAGCAGAGTATCGCAGCAGCAGCAGCGGCGGTGGCGGGCGGAGTGTTGGATCAGAGCAGCAGTGGAACCACTTGGTTGAGTGTGGCTCACTTCCTCGCTGGGGGCGCTTGCAGACAAGCGATACCGGCAGAACATCACGCCACGCGACCGCGTCGCCTTCACTTGACCAGGTGTAACCCGTTGAGACACGCCCGAACCTCATCGCCTCGTTTTCAAGGGATATTAAGGGCGACTTGTTTCATTTTGTAGAATCGTTTAGGGTCTGGTTGTATATAATGATACGTGCAGGATTCATCGTTGATGTTTGGGTTAGGTCACTTTAATGATCTGGACAAATTTGTATAATTTAGGGCTCCTCCACCACCCAACATAGTCAAACAAATTAAAATCGTAATTCAAAGAACAACTGTTGACAACCAAATTCACCGTTTAGATGTGTAGAGTTTCACTTGAAACTATGTCAAGCATCAGGTTTACATGCAGGAAGTCTGGACCCAGATCATTCCACGTGGCCTCTAACCCATATTGGCTGAGAAACCTTGCGTGTCAAGTTCATACGTGCATATTTATCGCAAGTGAAAAAAATCTGCCAAGGTGCTTCAATAATGAGTGAATGTTTTTAAAATGTGTTTGGCGTTTTAAAATGTTCCCCTCTGTCAGGCTCATGGCACGCAGAGCAGCAGGAGGTTGACCGAGTGCTCGCGCACTCCAATTATCTGTTCTTTTTAAATTGCCAAAAAGTTATTTCCATGAATTGGGTTAACATGGCCGTACTTTTTATTCCAAACATATTAACTTACTTTACTAATTGCATACGTTGTGCTTGAGTAATCTCATTAAAACTTTTTACATAATTTGTCGGAATAAATTTATTGCCACCTACTGGTTTATACCGTTTCACTGGTTGTTATTTTTAAGCAAGTACTTCGAAGCGTGTAATTTTTGCATAAAATGTGTTGCTCTTGTCGTACAAAATAAAACTCTTAACACATTCGAATGAACATTTGTTAGAGTACGACGTCACTGTGGCGGAGGGGGGGGCGGTCATTGTTAAGCCAAACAAAACGATTACAGCGTCCCCGTCGAGGGAGACTGACGCTCAACGTTTGGACGCGTCAGACTCGCTGGGTTGGGACTCCACGCGGGCAGTCAACATCGCCCACCGACCGGCAGACCGATGTGACGCTTGCGTGCCGGGTGCCTTGTTATCTTGTGCCGCACGGGACAGCTGCCACTGGGAGTGCCCTTTGAGATGAGGTGGTGGAAGGCGCTTATCGCTTGCAAAGCCCAGTTGCACACGGGAAAGGTGTTCTAATTATGGATCCCTTAGGTGCAGTTTCATTTGTGTTGCTGTCGTGGACTTGGTGGCTGTGTAAAATACTGTCTGCCTACTTGGGTTCCTCATGAAGTGGTCATTTTAAAGCACACAACAGGTGATGGCGATATCCGCGCGGAAGTTTGCTCGTGCTTTTTCGGTTTGGTGATCTTTACTTTTAACTTTTTGCGCGTATTTGTTGGTATGTAAATGAAATTGCATCAGAAGTGTGACCATTAAACGTGCTTTTAAATGTTTAGACTCGTGGAAGAGATACATTTACATGAATAATCCTAAGCTTCAGTTTAAACATTATAAATAAATGTAATCATTGTAGTCCGATGGCTATTTTTGTAATTACGTTTTTAAGATTAAACTGATGATCTCAGGAATCTGAAATAAAGTTATCATGTCATCTTTACAGCTTTCATGATGTTTACATATTTTCTCGCATATCATGTCTGGCACGAATGATTGATTTCATCCTCGAGTCTCCAATCAACACAAGACAAACACGTCCCAGCTCACCCATCGTCCGGTTACCCACCGTTTTATATAACGAAGTCACGTGGACAAGTGATTATTGGATGGTTTAACACGTAGACTTTCGCGACCAATATCATCCATAAGAGGTTTTTGGGTTAGATCGTGTAAATATATAAATGTGTCGTTAAAACCCACCACCACCCGACACAGCCAACTAGTAAGGGTTGTCACGTAAACAGAACATGCCAATTCGTCACTAGTACAGCACACTGGTGTGTTGGAGAGCCAAGCCGCAACATTTACAATCTGAGTACGACGTTTCGCCAGTAATTACAACTAGCTTCATCAGGCGATAGACAGATTTGTGGAGAAGTCTTTTAACCTGCGGGATGAATGAGCTGGAATATCAGTGGCGTTCCGTTGGACGTCCAAGTCACCGGAACCTCGACAGTTAACACTCGAGGCACGTCGGGCCAGTGTGACTTCAGGGCCACGTGCGTTATGAAGAGCTCTTAAGTGAAAACGTGATCAACGTGTTTTGTACGCTTTATGCTTTGCCAAAATTACTAGAGAATGAATATGTCCATGTTGCTCCAACGTTTTGCACCGTCACAATAGGACACTCGTTAAAAAAGTTAAGAGCAGCGGAGTGAGAGTGATCGGTATGTTGGCTGTGGGGAGAAGTCCTTTCTGCTCGAGCCCACAGGGCTTCACTTCCTACTGTGTATGGCCGACAGAGAGCAACTATAACACATTTTAATTACGATTCAGCCATCGTGTTGCTTTGTCCGAGAGCTGGCGAACGGCAGATCCACCCACCCACCACCGTCACGTGTATATGTTTGGGGCAGTGCGAAGTTACACGGCCCCTGGTTTTGGAGTTAATATCCACAGTCGCACACAAGAAGAATTGTCTGAATTCATTGAGACAGAAAAACTACGGATTGTACAACAGCTGACACCCGATGAAACCCATTTATACCAACGTTTAAGTTTATTGAAAACCATCTAAACAACTTTTAATTACAATCTATTTATGACTCCGCATAAATCAGAGTTTTTAGTGTGGAGACATTGAATAGTGGGAGCAGCAGTACCGTGAATTATACAGACGGCAAAACGCAGCCGAGTAGTTTGATAGTTCGTATAGGGGCAGGAACAACGTGAGCGGTGAGCGTTTCAGCAGAGGGTAGCTGCGTCCACAGGGCAGCACGTGGAACTGCCGTGCTTCTCCATGCGTCTGTGCAAGTTTAATGTGCACGTGGATCGTGCCGTGCGTATAAGCACCGCCATATCACGTTGCCAAGTGTGCAAGCGCTGAGCATGTGTAGAACGCTCGCACGCGTGGCTCGCAAAGCACTGCGCGTGTGTAGAATGTGCGTAATGCTGAGCGTGTGTGGCAGTGTGTGAATGCGTGTAAGTGTGCGCGTGTGTAGAACTCGTGCTTTGCGCCAAGTTGGAGTCGGCGAAGCTGCACTTGAAGCCACCAGAGTTTAACTTTACTTTTTAACTTTCACCACCTCGGAGCTCGCAAGTGCCAACACCTTATCAGCTGACCCTGCAACACAACAGAAGCGATAATCACCACCAGAAAGTATCACCGCAGTACCGTGCCCCGTGCACACAGCCTCCGGAGAGATGTCAGGGCAGTGAGACGGTTCGTTAGCACGTTCGCCGCAGCTTTGAGTGCTTTACGATTCGATTCGGCACGCCGCTCCGGTTGCCACGCAAGTGTCCATTCACCGTCGAAGACTTCGCGTCATGCTGCACAGTGGATGCCAAGGAAATTCTGACGTCATTTGAAACAAGGAGGCTGTCGTGTGCCGGCATCTTGGACCAAATTTGCTCACTTCGAATAATTAACACTGCAAATTCCTCACGGTTGGCTACGTACGGTGCGAAAGAAGTTCTGCATCAACGCAGCGATCATCACCGCCGAGTGGCAGACGAACGCATGCTTGCAGGCCGGGTGCTGAGATGTGCTGCTACTTGTCGCGTGTAAAGCGCCACCTTGAGACACCCCCGGCTATCAAAAACAAAATATGACATTTGAGAATTAATTTGAACGCTGGAGGTGACGTTGCTCACCGAGGTCGTCGGTCACGCGCTCGAGTTGGCTGAGGGCCGCCGAGGCGTTGGCCGACAGGAACGCCTCCTCCTCGGCGCTCAGCTGCGAGAGAGAACGCGACGGTCATAACAAACCACACTCGGCAGGAGGCCGCTGCCTCGCGTGTTTCACTGTGGATCTACTCCTGCCTGATGTAGGAGTGGTGTGCTGAGGCACAGGGTTAATATTTGCTTCAAGTACGTAACTTTTAAGAGGCAGCAAAATTCACGGCAGTAAGATTCAATGTGTAATTTTTCGTAGTTACCTTAAATGCAATTGTGTGTTTATTAAACAAAATTCTAGAAATGGCCAATGCAATAACATGCTATTTTAATGTGCAGTGTACTCAAGGAAAATGTTGGGGCGAGGTTATTCCTGGGTTGCGCCTTCACTTAAGCAACGACCACAGGCATGACACAGGATGGGGGAGGGGTGGGGGCGATTCATATTGCCATCCTTACCGTGTCGCCGAGTTTGCGGAGTGCCATGAGAGTTTCAGCCTTCTGTAACGAGTAGACATCTCTTGGGAGCTTACCCACGAGCACGTCTCTCTCCAACTGCAATCCACACCGCAGTGGAGTGTGAATGCAATCCTCCGTGTTATTCAGTCGTCGCAAATAATTTGAGCGATTTACTAAAGGCAGCGGTCTCAAACAGCAGCTACCCGAGTGGTAAGCTCACTTACCGTGATACGCCCTTCTAATGGCTTTGCCACGTTACGGTGCTATAGAAACTGTCATAATCCAATATGATAATTGGTTTTTTACCCTTTAATCTGGCAACAAAACTGACACCTTTTTTACAAGGAGTCATGTTTGCATTGACCACAATACCTGCAGTCGAAATGCAAACAAAAAACACAACACTGATCATGTATGCACTGTCCTTGAAATTGATTGGTCCACACCCGAGACAGCTTTTCTTAGAGCCTAGTCTCACATGGTGTTGGACCAGATGACGCCAAAAGGCGCACAACTCAAAGACAATGCACCATCAGAGTATGAGAGCTCGGGGGAAGCATTTACAGTGTCAGTTTTGTTGCCAGATAAAAGGGTAAAAAAACAATTATCATATTTTGCTACTGGCAAAGGAGGTTCCAATGGTGTCATAATCCAGTTTGACTGTCATGCAAAGTGCTGCTCCCTAGCCGTGAGCATTAGAGGTCACTTGCAAGGAACTTCAACGTACAGTAAACCTTTGCTAATTCGACACATATGGGGCTCTGGCCTTGCCGAATTATCCAATATACCGAATTAAGTACAATGGTCCTCCCCGGTGCCTCCTGCCCCAATCTGCAGGCGTTGCGGCAGGCATACTGCACCGTGTTGAATGTCCATGCCGCGAGCGTTAACGCTAGGTGCACGCTCCTGTTTCTACCACTTATACAAGTCGACAAACGTTGCGGCCTTGATCCTCTTCTGTACCTTTTTGGAGCTGCTAGGATCCTCTCAAGGTTAAAGCATACTGACTCTTTGGTTAAAATAAAAAGTTATTTTTATTATATTTCCACCTACGTGACTTTACCGAAAGAACCAAAGAGTATGGATCCTTGCAGTCACGAAAACTTCAAATCTAGAATTAAAGCATACTTCCTAATCTTCTCCCGGGCCTTTCTTGATGTCATAAAAGGTGCTTGATTTTACGTCAAACTCTTCACACACCATACGCATTGACACACACCCTGCATGAATTCTACCCAAAACTTTGGATTTGTCTCGCAGACTAAGGGCGTCGCTCCACGTATATGCCGAAATTGGCCCATTCAGTACGGCAAAACTGTATAGATGCCGAAAGCGTAGCCGTGCCGAATTATCCCCAGTACGAATGATCAAAGACCAAAATAACGACGTTTCACTGTAATTCTGTGAGATCTGCTTCCACGGGCCGTTCCCAAACCTGGCGGTTGCCCTGCAGTGTGAGAGCTGGAGGCGTTTTGTCTCATGACGTCAATAGCACAATTGGGTGAAGGGGCACGTTCATTCTCAATTCCTGTGGGCAACCACGAGGCAATGTCTGCAAGAAATGACCAAAATTTACTGTCTTGTGCACAGTTGAATGTACAGACCACGGCAACCACCAATGCCAACCATCAACGATGACAACCAACGGCAACCACCAACGATAACCACCAATGGTAACCTCATGGCGGCTGTGTGAGGGCTCACCTGGGCCATGTGTGTGCGGAGCTGGCCTGGCTGCTTCCGCGCAAACATCCGGATCACTTCTGGGGTTTGGAAAGCTTGACTTATTGCGGCCTGGATAGCCTGCGGGGTGACGCAGCACAATACCAACGGGTTTGTCCCTCTTAGATGTCCCAATGCTAATGCTCCACAACCATGCGTTGCATCGATTAGACATTTAGTGAAAAGCACACATTTTAAGCAAGCAAACAGCCTCACATAGTGGTTGGCAGTGTGTTGGTTGAACAGCCAGCGTTATCATTTATATTATGTTTATTTACCCAGAAAAGCTTCACCGAGTCCCAAGACTGTTTTTCAGGAGGGTCCTGCCAAGTTGTATTAATGGGGAGAAGATTGCTACGTGTAATCCCAATTGAGTAAATTTCAGCTCATCTTTTTGGCCAATACCAGGTACACAATTTTTTTTCTAGCCATGGGAGCACACAGCAGAACCCGGAGAAAACCCATACAAACTCCACACATGAAGGTTTGCCGAGTTGAAAATCGAACCCACGCCTTTGTTGTTGCTGTGAGGCGCAAACGTCGCCACTGCGCTGCCACCCTAATGAACGACGTAGGACCCTGCGCGAATACGGCGGCGAGGGCGCCGGAAGAGCCCTAGCTCGTCACCAGCTGCATGGCGCCCAGGTCGTCCACCAGGGTCATGTCGCCGGCGACGATCTTTTGCAGCGCGGTGTTGAATTCTGAGAGCTGTTCGAGCGTCTCCGCCTTGGTCTCCTCGTACTCCTCGGCCTCCAGGTCCTCCCTGCACACGCGCGGCCAACAACAACACCCGCTGGGCTGCAGGAACCACACCTCCACACGGCAGCACAGTTTTCTGAACGCAATGATGAATTTAGTAGTAGGTTTTTACCCTTTAAACTGGTACAAAACAAGGTGTCAGTTTTGTACCAGTTTAAAGGGTAAAAGCCTACTACTATATTTTGCCACTGGTAAAGTAGGTCTCATAGTGTAAATGATGAATTTATTTCTATTTTATATTGTTCGCTCAAGAAAGCGTCAGCGAGTCTCAAAGACTCGTTTTCAGGAGGGCCCCGTCCAGTTTTCTGCACATAATCCCAATCAAGTCAGATAATTTTTCAGCATTCGGATGTTTTGGTAAATCACAGTCCCGTTGTATGTTTACTTTTTACCTAAGGGTGGAAACCACAGAACCCGGAGGAAACCCATGAAGAACAGGGGGAGAGCATCCACACTCCGCACAGAAAGACGCCCGAGTCGAGAATCAAACGCAGGTCCTTCGTGCTGTGAGCACCGTGCCACCGCCCTGCCGCCCCATGACTGCCACACTAAGAACAAGCAGTGGGTCCCGTTCACCTCGCATTTCTCCCACTCCAGCCACCCTGGCAGCTACAGAAAGAGAAGTGAAGATGTTTAACCTTAACAGACTGCTGGGGAATGTGCTTTGTCTTTGGGTGACCTCCTGCCAGCGAGGCTTTGAGACTTTACATGGCCTCAAGATGCACCTAGCCTGGCACAAGCACCGTGGTGTGCTGGCCACCCACCCCTCGTGTGCCGTGCCAGCCTTCGCAAGTGCTCGCTAACAGCACTTTCACCAACAGTCTGTTAAGGCTACATAGGGGGGATCTTTGTCTTTGTTTACATCCGCAGTTCGTTGTCAGTCAACTGCTGGATGAGGGCCTCCCCACGCTCCGAGGGTCGTGGGGTTATTTGACCACGCTGGTCAGTGCGGGATGGTGAAGTCGAGGAGCATCGACGTGGGAGTGTAGCGTACAACAATGGATTTTGCTGCGCCGCCCTCCGGTGTCATGTGGCATGCATGGTGCCAACGCATTTCAAAATCAGACGAGATCCAGCATATTCCAGGCTATTTGGTCATCAGCTAATGATATAGATATGACGCTGAATAACAAAAAAAAATCTACAGTGTTCGATGTAATATCCAGGCAAGCGGCATTCCTGTATTGTGGGTCAGTCAACAGAGGTTGTACTGTGGAAGAGACTCGCTCCCGCCATCGGAATGGGGAATTTCCACCACTGGCTCAGAGCTGAAAACAGGAGCTAAGCACCGCCTCGATGCTAATTTGAGAAGGAAATCACTTCCTAGTTTTGTATTCCTGTTTACGCGACTTCATCAGACATGACGCTCGGTTCAGAATTGGTCAGGCCAGGAGAATTCATATTTCGTTTTCAGAACGCCAATTGTACGAGCTGCGAGGGTTCGTGATGCCGCCGCCGCCAGAATGCTGCCACAAGCCTCCTGCGGCCTCGAGCCTGCAGGGACAACGAGGGCAGCGTTGGGGACGACGGCGTGGCCCAGGGCCGCGTGCTGACCGGCACCGCTCCAGGTCGTGCAGCTGCTGCACCAAGCGATCCAGCTGCTCCTCCAGGTTCCGTCTCAGCTTGTCCGTCTCGCTCTTTCCCCGCGACGCCATCTTCCGCTCTCCCCTCCTGCAAAACAGCCCACAAGGGATCTGTCCCGACGACGCTCAATCTTCAATGGCAGAAACGCTCTCGTCCTTTCACGGAAGAGCCGGCCGGCCCACCGGCAACAGCCGTCAACTCGTGCGGAACGGAGCCTCGGAGCGGGAGGGTCCTGTCAAGCAGCAGCCTGAGCACAGATAATGCTCGTGATATCAGACAGGCTGCCATCGTAGCAAGATCCAATATGCCGCCGCAAGAGAAAACTTTATGGGTGGTGACATTAACATATATACTATACTTTAGACAACTGATGTGCGAGTGAGAAGTCTCAGCTGCCATTAAACTTCTCTCCTAACTTAACGGTGCTTCGTTGTTTTAACTCACGTATAAAATCTAGAAATACGCAAGACGTTCTGTACCAAGGCTCCAGGACCTCAACTGAAGAGTGGGCCACACATCCACAAGAATCTTAATATAAAAGCTCACGCAAAGAGACTCAGCCCACAGACACCCTGCTCACGTAAAGACTCACAGCTCGCACAGAGCCAGCTCACATGGAGACTCACAGCTCACATGGAGACTCAGCTAACAGAGACTCACAGAGACTCCCAGAGACTCACAGAGACTCACAGCCCACAGAGACCCACAGAGACTCACAGAGACTCACAGAGACTCACACACACAGAGACTCACAGCCCACAGAGACTTACAGAGACCCACAGAGACTCACAGAGACCCACAGAGACTCACAGAGACCCACAGAGACTCACAGAGACTCACAGAGACTCACAGCCACAGAGACTCACAGAGACTCCCAGAGACCCACAGAGACTCACAGCCCACAGAGACCCACAGAGACTCACAGAGAATCACAGAAACTCACACACACAGAGACTCACAGCCCACAGAGACTCACAGAGACCCACAGAGACTCACAGAGACCCACAGAGACTCACAGAGACCCACAGAGACTCACAGAGACCCACAGAGACCACAGAGACCCACAGAGACTCACACCCACAGAGACTCCCAGAGACTCCCAGAGACCCACAGAGACTCACAGAGACTCACAGCCCACAGAGACCCACAGAGACTCACAGAGACTCACAGCCCACAGAGACTCACAGAGACCCACAGAGATTCACAAAGACTCACAGAAACTCACACCGACAGAGACCCACAGAGACTCACAGAGACTCACAGCCCACAGAGACCCACAGAGATTCACAAAGACTCACAGAGACTCACACCCACAGAGACCCACAGAGACTCATAGAAACTTACAGAGACCCACAGAGACCCACAGAGACTCACAGAGACTCACAGAGACTCACACCCACAGAGACTCACAGAGACTCACAGCCCACAGAGACCCACAGAGACTCACAGAGACTCACACCCACAGAGACTCACAGCCCACATAGACTCACAGAGACTCACAGCCCACAGAGACCCACAGAGACTCACAGAGACTCACAGAGACTCACACCCACAGAGACTCACAGCCCACATAGACTCACAGCTGGCAAGAGACTCACAGCTGACGGTAGAGGCTAACGCAGTGACGGGCACACGCAGCTTAAGCTGGTTCCACACACGTGCCTGGGTTACACTGTAGTGGGCTGGTGAATGGTGACACTCACGGGGTAACGTTGCCACTGGTAACGTTACCACGGGTAACGCAGCCGAGGGGTAACGCAGTTACGGGTAGCGATGAACGTCGCAGGGTAACGCGCGCTTGTGTCACGACCTCTGACCTCGCGTGATGTCGCGATTCCTGCGTCGATCGATTACCGGATCGATGGATCGACCGCTCGAGTGGCCGCGCTCCGATTCGATTCGGAATCGAGAGGAGGAATCGCGCGATTGCGGCAACCACTGTACGAGTGGCTCTGTGGTGGTTCTGTGGTAGCGGTGGTTCTGTTGTGGTAGCGGTGGTTCTGTGTGGTACTCGTGGCTCTGTGTGGTATTCGTGGCTCTGTGTGGTAGCGGTGGTTCTGTGTGGTATTTGTGGTTCTGTGTGGTATTTGTGGTTCTGTGTGGTATTTGTGGTGCTGTGGTACCGGTGGTTCTGTTGTGGTAGCGGTGGTTCTGTGTGGTATTCGTGCCTCTGTGGTATTTGTGGCTCTGTGGTAGCGGTGGTGCTGTGGGGCCGGTGGTTCTGTGTGGTACTCGTGGTTCTGTGTGGTACCGGTGGTGCTGTGGTATTTGTGGTTCTGTGTGGTATTTGTGGTTCTGTGGTAGCGGTGGTGCTGTGTGGTATTTGTGGTTCTGTGTGGTACTCGTGGTTCTGTGTGGTACTCGTGGTTCTGTGTGGTACTCGTGGTTCTGTGTGGTATTCGTGGTGCTGTGTGGTATTCGTGGCTCTGTGGTAGCGGTGGTATTGAGTGGTACCGTTGTAGTCGTGTAGCAGTGGAGCAGGAGGACGCGGCTACCACTGGAGCCTGAGTACGCGGCTCACGGGACCCAGCACCAGTTCACGTGCGTACTCGGTGCACCGCCTGTTTGTGCTCTGCGTGTGTGTACTCTGTGTGTGCACTGTGTGTGTGCGCTGTCTGTGTGTACTCTGTGTGTGTACTCTGTCTCTGTGTACTCTGTCTCTGTGTACTCTGTGCACCGCCTGTGTGTGTGCTCTGCGTGTGTTCTGTCTGTGTGTGTACTCTGTGCACTGCCTGTGTGTGTACTCTGTGTGTGTACTCTGTCTCTGTGTACTCTGTGCACCGCCTGTGTGTGTGCTCTGCGTGTGTTCTGTCTGTGTGTGTACTCTGTGCACTGCCTGTGTGTGTACTCTGTCTGTGTGTGTACTCTGTCTCTGTGTACTCTGTGCACCGCCTGTGTGTGTGCTCTGCGTGTGTTCTGTCTGTGTGTGTACTCTGTGCACTGCCTGTGTGTGTACTCTGTCTGTGTGTGTACTCTGTCTCTGTGTACTCTGTGCACCGCCTGTGTGTGTGCTCTGCGTGTGTTCTGTCTGTGTGTGTACTCTGTGCACTGCCTGTGTGTGTACTCTGTCTGTGTGTGTACTCTGTCTCTGTGTACTCTGTGCACCGCCTGTGTGTGTGCTCTGCGTGTGTTCTGTCTGTGTGTGTACTCTGTGCACTGCCTGTGTGTGTACTCTGTCTGTGTGTGTACTCTGTCTCTGTGTACTCTGTGCACCGCCTGTGTGTGTGCTCTGCGTGTGTTCTGTCTGTGTGTGTACTCTGTGCACTGCCTGTGTGTGTACTCTGTCTGTGTGTGTACTCTGTCTCTGTGTACTCTGTGCACCGCCTGTGTGTGTGCTCTGCGTGTGTTCTGTCTGTGTGTGTACTCTGTGCACCGCCTGTGTGTGCTTTGCGTGTGTGTGTACTCTGTCTGTGTGTACTCTGTCTGTGTGTACTCTGTGTGTGTACTCTGTGTGTGTACTCTGTCTGTGTGTATACTCTGTGTGTGTACTCTGTCTGTGTGTACTCTGTGTGTGTACTCTGTCTGTGTGTACTCTGTGCACCGCCTGTGTGTGCTGCTCGGTTGACAGTCGCTTAAGGAGACAAGTTGTTAAAGAGGACATCGGGGTGGTATTTTGCCCACAAACGTCAACATTTTATTTCATTGTCCGCAACGTGGCCAGCGTCGCCCATTTGCATCATCATTTCAGTTCAAATAATTAACGCAAAATGATGAGTGGCATCGTTGTGGATTATATAAGGAACACTCGATAAACAGACAATCCGGCTCCTCCCCATGCCTGCCCCTCCACACAAACAACACGTTCTACACACTCCCCATCAGCCACAACGCGGCCTTCTGCGGAGTGACAAACTTTTTCAGCTGCGTTGCTGCTCCAACGCGAGCAAAACTCAGCACCCAGTTGAAATCGTCAGCTCTGCACGAAGTCGCACTCACTGCTTTGCAGACGACCGCCGGGCCGCGATGGTGGTGGAGGTGGAGAACTTCTTCGGCGTCTACATGCTGTACTGCACCAACCCAAAGTTCAAGGGTCGCATCTACGTGGGCTACACGGTGGACCCTGAGCGCAGGATCGGGCAGCACAACGGCGGCCGACGCAAGGGAGGCGCCTTGCGCACCAGCGGTCGTGGCCCGTGGCACGTTGCCTGCACGCAGCATCCACCACCACCACCACTCGCATGCTGCTGCAGTGGGACCAACAACAACAACGACAGGGATAGCAGTGGGAAGAAATCACTGATTTAAAGCTTTCGTGACTGCAGGGATTCATCTTCTTGGTTCTTTCGGTAAAGTCACGTAGAATGGAAATAATAAAATAATAAAAATAAAACATAATAAAATAATTCTCACGACGTTTCGGCCACAACGCAAGCAGCCGTCATCAGGTGTCTTCTCAACAGACCTGTTCTCCACCTGAGGACGGCTGCTTGCGTTGTGGCCGAAACGTCGTGAGAATTATTTTAATTATGTTTTATTATTTTATTATTTCCATTCTACGTGACTTTACCGAAAGAACCAAGAAGAAGAAATCACTGGTTGGGTGGGACTCATAAATGCCCCCAGCATACCACGCTAGATCCCGATCGTAGCAAATGAGCCTGAGCGCAAGGGGGAAGGGGGAGTGGTGGATTCGACCATCGATCAATACATTCACGATCATTTAAAGTAATGAAGCAATGTTTTTTATACAGTATGTGTATATTTGCAGAGCTTATACACAATTGTATTATGCGTGTGCACCCACGTAATCTTTGGTAGATCGGAAGCGTGATGGACAGACTCTCGTTAACTATAGATATATAAATATACGGTGTAGCAATCTAGATTTGAAGTTTTCGTGACTGCAGGGATCCATACTCTTTGGTTCTTTCGGTAAAGTTACGTAGGTATAAAATTAAATAAATCACGACCCTTCGGATGCAACACAAGCAATCATCATCAGGTGGGACAACCACAGCAAGAAACAATTGCTGAAGTGGGCAAAAGGGCTGCTGTAACAAGAGGCTATATAGGTAAGAGAGGGGGTAGGAGCCAGGGAGGAGAGATAGAGAGGGGGGTGTTGGGAGGGGATTGGAAAACGAGTAAGGGAATGCTGGGGGGGGGGGGGGGGGGCGGGGGACGGGGCTGGGAGTGGGAGGATGAAGAAACTTCCAAAGAGTATAAGGTGTAGCCTTTAGGCTCGACCATGCTTCCTGCTGTAATGACACACGGGTTCAAATCCCATACCTGTCAACCCCTTATCAGTGCCCTCTTATTACAGACCAATGCAGACCTTATTGGTCACCCCGTGCCCCTTATACATCTCAACGTCCACCCTACAAAGTCCGATCACAAGGAAGAAACAAACAAATAGACAATGATTTCTGTACTCAATTTCCCTGTACAAGAATACAGGTAAACCGTATGGGTTGACAGGTATGACATTCTCACTCCCACCACGGCGATCGGGCTCGCTCAGCCCCCTGCGTACACACAATGTGTCATTGACAGAAATTTTTAGTTTTAGTTGGGTGACGTAATTTGGCCAAATCTGCGTCAAAAGACCCTCCGCCACAAGACACGGCCAAAACCCATCAACTTACAACGTGAACAAGCGTTTAAGGGGCCAATGGTTGTTGTTTCTGCTCACTGGTGAAGAATAATTCTCACAATGTTTCGCAGTTGGATATGACTTTTTCGCTTGAAACTGCATCAAATCATTTTGATTTCCTGGAGTATTCTGCCCAGATGTGTAGTAGCTGTGCCTGCACTTGCTCTGCTGTGAGTGAGTTCCGCGGTGTTTCTCGCTTGTCGTGTGCAGGGACATGGTGCTCATCGTGCATGGATTTCCATCCGACATTGCAGCTCTGCGGGTGAGTGCCACATCTATCCGCAGCTGCTCCATACAAACACATCTTTTGCAGTTCGGTGTTGTTCTGTGATATAAACATCACACAAGCATTGTTCCAAGCAAGCCTGATTGCTGTTGAGACGATGTCGAAAATCGGTCCAGAGAATTGCTTGTGTTGAACCCTCTGCTGAAATTAAATACCACACAGCACCACCGTGTGGCTGATGTGAAGTGTAAAATATACTTTTCATGTTTTTGTGTAAAGGGACAGATGTGGCAATGAGGCGAATGGCCTGCTTAGTTATTTCGGTCCTTTTCACCAGAAGCATTCTCCGCCCCGCGTCGCAGGTGTCACGTTCACGCGTTACTTTTGGTGCCGCGGTATGAACAAGCGTCCCTCCGGTCCCAAAACATCACAATGAAGGCTTCCGAAGCCATGACTCTGACCACATGAATTTTAACTGTGAACCCTGTGGGAAATGACGTTCGTGGTGAAAGGGTGATGAAAGAGCGATTACCATGAACCTTGACCCGCGATTGCTGGAAACCATCAAACATACTTGGCGCATAACCATGCAGTAAAACAAAATCTGGTGTTTGGTGAAATGTACTATGCAGGCCTTAATAGATACTCGCAAACAGTGCTTGCCCCAACAGTCGGAGTAAGGCTATGGGGGGGGGTCTTTGTGTGTGCGTGTGTGCAGTTTGAGTGGGCGTGGCAACATCCCCAGCGCTCACGGCGGCTCACCCACGTCGCACGGAGACACCGGTCCGGGAGTTAACGGTCTAATCGGCAACGTACCCACACATTCAGTTCTTTTGAGCCGGTGGTCTGGATAAGGCCGAGAGCCTCTGCACATGTGCAACGCCGCGGACCTCTCGTGTGTTGTCCCACTCCAGGTCCGAGAACTCCCTGCAGCTGCACTTGCGCGTCCTTTGGCACATGGTGCGTGTGCCGCCCTGGTGCCGCCTCCCGCTCACCCTGCGCTGGCTGCGCCCGGAGTACCGCGAGGACTTCCCCGTGGGCATGGAGCCGCCCCTGCACATGCCCGTGGCGTTTGGGCTCGTGCGGGCGAAGGCCAGGCCCTGCGGTGGCTCCCGAACGCAGCAGCAGCAGGGAGAAGTCGCGGTGCAGTCCGTGAATCCGAGTCAAGCGGCCGGCACAGCAAGATGCGTGTTATGTCGCCAGCGCATCCAGGTACCACCACATGGCGCTGCGCAAAGCCAACAATGAAGTCGGAGTGATTTCTGAGCGTGAGGCAGCAGTACTCAGCCACTTGGGGAAATTCCTCATTACTGTGGGAGGGGTGAGTCTTCCATCGGACAAATTGAATCTTCCCCACAAGCTAGTACTAATTTATCAACCACTTTGGCATTTCCGCCCATCTTCTCTTCTCCCAAGATCTCATGATAACCTTACTCCATTCAAGAAACGTGTTAAATACTGCCGATTACAACTTTGGCAGTGCTGTTTATTGCTGGCCGCTTGATGTTTTGAGCCTCTCGTCCTCTGATCGGCGATGACCGTGTAACAAAAAAAGGCGTGAGGCATAAATGTAAAACAGGCGGTGGTGTGCACAGTCGGTAGAATGTTCCTCTCTGTGCGTCGTGTGTGGCCACGCACTGCGACGACGACGAGGAGGAGGATGAGCGCATGTCGTGTTTCCACCCGGGCTGCCGTATGGAGGCTCACATCACTTGCCTGGCCCGGGAATTCCTGAAGACGGACCCTACACAGCTGCTGCCTGTGGAGGGCCAGTGCCCAGGGTGAGCCGGGCACCGGGACGTGTGGACACTTGGACGACCTTAAGCATTGTTACTTTTGAAACTTGGAATCTCTCGCTGTTGCCGACTGGAAACCCCCCCCACCCCACTGTTCTCACTGTGTTCCCATTGGTGAGTGATACCTGTCTTCTTGGTTCTTTCGGTAAAGTCACGTAGAAGGGAAATAATAAAATAAATAGAATAAAGCATAATTAAATAAATATTTTGTTATGCTTTTTTTATTATTATAAAATAATTATTTTATTATGTTTTATTTTTTATAATTTTATTATTTCCCTTCTACGTGACTTTACCGAAAAGAACAAGAAAATGAATCCCTGCAGTCACGAAAGGGTGATACCTGCTTTGTGGCTCCAGGAAGGTTGGGAACGGCTGTGTTCGAGCAAACGAGTGCGTGCGGAGAGGCTTCACAAGACGCACGCCTGGGTTTAGTAGCGTTGTCGAGAAACGTTTGCTTCGATATGCACCCTTTGATTTTTTTTTCCTTCCAAAAATGTCTTTAACGAGATGGGAACTTGTCGGCAAGAGTGACCTGGGTCACCACAATGACAAAAGCAACGACTTGAAAACGGTGCAAAATGAACCAAAGAGAGAGAACAGCACACAAAACAAAAGAGTCGATAAAATATATTTGAAATGACAAAATAATAGATCACGACGTTTCGATCGCAACACAAGCAATCGTCTTCAGGTGAAAAAGACGATTGCTTGTGTTGCGATCGAAACGTCGTGATCTATTATTTTTTATACCTACGTGACTTTACCGAAAGAACCAAAGAGTTTGGATTCCTGCAGTTATGAAAGCTTCAAATCAAGATTGAAATGACAAAAGTTTATTTGAAAACCATTAAGTGTAAAATTAAGTAAAAAAAACATCACAATAGACTATTGGACTCGTATGGTAACACAAGGACACGTGTCAAATAAGAACACGCGTTGATGTCATTTTGCACAGCTGTAAGAATGCAGTGCTGTGGGGGGACCTGGTGCGCTATAAGAATGGATGCTACGGGGACTTGGAGGAGATCATCTCATCGTCACAGGTATCCGATATCCAGTCAGACCTTATCCTCCCATCGAACACCTTACGACGGGCACCAACCCCCACCCCTAACCTTCCACTCACACCGCGAGTGCACGTGGCATGCCATTCTCACAGCGCGGTGTGCAGTGGTTTCGCACGAGGGGGCGATGTTGCCATCTCATCCCAATCGAGTCATTTGCGTTGTAAATTCCAAAATGCGAATAGCGATAACACTTATCTTTCAGCTTCTTACCTTGCACTGCTCCACTTTGGAATTGCTTCTCATCGTCTATATTTTTCCACCGAGATCTCAATTCAAGAAACGTGTTACCTTATTATCTGTTGCAACTTTGAAGTGCTGTTCGTTGCTGTTCCGGCTTGATGTATTAGGCTTATTGAGCCGTGGTAGTGTAGCAATAGTGTAGCATCGGTTAAGGACCAATATCTCGGTTTGTATCTGATGAAGCCCCCCCGTGTTCGATTCCACGCAGTGACGGACGTGTTCACAGTGCCCCTGTATGTGTGCGCGTGTGTTCTAGGCTCACTGGGCAGACGAGGTGCAGTTCTGAGCCAAGGTGAATGAACGACGAGAACGAGTTTGTGGGGCTGCGTTTAGACGTTTTGGCGACGCTTGTTGGCATCCCAAAGACACAGCGGCAACGCACCATGGGTTGGGTCGACAAGAGGCATTGAAATCAACGTCACGTGGTGCCGAGCCCGCCCGAAGCGCTCTATGAAATACAAATCGAGGGCGTGGCCATGCACGACAGACAAATAATCCCTGGTGGGCAGTGTGGAACTGTTGTTCCTACCTGTAAAACATACAATATACCTGCAAATTGTTGAAATAGTTGCCTATCGTTTTTATACTGTTCATTACTGCATTTTTAAATAAATTATTTCAGTATCAAGACAGGTGCTGGCTTCACCTACTCAAAGCACTGGAGACTCTGTTCGATTCCAGACTGGGGTGAGAGATTACAGAGCATGGGATGCTCCCCGGTATCTGCACGCACGGTTATTTTCCGGCCTGTGGTGTCTCAAGCATGTGCAGGTGAAAGGTATCGTAGGCAGCTGAATAATGGAGCAGTCTTTGGGTGGCAGTGGTACAGCAAGTGGATTAATCTCCATCTGTGCAGGTATTGTGTGTATACCTGCTTCGCACATGCAGGCTTACTCCAAAGTGTATCAAGTCATTCGTGGAGTTGACCAAACATCCCAATACAGGATCACAGAACTTGGGCAATTCTTGGCACCGGTTCTGGTTGTCTGTGGTATCCCACGTGGACACAAACACCGATTCTCAGACTGCCCCAAAATTTGGGTCTGGGTGGCAGGAATTTGTGCTATCTGGTGCCGGTGTTGTGTTTAACACACGTCCAATATAATGCAAAGTTTTGGTTGGAGACCTCACCTTCTGAGACACGTGAGGGTTTGTGCCTTGGAAAAAGTGGAGACTCCAACCAGGGGTCCAGACAAAGGTGGCAAGTGTTTTGGTTTGTGCATGCACACCACTGCAAATGCATTTTAATTGTACCATGGGAGGTGTAAACAGCTGTACATACGATCTTTACAATGTGATATGGAAAGCAAGAACAATTAATTTACAAAACATCAGTTACTGAAAACCCAAGCTCAAAGGGACTGCACGTGAAGTGGATTGAACCGTGTTGGTCTAAACATGGAAATACCTGGCAATGTCTCCCGCACCTCGAATAAAAGGCGAGAGGGCTGCAGATCAGCTTGCTACGATTACAAATACGCAATTCACATTTCTGCACGTGGTAATGCACTGGACACCAGTGAGGTGAAACTTTAGAATGGATCCATTTCCAGGGTTACTTTGCATCAGGGTTTGGTCACCAGGCACACCTCACTCGCACACCAAGGCCGTATTCTCAGTCGTAGCTTGGGCTCGAGCTGCTCCACTGCTTCCAAAGACGTGAAAAGTGGCTCAGCCGTGGCTTTGCTCAGGCTCATTGAAATCCTGAGCGTGGATGTGGGACCACACTCGGAGCCGCCAACAGTTTAAACACCTGGCTCAAGAGCAGAGCCAGGACTAAGAATACGGCCGGAGGGCCCCGCGTCAGCCTCTCGCCAGGCCTCTCACTCGTCAGGCCTCAATTAAATATCCCTGAGACTCCCTCCACGTGCATTTCTTCACATGGGCATCACGTGGTTGTTCCTGCAAAGCTAGAAGCAGTGCCGCTCGCGACTCGGACCTCCCACTGAGTCCAAACAGGTCGCCGGTTCGACTCCATCTCCCGCCACGGCAGTTGAAACAATGAGGGCGAGTTTCTTAAATCCACCCTCTGAACACCAAGCGGTAAACATGCTCGGCAGGTGACGTATATAGGGGGGGGGGGGGGTAAAGTGTGAAAGAGTAGACCAAATGCCACTACCAAGTTCCCTCCAGTGGAGGCCCTTCCGCCAGCAGTAGCGTCAATATCGCACAATTCACGTAACGTTAATATTAAAATTGTGGTTTTTATTTTATTTTATATATATTAATTTGTCTTCTAAACACATTGTTAGATTTTATGGTTTACTCCATGCAGGCAGTTTTTTCCTTTTACATCCTAGTGGTGATGGATTCATGGTGTGATGCACTCGGAAGGGGAGACGGTGGAACGCGCCATGGGTGATGGGTCACGTCCTCCGGCTCTTGGGCTTCTTCAGCAGCTTCTTGGCGTCCTCCACAGGCGGGGCGGCTCCGAACGGAGGCCCCATGGCCTGCACGGCCTGCACACGGCTTCCCAGCTGCCAGAGCATGGGCAGCGCCTGCTCCACGGCACACACGGCACGGCACAGAACAGTCGCCACACAGCACGTTCGGCATCAATCCACAATATGCCAGATCTCTGGAGACTAAGACGAGGCATCTGACTTGGTGGAAATTGACACGGTTATCAAAGCTCTCGCAAATCGAGACCTAAATAAAACATTTAGAAGGAATAAAAACCATTTACAAGAATGTAAGTGCTGCACTGAGACATTTGTGGTGTTATTATTCGAAGGTTTGGACCATGACGCGAGCACACAGTCTTCTCGTTTCGAATTACGTGTGTTATTTAATGTCCACATTGTTTAAATGCTCTTTAATGTCCACTGTGAGAACGAAGCAGACGACTCGTGATATTTTCACGGCTGATAACGTGCAGTATTAACCAGGGTGGCCTGTCGGCATCGAACCGTCAACCTCTGTGACAAACGCATGGCGGCTTAGGGCAGCTGTTGGTAAACGACGCACGACGGTGCCAGCCGTCCGTGCTACTGCACGACACCACCGGCACCACCGGCACGGCACCACCGGCACCACCGGCACGCCCCCACAACGCCTCAATGGGGCCCGTGTGCAACCACCTTTCACATTGAGCTGCTTACTCAGCATCACCACCACCATCCCTCCCCGTGTTTAACTCGCTCATCAGAACGTGCATATTGTTTAAATAGTGCACAAACGTGTACATATATGAATAATTTCATTTTATATGGCGTCATTCATGCTAATGGATTGCACAACGCTGTACATTAATTATATACGAGACATTGTTACCCAACTTATATGTAAATTGTTGAATGTTTTGTTAATTATATACACCGTGACCCGGCGACCTTGGTGATATTTGTTGTCTAACGTATGCTGCAAAAATGCACCCGTGTCCAGAGAGGGAGCGCAGAGATACACCGCGGAGTTTATTAAGTCACGCAAGGGGCAAATAGGGAAAGGGGGCGATGGTCACCTTGTCGTGGTTGTAGATGGCGATGAGAAGCAGCAGCGTGAGCGGCAGGGCCAGGTACGAGCCTTGCGACGCCTCCTGCTCCATCGCTTTCCTCTGCACGCCACGCCACGTCGCGCCGGTCACGTTTCACGCCAGAGGCACAGCCGTCGTTCACCCACGAACGTCTCAGTCTCGAGACTCTTTTGCAGGAGGGCCTTGCCAAGTTTTTCACAGTAGGGGGCAATGATTGCCATGTGCGCAATCCCAATTGAGTACTTTGCGGTGTCATTAAATTTTTTCGTGCAAATTTGGGCCACCGGCGCCAGCGCGCAACGGCCTTCTCTTGAGAATGACATCCGGGGATATTTAACGTCCACTGAGGCAGACGGAGCGACTGTTAACACTCCGCCGGTTAAAACCAGGGCGGCCTGGAAGATTAGAACAGCGAAACTCCACACCGAGCGGCAAAGGCGCTACTGCGCGTCGCGTGCCGCTAGCGGCGGACCGGACACGGCTCGCGCTGCTCTCACCCGCGGGGAGAAGGAGAGCGTCACGTGCTTGTGGAAGCCCGCAGTGCTGAAGGAGACCTCGGGGAGCGAGAACTCGTAGAGCGCCCGGGGCAGCGAGGACTCGAGCGCCATCGTGTAGCTCTGCAACGGAACCGCGGCCGCATGGCCGGAGCGCTCAACGTCTCCGTGCAGCACGAGTTTCGGGGCCAGCCCCGCCGACACACGGTGACTTTGAAGTTACTAAGAATAAAGTTAAATGTTGGTTTTGACCAAATAACTTGGGTGGGTTCCTTCTAGATGGCATTAATAAAGAAAAGTATTAAATATCCATACTTTTACCCCAACTCACTCTACTCCCCTTCACACACTCTCCTACCTCTCCCCTATCATCTCACTCTACTCCCCTCCACGCACTCTCCTGTCTTTCTCCTCTCATCTCACTCTACTCCCCTTTACACTCTCATACCTCTCTCCTCTCATCTCACTCTACTCCCCTACACACACTCTCCTACCTCTCTCCTCTCATCTCACTCTACTCCCCTACACACACTCTCTGCTTCAACAACCAAGGCCTCCTTTCATCGCCCCGAGTCAACTGTCGCTCTGTAGGAGGTCGCCAATTTTCCTCCTTCTCGTCTGCTGCCCCCATAGTCTGGAACTCCCTTCCCCCAGATGTCTGTGCTGTCCTGACGTGGATGAGAGTCCCCCCCTTCCCAGAGAGAAGAACCACTCGTGGTCTCTGCCTGTAGTTTCTCTGGAAAAAACATAGTTCTTTGGGCCATAGACATACATCTGATAATCATGACAGTATCTCTGCCTAACGAGAACAGGAAGTGTGACAGGAGCAGGACAAGCGGTGCCACAGATTCATATTATTTTTTTCGGTAAAGTCACATAGGTAAAACATTTTAATTAATAAAAGTAAAATAAAAAATAAAAATCACGACGTTTCGGAGGCAACACAAGCTTCCGTCACAGCCCGATACAGCTGTTGGGCCTGCGACGGTTCTACCTGAAGACGGAAGCTTGTGTTGCCTCCGAAACGTCGTCATTTTTATTTTTTATTTTACTTTTATTAATTAAAAAATTTTACCTACGTGACTTTACCGAAAAAACCTAAGAATATGAATCCTTGCACTCACGAAAGCTTCAAATCTAGAATTGGTGCCACAAATGATCGCCGAAGCCGCAGCACCACCCACCTCTCCGTCCCTCTGCAGAGGAGGGAAGTGGAAGAATGACGACTGGGTCAGAGAGAGCGTCTGGAAGGGCGTGTCCAGGTTCTCTCCACGATACAGCACCACCTGGAACACGCGTTACGCTCGCTCGCTCACGCATTCCTCACTCCAACCGCCACACCACCGCACCCCAGCGTTTGGTGTCAACAGTTCCCATGGGCCCAGCATCGGAGACAGAATTTTACTTCCGTGGCCGAACTGGACGTTGTTTTCATTGCCAGCGTGCATCTCTCCGTGCTGCTCTGCGCACGTTCCACTCTGTTTATCTGTGTTTCTGATCCGCGTCACGGCGGGAAGTTCACACCGATTAAAAACTTTCTTCTTAGGCACAGGCGTCCGCTGCTGTTGATTATGAAACTCAATTAAGCCAAAGCGCTCCAAACCGTTTTTATTCGCCTCCCATTAGTAGCCGTGTCCCTCCAATTTGGGATATTTGGCCAGTTCATAATTGAGTCGTGCGAGTGGCAAGAAGGAGGGAACATTCGATATCGCCCTCGCTCACGCCCTCGCTCGCTGAGTCGGCTAGGAGCTCTCACCTTGAGCGTGGCCAGGAGTTCCTGGCTGGGAGTGATGATGTTGCCACTCAGGTCAAACTGGTTCATGTGGCGGAATGCGACGATGTTCACGTCGTGGATGTCACGCGTGTCCACCTGCAGCAAACACAAACATTAAGCGGTTGGTGGTGAACTAAGACAGGACTCTTACCTAGAAACATTTAGAAGTTCACCAGAATTAGTTCAGGCGAGACTTACTCTGCCCATGAGACACTGAATTTAAAAACCCCTCCAGAGTTTACTTGTGTTGAACCGATGCTGCTGGAGTGATGATGCACTTCCCAGAAGGCCGTGTGGCTGATGGGATGTGTAACGTTTATATTTATCACACGGAGGGAGACGCGCGAAGGCAACATGCCGCCTGCTCCGTTGTCGCGAGGATGCAGCGCACGCACCTGCACGGCGCGGTAGTGCGGAATGGCCCTCTCGACGTGGTCGTTTCCTTCCCGCTTCACGCGCACGTGGTACGTGCACGATGGCTGTGCGGACACGTGGGAGGGGAGGGGGGGGGCAGCAAACACAACACTCATCACGACCACGCGGCGTCTGCGCCCAGCTTGCTAGACAGGGTCGTGGGAATAGCCCCACATGTTCACTTTTTAAGCCGTCCACTCCCATGCTGGGTGGGTGAGCGAGCGTCAGTGGGAAAGTGGCTGGGAGCGTGAGCGTGTGAGTGGTTGAGTGTGTGTAGGTGAGTGAGGAGTGGGAAAGGGACTGTGTGAATAAATAAATAAGTGGGTGAGCGTGCGAGTGAGTTCAAAAGTGATGTGTCCAGGTCGACTGATCTCCTTTGTGGCAGCGGCTAGGCGGTCGCCAGCGCTGCGTGCTGATTGGCTAGGGTACCGAGCTGTGCCCACCACGTTTCCAGTCTTGGTAGAGGCATTTGTAGGACAGGACGGACTCGTGGGGTTTGGGGGGGGGGGATAGCAGCGGCCTGCCAATGGCTCTGCTTGTTGCACGAAGTTTCCTCCCCTGCCTCACAGTGACCTGGAAGAGCGGCTTCACCACGCGCCTCGCTTTGGCATTATTCTCAAGTCTCCTCCAAAGCAGCCAATGTCAGCCCTGCAAGGGGCGTGTCGTTCCAGGCTCCTACAAACATCCGCACCTCACTCTCCAATCCACAACCTGATTATCTGGCTCCTTCATGCAATCGTGACATCGTCAGCATCCGCAGCCGCTCGAGATGCCTAACAAACGGTGACAGCCGAGATCTATTAAAAATGCGCAAGGCACCGCCGTGCTCAAAACCCGACCCCGAGATGTGCAGCGAGCTCAGGGTGACGTGGGGTCACGAAGCCCGGCGACCCAGGGCGACGAGTCACGCAGCTCGACCGTGAGGAACACACTCGGGAAGGTCAACTCACGAGAGGTGTAGCGCGAGAGTTACTCGCGATGCGGTGCGACGGTCACTCACGGTGAGGCCACGGAGACGGAAGCGGCCCTCCTCGTCTGTGGCGCTCTCCTCCACGCTCGTGCCGCACGCGCCCTGTCCCACGGCCTCCACCCCCACCCCTGCCTCCGCCTCCCCACTCAGCGACCACACCCAGCCAAAGCAGCTGCGCACACGCACGCATGCACAGAGGTTCGCGGTTCGAATCTGGAAGGCCGCCCTGGTTATTACTACGGGTGTAATGATCGTACCAATGCTCGCTTCCCAGTGGACGTTAAAGATCCCCAATGCCATTCCAAACAAGTGGCCATTATGTCGGCATTTTTTGACAAATTCGAAAAATTACATCGCCATACACTTTGGTTCTTTCGGTAAAGTTACGTAGTTAGAAATAAAATAAAACAAATCACGACGTTTCGACCGCTTGTGTTGTGATTGAAACGTCGTGCTTATTTTATTTCTACCTACGTGACTTTACCGAAAGAACCAGAGTATGGATTCCTGCAGTCACGAAAGCTTCAAATCGAGAATTACATCGCCGATTACTCAATTTGGAAACAGTGGCAGCGATCATCGCCCCCCCTACTGGCAGACTACGTCCGCTCGCAGTCCCCTTGTGCCGCACAAGGACAGCTGCCACTGGGGGTGCCCTCTCGTACGTTTAAGCTGAGATGTGAGGAACCGTGTGCGAAGTGTTGCGAGACGCCCTGCCGTCACAGGGGCGCGCAGTCGCAGACGGATCGTCGGGCGCACCTGTACGCGACGCGGAAGGCGCTGACATCGATGTGCACCGCGTGTCCTTCCTGCACATCCACCACCTGGGACGGTGGCTCAAAGCGGAACTCCTTCATCATGGGCTTGAAGAAGAACTGGCCCGGAGTCTGAATGAATGAAATACAACGATCCACACGTGGGTTTACGCAGCCGATGTTACGACTCGCGATATATTTTTGGGTCAAGCCACGTAATAATCTCGCCAAATTTGTGTCATTAAACGCTTGTTCACTTGACAAATTTGTCTTTGTTTGGCTATGTCAGGTGGTAGAGGGTCTTACAACACTTAATTATCAAGATTATTACATAGCCTTAGGTAACATGTATTATATATAAATTAATCCGGGTTGGAGCGAGAGCGTTGTGCGCTGCTGCTGCTAGTGCTGGTAGCAGCGTGCATGACGGACCAGGTTGGTGAACTTGTAGGAGCCGTTGTCCTGTGTGAGGCGGTTGGAACGGAACTGCCCTCCGCTCAGCGACAGCAGCACACCGGGCAGGGGCTGCCCATCCTCCGACGTGATCTACACGGGAGCATCACGACACACGCAGCAGCACGCACACACACACATATATACACCCACGCGCAAACGTCTCCATCAAAGTGAATCGGATAAACCATGCTAATGCGGGATATCCCAGATTCAGCCTCAGCTGGAATCCTACTGCTGCCGTCACATCTCGCATGAAGCACCCCATAATCCTGACAGAAGTCACGGTGACTGCTGATCCAGCCCTCACCGATTTACTTTAGTCACTCACTCACCGAGAGTCACACCACACTTCTACAGCTACTACTACCATGACTGTTCCCGTGAACATCCCCCATTGATTCCTCCACCCCATGTTGAGGACTCGGTCTACCAGACACGCACCGTTTCGTCTCATCCACACCACGTTCAGCCGCCACCACACTTGTAGCTCACAACTCACTTGCCCAATTCACCCACAACTCTCACAAACAAGGGTGCCAAGAATTGTGGCACAACCCAAACACACAATTACGAATAATAAGTACACAGGTGCTGCCGGTGTGCACGGGAGCGCCGAGTGAGTGCGTGCGAGTGTGCGAGAGTGAGTGAGTGCGTGCGAGATGAGACGCGGACCCCCGCCTCCCCGTACTCGTGTGGACGTGGCCGGCGGGTACCGTGAGCGTGATGGAGGCGAGGGCGAAGGCCTGGAAATGGCCGTGGCGACCGTCCACGGGGCGCAGCACGAAACCCTCCTTGGCGGCCGACACGGCGTAGTCGCGGTGGCCCTGCAGAGGGCCCACTCTGCGCACCACGCAAACATCCTCGCTCGCCGCCGTTTGCTATTGCTCCGCTCACGCGCAGATGGAGAGCACGCGCCGCGCGTGCATCGCGGGCGCCGATCGGCAACACGATCCCGACACCTCGGCGGTCGGTAAGCGCGCGCAGCGTTACCGGGATACACACGCGTCACGAGAGACATCGCGCTGCCCGTGCCGGAGCGGCGAGGCGCCTCAATGAGGTGCCGCGGCAAAGCGCCCGGCGAGGCGGTACATACCGGTAGGAGCCGTGCTCGTCGGTGAGCACCGTGACGAGGCTGTCGGCGGCCCCGGATTCCCGTACGTCGATGGCGACGCCGGGCAAGGCCGGTTCCACGCGGCCCGCCACAAACACCCCGGCCTCACCAGACACGGCAGCCAGCCGCTCGGGGCAGCTCTCTACACGCACCGGCAAGACAAAGATCCCCCGTGTAGCATTAACAGACTTTAGGGGCAAGTGCTGTTAGCGAGGCACCCCCATGAAGGCCGGTATGGGGCACAAGGGGGTGAGGTGCTGTTAGCACCTCGGCCAGCTGCCTTTTTCTCCCCTGTGATGTTTACACACATCAGATACTTATTTGAGGCTGGCGATGTTGGCCACGAGCGGGAATCGAACCCGGGTCGCTGGGTTGGTAGCACAGTGCGCGCGCAGGCACACACTCTGCAGGCCAGATGCCGAGTCGCCTTGACCCACACAGGGACAGCTGCCACTGGGGGGCTCTTTGAGCATTTGAGGTGCAAGGCGATCGTAGCGTATACAGCGCTCCGAGTTACTCGATCAGCAACTTAACCGTGGTCATCATCGTTGTCACACAAACCGCTCTCCCACAGTGCAAGGAAGAGGAGGAGTGTGACCCACCTCCTTGCACGACGGCCTCAGTGCTTGCCGGGTAGAAGAGCAGCTCACGTGAGGCAGCCTCCACTCGCACCTTCTCCCCCGCGCTGCTCACAGTACCACACAGCATGCGCAACACACACACAGCACGCAACACACACGCAGCACGTACACACACACACAGCACGCAACACACACACAGCACGCAACACACACACACAGAGCAGGAGTAATACGTTTTTCAAAGCATCGTCCATACAAACTATTATTTTTTTCTGAGATAAGGTTATTTGGAACATTACTCTTTCTCAAAATGTCAAAAAACACTGCTGGTCAACTGTCAAACACGGCATGGCCTCCCGGGCCGCCCCATCATCGTGACCAACTGTCCTGACCCTGTGCTGCTGCTGCTGCTGCAGCAGAAAGCGACTGTTTGAAGAATTATAACTCGGGCTAGTACGAAATTTTTCGATTCTAATTTTAGTAAGGGGGGGATATCTGATGGATGGAAGGTCCCAAATCCGGCGAGCCCCCCAGCTCGCGGCCACGCACCGAGCCCAGAAGGAGTAGGGGTAGGTGAAGGGCGCTTGCGCTGGCGGCGATGGCGCCACAGACTCCCGCTCGCGCTCCCCCGCCTCTCCCTCCTCTTCTGCCTCCGCCGCCGCCTCCTCCTCCTCCCCCTCCAGTCTCAGAGGGCCCAGGACCTGGGTCTCCTCCAGCGATGACCTTGACCAGGCACACGCACAGCGCACACCGCACTAAGTATGCAAGCGCAGCGGCATGCAGCGGTTCGTGTGGGTGCAGGGTGAGTGGGTGCAGGGTGGAGGGGTGGTTACGGGGTGGGTGGGTGGGTGCAGGGTGGGTGTGGGGTGGTTGCGGGGTGGTTGCGGGGTGGGTGGTGGTTACGTGGTGGGTGGTGGGTTGTGAGGTGGTTGGGTGCGGGGTGTATTAGGAGGATTGGGTTGAGGAGATGGGCAGTGCAGTGAGTGTTGTTGGGGAGGATGGATGCCCATCATGGAGGAGCAGAGATGACTCTTGCAAGGTTGAGTACAAATTGTGCAGAGGAGCGCTACGACACTCTATAGTCAGAATACGCAGGGGCACGGCAAAGACTCACGTGGTACAACCCAGAACTGCTAGAGGTTGCATTTTTATACAATCACGCTGCGATAAAATGGCACCGCAGTCGCTCGTGCGATGACGGCTTTCAGGCTCGCACGTCCACGAGCGATGCTTGCGGCGAGGGCCTATGCGGCCCGTGCCGCGCGTACCGTGGGCGCTCACGGTGGCCGGTGCCTGCGGGAGGAGCGCGACGCTTACTGCACGGTGAGCGTGATGTCGGCGGCCATCTTGTCGGTGACGATGGCTCCCTGCACCAGGTGGTGAGTGGCTGTCATGGCGAGCACGCTGGGGTGGGCGCTGCACGGCGCACACACGCGAGGGGCATGGTGAGGCGAGGGGCATGGTGAGGCGTGGCGCGCAGTGGTGTGATCCGGCGCCTCGCGCTCGCCGGGACAGGCGCGAGCAGCTTTTTCTTTCGCACGACATTTAGAACGATTATTGTTATTACGCAGGAGGAGTGATGTTTCGTAGTAGTGGGGGCGATGTTGCTATGTAATCCCAACTAAGTACATTTTCAGGTAATTTTTTAGCACTACGATGTCCAATACCAATTCTGTTGCACGTCCTTTTAGCTATGGGAGGAAATCAGAGAGCCCAGAGGAAACCCGTGCCGAACAGGGGGGAGAACAAACTCGACAAAGAGGCGCCCAAGTCTGGAATCAATCCCTGGCCATTCTTGCTTCGAGGCACGAGCGTTACCACTGCGCCACCACCGTGCTGCTGCCCTGTGTCACCGTGCCACCCAGAAAAGCAACTGACAAAAAACAATAACTGTGTTGGGTAGTGGTTGCTTACAAGATGAACAGATCGCACTTCACATTCAACAACAGGGAGACTCTTTGACTTGACATTTCTGAAGCTCTACGGTAAATGGCGCTCTTGCAGAGGGATGCACTGTGATATCAACCTCAAGCTAGATGTGGAGATTGAAGAGTTCATGTCTTCTCAACCGACTTCATGTAAATCTCCTTTTTTGCTTCAAACGATTAGTTACAGATTAAGAAAAGTAACATCGTCCTGTCAAAAAGGTGCGATCCACATGCGTGCAATGCTCGGCTCACGTGTCGTAAGTGTACACGTCCTGCTGAAAGCGGTGGCAGGAACGCGGCGTCAGCTTGTACATGCCTGCACACACACATTCACCCAAGCAACACACGGCATCAACAGTAGCTCCACGCGTGCGCACACGCAGATACTGCACATGATCAGTGCACCCTGCGCTGAGGGCAAGTGCTGATGGAAGCACCTATTTAGTGAACACGTGGGAGAGCGATTCATAGTTGAAGTTTGGGTGAGGCCACGTAATGGATCTGGCGAAACTGAGTTCCTAAGACCCTCCCCGCCACCGGAAACAGCCAAACACATTGTCACGTGTGCAAGTGTTCAAAACGTGGTCATTTGTTATTGTTTCAGCTCACCGGTAAGGTGACGAACAACATACTAGAGACGTTGACGTTAAGTAACAGCTAACGGTGGTTCTGAGAATTGTTCCCCTGCACGCCGCGGGGGGGGAAGGTGCCACCAGCGCACCAGCTCAACGACCCGGCAGTAACAAAACAGAGCGACGACGAGACGCGCGGCATCAACAACTTTGGCCGCGTCGATGACCCCGTGCGCGACCTCGAGGAATGAAAACGCTCAACTTGGGCGACAGGCACATACCCGGCAAGGAAAGGCAGAAGCGGTTCATGCCCTTGGTCAGGTTGTAGACGCCGACGTTCTCCGGGCCCTTCTCGTCCTGGTAAAACTCCTGCGAGCACAGTCACGGGCATCACAGACAGGCCACCAGTAGTGAGATCGCCACGGCCACTGTCGTCACAGTGCACTTTATAGTTCATGAGCCCAGACAGGATATGTCGCTTGATTGGTTCCAATTTGTCAACGTGGTCAATAATAGTCAAATATGTGTTAACCATTTCAAATGATCGGGTTATCTAATTACTGGAGATATAAACCTGAATATTTGTTTAGCTATGTCGGGTGGTGGAGGGTCTTATGACATAAATTCAGTCACATAGTTACGTGGCCTAACCCAAAAAATTGTATTACGATCTTAACAATGGCTGCGAAAACCTTCACGTTAAGACTTTCAATCTGGACGCAGTTTTGCTTTGTGGGAGGACACAGAGGGCTGATGAACTGAGGGTGGAATGGCGAGCGGCACCCTGGGAGTTGGCCATGCTGCTGCTGCTGCTCACCAGGGCGATGGAGTGGGAGAGGCTGCAGCGCAGCATGAAGCCCGTCTGGCGGAACTCCACGTGGCCACCACCACCGCTCTCCAACAGCTCCACCTCCAGCGAGCGATTCTTCCAGCACCACTCCTCCTGGCCCACCGACACTGCGCAGACGACAGCCATCGTCACGCACAACCAGACGCAACACGGCGGCCACCGTCACATGCAACCAGACGCAAGACGGCGGCCACCGTCATAAGCAACACAGCAGCCATCGTCACGTACAACCAGAAAAAACACGACAGCCATTGTCACGCGCACCCAGGGGCGACACAGCGGGAAGTTAAATGGTTTTAAAGTAACTTCTCAAAGCCAACTCGCATGAGTGTCCGTGGGGTCTACAGGCCTCCGCTACGTCGAGTCCTCACCGGATTAAAAACGAAACTAAGAGGCACCTCGGGACCGCATCTCACCCTTGTAGCGGCCGAGCAAGAGGCGGTCGAAGGAGAAGTCGGCAACAGGGCCGGAGTCGGAGAGGGACAGTGAGTGCTTCTCGCCCTGCGGTGCCGCATGCTGCAGCGTCAGCGCCAGCTCCCCGCAGCCAGCTGTGCGCACAGCGCCCCTCCTTGGTTAGTGTTGCGGCCACAGCCCATTGCGCTGCACACGTAGACTCGACAGACCGCACGCAGCTGCACCGACACGCTCACAAAACGCTCCGCACCCTCCCCCCTCACCCCCCCCTCATCCGCCCACCTCACCCGCCCACCTCACCCGCCCCCCCTCACCCGCCCCCCCCTTCACCCACCCCCCCCCACCCACCCCCGCCCCTCAACCGCCCCCCTCACCCACCACCCCAGCGCTCTATAAAAACGCAGCGTGGCAGGGCAATGCACACAGAGAGCAGTGGCGCACGGGTTACCCAGGCAGGAGACGGTGCCTGACAGCGACAGCAAGAGCTGAGTGAACGAGAGGCCCAGCACGGGAGCCCGTGTCACCGTGACGGTCTGCAGCGCGGGCTGCAGCGCCAGCCCCGCCTTGCTCTCAGCTTCGCTCACATCCACCTGTGAGCACAGCAGCATGCAGTCACACACAGTCTCACCTGTTAACACGCACAGCCACAGACATGGCAAAGACAAACTCTGCCGTGCCCGAGTGAGACGTAGCCAGCGAGTGTACCTGCAGCCGTGCTCGTGGCGCGTGCGTGTAGGCCTACCTGGAGGCCGTACGTGCCCGAGGCGGCCAGGAAGCAGAAGGCCCCGAGGGCGTCTGTTTCGGAGACTTCGGTGGCGGCGGCCCCTCCAACGGGCGTCAGCGTCACCCTTCGCCTCCCTCCCCCGCGCCCCCCCTCGGGCAGCCGATCCACGCTCACGGTGCCGCACACACTGAAACTGCAACCGCACGGCCCCCGTTACCGCACGCACTCTCACACCGCTGTAAACCATGCCCCCACACCGCCGACCCACCACCACACCACCCCTGCTGCCCCCCACTCAACCCACCACTTCTGCTGCCCCTCACTCAACCCTCCTGCTGCCCCCCACTCAACCCACCATCCCACTCCTGCTGCCCCCCACTTAACCCCCAGCGTACGGACGTGTGGCGGCGGCACCTAGAGGCGACGATGTCGGGCAGCGTGGGTGTGCTGGGCGCAATCTTGCTCGACACGGGCGGGAAGCTGTAGTGCTCCTTGCTGGTGGCGATGGTGTAGGATCCCGTCGTCATGTTCTCCAGCCGGAACGAGCCGTCCTCCCGAGTGACCACTGGGGGCGTGCAGCGAACCGCCGGGGACAGGGGTCGGCGGGGAGACGCCGAGAGGATATCGAACGCGCCAGGGAGCCGGGCATGGAAAATGTTATTCTTGTTAATATTAATGTGATCAATAACTATGTTGCGCTATTCATCGTCCGTTTACTTGTTTACCCCACGGTGTACCCCACGGTGTAACCCACGGTGTACCCCACGGTGTAACCCACGGTGTACGCCGCGGTGTACCCCGTGGGCAGCTGCCCGGACACGGATGCAGGATCTCGACGGTGTCAGTGCAATGCTCTGGCCTCTGAGCCACCCAGCCACCTCCAACATAAATGACGTTTCAAGGTTTCATTAGTAACTTTACCACTGTTATATTTATGTATTTATGTTTACAATGGCTATAGGAATTAACTTAAAAACTCTGGAAGAGTGATTATGTGCCTTTCCTTGTGCGTCGCCAATAATAATGAAATATTTTATAACAATGTTGAATTTGTAACGTGCGCGGCGGGAAGGCAGCTACACCCACCGCCAATAATTTCCCACGCTCTGCGGTCCCATAATGGGATAGGTGCCAATGAATGACGGCTCCACATTTGCTTTATTGTGAAGCTGTCATGTTACCTTGTATGTTGTTGAGGGACACAACGGCGCCTGGAATGCCGTTTCCCCCGACCGCTTCCAGCACTCGGCCCGTCACCGAAAACCCCATCACGCGGAACACAGTCTGCAAAACGTGAAACGAGGAGCACAGCTGACGTCACGGCGGAGACGACCTTCGTGGGGACACAGCACAATACTCTCTGCACGCACGCACGCTGCCTGGCCCGCCGGGTTTCTCTGCAGGCTAACAGGACAAGACCGAGATGATTCCGTTTTTAGGTGAGGCCACTTCATAATCTGGTCAAGTTGGTTTCGTACGACTCTCCACCACGCGTTTTTTGAGCGTTTAACCACGCGCAAATTATTATTAGTATTCTTTCAGTTCACCTTCAAGTTGAATTATTAGCTAGTTTCTACATGTCAGTAATTTCAGAGTACTATTTTAATTTGGCAAAGACACCGAAGACAATGACCTCCTCTTGTGACGTCTTGGAATCTTTGACGTCCACTGTGGTTAGGGCGGCTGCCGCACTCAAACCGTAAGCCTATGCAAAAAAGTGGCAAATGCTGCTTGTTGGAAATTTATTCAAATTGTTTTTGCACTGCCGTAAATGTCTTCCATAATGCTGTTATTTTTTCTCTGATTTCTGTTCGATTGATTTTGCTCCGATTTCTATTTGCTTCACCACTGCACGTTGCTTTCACGTCGTTACTTTTGTCATTGTCAGACTCCTCTATCCTGGCTTCTCGAGTTCCCACCTGGGAACACGACATCAGCGTGTGACAACGCACGCTGTGCCACCGCCGGGCTTACCTCGAGGCTCAGGCTGTCGTGCTCCACCGTGAAATCGAGGCGCGCGGGCGCGACGTCGAACGTGATGCGCTCGCCTTGGTAGAACGGCACCTGCAGCAGAAACGGGGGACGCAGAGCTCCAACATCGCGCGGCAGCATCCGGCAACATCGCTCGCTTGGGATGACGCACAGCGGCAGCGATCATCGCCTCCTACTGGCAGACCGGACCAATACCCCACGTGGAGCCTCTCCCTTCCCAGTGTTAGTGGTGCCATTGGCCTCCTTGAGGCTCATCTGTCTTTAGTAACCGACACATTACCCAGGGTCCCACTGCCCTGTTGTGGATGCATGCAGGGCCGGCTTAAGGCACAGGGCTTTAGGGGATGCAGCCCAGGGGCCTCCGCCAGCTGGAAGGCCTCCAGAGATTAAGTGAAAAGTTATTTCATTTGTGAATGCTGAATTAACATTTGTTGTTAGCCTTGTAAAAAATACATTTTATTTTTATTTAACTTTGTTTTCCTTTTGAAAATATTACTGAGGGCCTCACAGTACCTGTAGCCCAGGGGCCTACACAATCTTAATACGGCCTTGGATGCATGCACGCTAACAAACATGCTCACAGCACGCTACCAGTCGAACGCACGAGTGAAATTGTTGACTCGTGGGTGTTGCTTGAACGAAAGCACGGAGGGAGACGGAGGTGCTCACCAGCGAGTAGGAGCCGCACGGGAGCGACGGAAACATGAAGGTGCCGGCGTGGGTGGAGGTGGTGCTGCACACGAACGCTGGCAGAGTCGAAGCGGCCGAGAAGCCCTTGACAGGTCCAAAGCTGCACCCAGCCACATCCTAGACAGCGCACACCACCTCACTGAACTCTTCACCGACGGCAAGCACAGCTTCTGCCACACGCAATGCAGCAACACCTCCGCAGAGCGCGGCTCCACAGCCTCGTGGCCCTGGTTCCTACGGTCCCTTCCCAAGGCCACTAGATCCCCTCTGCTCATCCACTCGTGCATTAACGCAGTGCACGTACACAGCACAGGGAGTACACTGCTGTGTACTCACACTAGAGGCCGACCGAAATTCGGTTTTGGTTTCAGCGCTGAAAGTTGGCAAATGGCCTCCTTTCGGCATACTTTCGGTTTTGGCCGAAAGTAAATTTTTAACTTTCGGTTTACTTTCGGTTTCGGCCGAAACCAGAAATTAAGTTTCGGTCGGCCTCTATCTCACACTGCCACGTCCTCTCCCGACACTGCCATGTACTCTCTCCGCCATGTACTCTCCCCTGTGTGTGCTCTCTCCCCCATGCGCACTCTCTCACCCATGCGCACTCTCTCACCCATGTGCACTCTACAGCGTACTCTTCCCCATGCGCACTCTCTCACCCATGCGCACTCTCTCTACGGCGTACTCTCCCCCCGTGTGTGCTCTCTCACCCATGCGCACTCTCTCTACAGCGTACTCTCCCCCCGTGCGTACTCTCTCTCTCTCTGCCGTGTCCTCTCACCTGCTGGGCGACGCTGGAGAAGAGCAGCAGCTGCACGCCCTGCACGGGCTCGTCCTCGCTTCGCACGCTCCCCGTCACTTGGTAGCCGGCCACGACCAGCCCCTCCCCCGCATTGCCGTTAGCCACCCCCACCGTCACCGCCACGGAGGCCTGCCACGGCAAACACAAAGACCGCGCGTGAGGCCGACAAAGACTGTCGGGGCAAGCGCTGTTGGCAAGCACCCACGAAAAACGGAGCAGCACACGACGGGGGGCGGTGAGACAGCAAGAGTCGGGCCTGCTTGAGCCAATGCTGGGCCACTGCCAGGTGCTTACTGGTGAAGGCCCTCTCTGCTAGATACGGGTCCTGCACAACGACGCATTCACAGCCAACCCTGACTGCCCGCGAACGTATTTTGCCACGGACCCTGTCGACACGTGGTCGCGTTCGCCTCAGACTCTTAAATTGTGATGCGGCCGAGCCACTCACGGGGTGGAGCGTCCAGGTCGCGTGGGAGGCCTTGATCTCGTACTCGCCCGGGTGGACTCTCCCAAAGCTGTACCTGTCACAACGAGCACACACACACACCCTCAGCACACACACCCTTAACACGCGCATCCTCAACACACGCGCACCCTCCAACCACGCGCACCCACAACAAGACGATGGGATGGAATTGCAAAGTGGAGCAGTGTGAGGGAGGAAGCAAAAAGAGAAGTGAGGAGAGCTGCAGTGTGGTGGTGGTTGAATGCAGTGTGGATGAGATGACACATTCGGTGTCTGATAGACCGAGCGAAGTTCATGGCAATAGCAGCCATAGTAGTAGTAGATGTAAAAGAGCGATAAGGAGGCAACTGCTCCAATGGTGCGCGAGTTGACTGGGCGAATCAGTGAGTGCTCGATCATAAATCACCCTGCCTGCTGCTTGACGCTTAATTCTATCAGGCACATTGAGGTTGGGACTGGGTGCTCCAGTCCAGATATGACGGCAGGAGCAGAATTCCAGTTGAGGCCAAATCCATGCTTTGTATAGAAACAGGAAAAGCTGTTCGGAGTTAAAGAGGCTTTGGCACAGGAAAAGAAAACCAAGCTTCTTCAATAATGCCTTCACCAGATCAGCAACAGAGCCATGTCATGAGCGCGACAGGTGCGTCGAGGTTGCCGCGCCGGACAGTCACAGGCGAGTGGCTGTGGACGTGTACGCGCGACAAGCGGGACGAGGTGGGGAGGGGGCCGAGCGGACCGACCGGCCGCCGGGCTGCGTGCGCACGCTCTGCAGGGCGTCCCCGCCCGCCGTCAGCTCAACCAGAACGCCGGCTGGCCCCGACTCCATGTTCCGGCTCAGCACCTGCGGCACACACGGCACGTGGGACGGCGTCACGACACCGAACGCGAGTCTCGGAGGTGGTCGTACCCACATTTTACCCACCGCCACACGCCAAGCGACTAACTCTGCTGGGTTTGGAGGGAGAGTGAGACGCGCGCTGTGATGCAAGAGGATGTGTCTCACGCCGAAAGGGTGAGTCTCACACTGAGAGGGAGAGTCTCGCGCTGAGAGGAAGAGTGAGAATTGCGAGTGGAGGGAGCCGACACTCACGCGGCCCGCAACGCTGAAGCCTGTGAAGAGGAAGTCGATGTCGTCGCCGGTGGAGCACGGGTCGGTCGCCCCATCCACGTGCAGCTCCACACTGCTCGGCTCTAGAGCGCGGGGTGGGGCGGGGAGGGGGTAGACGGCTGAGAGATCGCACAGATCCCCCCTTGAAGACTTTAACAGACTGTCGGGAAAGTGGTATTAGCGAGCACCCGTGACGGCCAAAACGGGACACGAGGAGAACATTATGGGCAGAATCACGCCCGACCGCCTTTGTCTCCCCAGTGCTGATGTTTTATACACACCGCACCAGGTGCTCAATTGGGGAGGCCCAGGACCAGTTTGGATATTCGTCACTGATGTTGCTTGGGAGTGGGATTCGAACTCGGGGAGCTGGATTTGTAGCGCAGTGCGATAACCACTGCACCACTCACTCTGATCACACGCAAGCCTCGCCCAGCAGCAGTGAATACTCACCGAAACTCCAGCCAAGAGGAGGCTCAATCTTCAGGGTGAAATCGCCCTGCAGAGAGGTGAACTCGGTGAGACAGCAAAGCCGGATATCAAACATGGAACCTCATCCATTGTTGCATTTGTAGCGACATGACCCGGAACCAATCTGGAACCCGGTGCAGAGCACTGCCTTCGTCATTGCGTCTGCAGGTCTCACAGCGATGCGCCGACCAAATGATCTGAGAGACCCAGCCTTAAGGTGCACATACCGCGAGCGCACTCCCCCCCTTGTCCACCCCCGTCCGCATAGATTGGGCTGTTAAACGACCACCGTTTTCACAGGAGGAGGCGGCGTTTCCAGCAGAGCGTCGGAATGATTGCACTGATCGCCACGTGCGCGGACATACAAACCACACGGGTCACCGCGCGGATAAACGTGCCCTCCCTTTCTCAGGAGGTCAAATGTGCAGCCCTGCAATTGTTTTGCTCCCGCTACTGCTGCTGGCAGGGGCCTCGACTGCAGTGAACTAACGAGGATATTTGGTCTACTCTTCCGGACAGACCGGGCGTGCCCCACACGTTACCCCCATAACACGCGCAACCTGCCGATCGACTGTGATGTTACCCAACATTGAATAGAGCGAGGCGAGCTGGGGAGGCCACGTGGGGAAATTTGATCGACACATGCGGCCCGCACACACGTGGGTGGCACGCGCACATACCTTGTCGTAGAGGGGGATCATGAAGTACCCGTTGTTGGGGGCGCAGTCCGTCTGGTATTTGAGGTTTCCCTGCTTCGTGTACAGCTTGATCTGCGCAGAGGAGCCGGTGTTACTCCCTAGTGATCGCTAATGGGACACCTTCACTCGGTATCAAATACTTTTCACAAAGTGGATCGTTATGTTATTGATCCTGTCCGCTCAGTAGAAAATTATTCAGTCGTCCAAGCTCTCTCAGAACAAGGCATGAAGAAACAAAATGTTAGGCTAAACCCATTTATATACTGTAAACGGTAGAGCCACAATAAGATTACACGAAGTACCAAAATGCATGATAAAGTAACGAGTTGACGGCACCCGGCACCCAGCCTCCAACTAACCACCCCCCCCATGCCACTACCAGCCCCCCCTGCCACTACCCCCCCCTCTGCCACTACCCCCCCCCCCCTCTGCCACTACCCCCACCTGCCGCTACCCCCCCCTCTACCACTACCCCCCTCCTCTACCACTACCCCCCCCCTCCTCTACCACTACTCCCCCCTCTACCACCCCCCCCCCCCACCACTACACCCCCCAGCCCCCCCCCCGCCACAACCCCCCCCAGCCACTACCCCCTCCCCTTTGCCACTAACCCCCCCTTTGCCACTACCCCCCCTCTACCACTACCCCCCCTCTACCACTACCCCCCCCCCCTCTGCCACTACCCCCCCCCCTCTGCCACTACCCCCCCCCCTCTACCACTACCCCCTCCCCTTTGCCACTAACCCCCCCTCTACCACTACCCCCCCCCTCTACCACTACCCCCCCCCCCCTCTGCCACTACCCCCCCCTCTGCCACTACCCCCCCCCCTCTGCCACTACCCCCCCCCCTCTACCACTACCCCCCCTCTACCACTACCCCCCCTGCCACTACCCCCCCCCCTCTGCCACTACCCCCCCCCCCTCTGCCACTACCCCCCCCCCCTCTACCACTACCCCCCCCTCTGCCACTACCCCCCCCTGCCACTACCCCCCCCCCCTCTACCACTACCCCCCCCTCTACCACTACCCCCCCTGCCACTACCCCCCCCCCCCCCTCTGCCACTACCCCCCCCCCCTCTGCCACTACCCCCCCCCCTCTACCACTACCCCCCCTCTGCCACTACCCCCCCCCCTCTGCCACTACCCCCCCCCCTCTGCCACTACCCCCCCTGCCATCACCCCCCCCCCCCCCGCTACGACCCCTCTTCACCCCGCCGCCGGACCTCAATGAGGGAGAAGTTGATGTCGATGTCGGACTTCACGAACCCCCCGCATCCCAGAACGTCCTCCGCGGCGGCGGTGGCGGCGACAGCGCTCAGGCCGAGGAGGAGCAGAAGAGGGGATAACCTGAAGGAGAGAGTGGAGGGGAGAGTGGAGGGGAGAGTGGAGGGGAGAGGGGAGGCGAGAGGGGAGCGCGTGGCGGGCGTCGAACGCCAGCGACCGGCGGCAGCGTCGCCCATGTCTGCACGCATCGCGGGGTCACGGTGCGGGAGAATCGATTCGATAAATCGGAATCGATTCCGAGCGCGCGATTCCGCCACCGTCATGAGCTGCGCGAGCCGAGTGCGACGGCGGAGAAGAGGGGGGGGCGTGACGTCACCGTCAACCGTCGCTGGAGTCGATTCGCTAACAAGCGGTAGAGAATCAACGGAATCGATTCTAGCCCAGGCGAGAGAGCATGCTCGGGGTCACGTGGGGGGTAAGCGTTAGGGACCGCGGCCACTTTAAAGCGTCGTCAGCGCGGAGAGACCGCGACCATTTACTCCAACCTGCTCAATGCTCGCTTCTTATAGATATTAATATTGTGTTCTTGCCCATGGCCAACACCGCCTTGGTCTCCCTCGTGATGTTTACACACCACGCCAGGTGCTCATTTAAGGCTGAGTCGACCTAGGGGAGGCCCAGGGCCGATTTAGATCAGCGTCACTGTCTTACAACCTCTTATCTTAAAACCACCATCTCCAACACCACCACCACCACAATCACCAATATTGCAACCACCATCTCCAACACCACCACCACAATCACCATTCTTGCAACCACCATCTCCAACACCACCACCACCACTAATCTTGCAACCACCATCTCCAACACCACCACCACAATCACCATTCTTGCAACCACCATCTCCAACACCACCACCACCACTAATCTTGCAACCACCATCTCCAACACCACCACCACAATCACCAATCTTGCAACCACCATCTCCACCACCATCACAATCACTAATCTTGCAACCACCATCTCCAACAACACCACCACCACCAACCACCATCTCCAACACCACCACAGTCACCCATCTTGCAACCACCAAATCCAACACCACCACCACAATCCTGCAACCACCATCTCCACCACCACCAATCTTGCAACCACCACAATCATCACCAGTTTTACCAGCACCATCATCTCCACGACCATTCTCCAGAGCTGTACTATCCCGGCATATGTAAATATCTTCAGGAGCTAAGTCGAGGTCTGCTCGACACGACGAGAGGGCTTCAGGATAAAGTTCGTGTCGTGTTGCTGTTCCTCCTCCATTGAAGGAGCGCAGACCACGGTGGTTTACTCGATGTAGTCCATCGGGTTGGGCTGCACGGATACAGTCGCACGACCGTGACTTGTGTCATAACTTTACATTTAACACATTCCTCCTGCGGAGGGAGCTGGTAGGAACGTTGGGTTGCTCGGTCAATGGCCTGCAGGGTCAACGGCGGCGTGGTGTATTCCGCAAATATGGCCGACTGTGCGGGCGGGCACAAGCCGGCGTGAGTAGGTGAAACGTTGAGTTTTATAAGGGCACCACGGGGTGACCAGCCCCTCCCCTCCCCACCCAGCCCCACCCCTCCCACCCCCCACCCAGCCCCTCCCCACCCAGCCCCACCCCTCCCCACCGAGCCCCTCCCCTCCCCACCCTCCCCACCCAGCCCCACCCCTCCCCACCCTCCCCACCCCACCCAGCCCCTCCCCACCCTCCCCTCCTCACCCAGCCCCACCCCTCCCATTTTTGGATGCACGACGGATGGACACAATAATCCCCTGTGGGCTGGTGTAACCAGGAGGTTCCTACCAATATTTAGATGTGTCAATCGACCTGGCGATGTTGTGATGCGGGTCGATGGTTCCACCCCCTCCGCCAGTGTCTTCGATGTGGAATGCCAAAGCCAGGAGGTGTGATGATTGGGGTCTCGAATGAGACGTCTGTTCTGGACATGCGCGGTTCCTCTGCATCTGGCTTGAGATTCTAGGGATGGTGATAGCAGCAGCAGCAGCCCTATTCAAGAGAAGGGAGATGGACACTTACATCCCACTGGGATTTTTTCAGTGTACGGTGCATTTTCTGCAATATTTTGCTGTCTTTTCTTGGATTTTCTGTTTGCACATAGTCACTGTTTTCTTGTTCATGTTTTTTGTTTGTTGCGGTTGCACCCGATTCAAGAGCCGAATGGCTCACAGGGCTATACCTAATAAATGAAACTTGAAAATGAACTTGAGTTGGCTGCGAGGAACATTGTTGATGGGGTATATATGGTTGTCGTTGGCAATACATCGTCCAAAACGTATTTGCGCTTTGGTGAAAGCGTGTCTCCTAGTTCGACTCCGCTGATAGTATAATATACAGGATAACCTTACCCAACGCTGTTTTAATGGAACGTATTTTTCAGCTCCACACATGGTTTACCCAATGAGGTTATTTTTTTGTTTTGCGGAACTTGTGGGTGGTGCTTTGTGAGTGGGTGCTCGCCCGGTATGGAGGTGGTCGTGGGTTTGACCCTGACCCTGACCCCTGCTGCTGTATATTTGGAGTTTGCGTGTCTCTCCTCCCCGTGGTCGCGTGGATTTTTCTCCAGTTTTTGCCTCCACATTTAGAATCAAAGTGCGTTTAGTGTATTTGGATGCTATAACTTTCCACGTAAGTAACTTCGTTGTGCTAACATCTGGCCAGGCCGCTTGTGAAATAGAGTTATGTTTATCGCTCAGTGGGCTTTACCTGGTAAAATAACAGTTTAAATAGCTCAATAGTGTGGGCGACCTTTCTACCAAGTCATGCATTTTCCAAGTCTACATTCTACAGCAGCGCTTCTCAACCATTGTTACACATCCACGGGTCTCAATGTCGAGACTGCTCGATCTTCACGGCACACCGAACACAAAAATATATCATCAGTGGGCCCTATACCCTGCAGATGATTAATCATGGCTGATACGCGCGTGTGCGTCTCTTAAGTACTGCCGTGGTGCCGTCATGGGAAGGTGGAAAATCCAATCCTTCGATCACCGCGTGTTCCCTCTCGGCTTCGTCGCGTGAGGTTCGGGTTTAATCTCTCACCCGGCACGGCCAATTCACTCAGCGAAGTCGTATTCTGTCAGTACACATCTCCCGTCTTAAATTTCGATTGAAAGCTTTCGTGACTGCAGGGATTCATCTTCTTGGTTCTTTCGGTAAAGTCACGTAGAATGGAAATAATAAAATAATAAAACATAATAAAATAATTCTCACGTTTCGGCCACAACGCAAGCAGCCGTCCTCAGGTGAAGAACAGGTCTGTCGAGAAGACAGTCCGATGAGGACGGAGTTTGAATGAGGACGGCTGCTTGCGTTGTGGCCGAAACGTCGTGAGAATTATTTTATTTTTATTATTTCCATTCTACGTGACTTCACCGAAAGAACCAAGATCTTCCGTCTTGTCTATTTAATGTTTTTTTTGGGGGGTTGTGTCCGTGTCTACTGCGTTCATCTCAACGTGTCTATTTCTTTGATGTATTTTCATTATTCAATCGTTCACATTGAGGTCTGTGTGGCTGTGTTGGTTGATCGATTCAGAAATACCTCTGCACACCAGTTGGGAAGCACTTGTCTCCAAAGACGAAGACACAATGGTATTTGAAATTTAGTGTATATTCTAGAATCAGTAGTATGTGGTCGTCTGAAATAGGGCCATTATCTATAACATCACCGATTAGAAATGCTTTTAAAGCAGTTTTATGTGTTGTTTTGTAGTCAGTGGAACCCAATCATTTGCTGTATTGATCTTTGTGAATAGTTCATATACGTGACAATAGCCCAATGGCTCTAATCATTACAATTTTATCCTTCCAAGCTCGAGGTATTTCATTTCTCAACGTTTAGTAAATAGGTTTACTTTTCTACCAACTGGTCTCACTACTTTGATTTTGTACATTCATTCCATCTTCATGCCAAACCTGGCTCACTCATCTCTCAAAATAAACATGCACAAATATGTTTACTATGCAGTTATTTTCCACACAATAAAACACACAAATACTCTTAATTATATACCTAGATGAGACATGGAGTTTGTATAAAATGCAGGCCAATATTTCCATAATCGAATATATGTTCCGACTGTTCTCACAGGTGGTACGGACTATAAACATGTAACAGTTTAAAATGTACTCGACATATACACAAACAAGCCAACAAGACTCGGACGTTTTCCATCACGGTTAAAACATGTTGCTGTCCTCCTCAGTTGCTTATCTGACCGCACGCTTGACTCACAATCGGAAGGTTCAAACGGAAGTGAGAGGCCTACTAAGGCCAGCTACTCACTGGGGTAAATACATCACTATGAAATCCATCACCTCGTGGAGAGGCTGGCACCTGCCAGAAGTGTAATGTTCACACAATGGCTCAGGGCCATCGACATGGGACTGCTCGCTTGAGGAGACATTCACCGAGCGTATTATAATTTCATACACGGCCGCTCGACTTGGTCTCCACGAATCCAAAAAAAAGGAATGTGGACGTTTTCTACATGTCGTGTGCTGCTGTGTGTCATTCGCTTCTCTTTAAAAGCACTCCAGATGGAGAAGGCAGAGGTATCCAGCCTGGATGCATCTGCCTTATCTGCACCGCTGCATGGCAAACACGGCCCTTGTGCGATGCTTTAAGTATTTACATACGTCCAGTTTTCTATGTAGTCTTCCTGCACTCACCAGGTCACCGTCAGGTACGCGTGCAATCGTCGTGTTCACAAACTGAAGAATCCGTGGCGTTGGGAGGGGTGCGCTACAGCGGTGCGATTCATCCACCACATAGGCTCTAAGCTTCTTAATGCAACGAGTCTTGACAATGTGACGAAACAAAAGTTCAAGAGCCAAATGTACCGAGTGATTTTGCGTTGACGTTTGGACACAAAGTTCACACATTTCGGAAAACTGGTCATAAGCAATATATGGAATGCCATACAAAGCGTTGTGGGGAAATATTTTTACGGGTACTAAATATAATAATTTTACACAGCTGTATAAATCATAATAAACATCAATTGTAAAAAATAACATGGCAACAACACCAAATGTATGGCTGTCTTAACTTTTTTCAGCCAAATAAATTCATTAGCTCTGTCCATCTGTCTGTAACAGTGGCAGGCAGGGGGGGCACAATTACTCTTAAAAACAAAACAAACTGGACAGTTTCCAAAGCGGCACAAACAGGACTCGCTCTGTGTCCCAGCCCTGCCACGTGCTTCG